CCCCTTGCCTCCCCCTCCTCTTCTCCCTTCCCTCCCCTATCCTCCCCCTTCCCCTCCCTTCCTCTCTCCCTCCCCGCTTTTCTCCTCCTTCCTTTCTTCCTTCCTTTCTTTCTCTTTTTTTCTCTTTCTTCCTTTTTTCATTCTCTTTCGTTCCTCTCTCTGTCTCTGTCTCTGTCTCTCTCTCTCTAGTACAGGGGAGGAAACCTGGAGCCTTGCATGTGTGGGGCACATGCTCTACTGTTGCACTACCGCAGCCACCTGTCCACTTTCCAGAGCAGTAGTCGTTAGCCAGGGGCAAACATTCTACTTTCAGCTAGGTTCACAATTCAGGAAAGGGAGGGTGACTTGTTAGAAGAGCAGGCATTTAACCCTATGTCTGATACAATGGTTTGGGAAATGACCTTGTGAAGCCTTCCCAAGAGAAACAAAGGTGATTCCTGGTGGAGGAGCAGGTGTACAGATGCTGCCTCGCGTTCCCCCGAGGACCAGGCGGGGCTGCAGCTGGGCCTGCTGGTCAAACTCGCTGTTCCTCGTTCCGTGCGCCCTGCCTTCGCCGAGCTCTGAGGCCTGGCACCAGCTGATCAGGGCACCAGCGGGCCAGGGCAGGGCAGGGAGCAGGGCAGGGCTGGTGCAGGGCCAGAGTGATGGCGGCATGGGGTGGGCCTGCGTGGGCTGGCACCTGCTCATCTCCGGTGGGGCCCTGTGGAGATGCAGACACCAATCCGCCTGCAGACCCAAGCTCGGAGCAACTCCTTGGTACTCAGCTCAGCCTGCTACACTTTCTCCTCCTGAGACCAGGCAGGTGTGATTCCCCCAAGAACAAAGAGCATGTGTGGCACAAATGCCAAATCTTTGCTTTGGTGGACTGGATACTAACAGATGAGAGTAATTGCTTCCGTTTTTGAATATATATTTTTATCGGTACAGTATACGTTTGTGACATGCGATGATTTACGTGTGCCTCGGAAACTGGTACCTGGACACACTGCATCCTGATCCTTCCCCTTCGCCTTTCCCGCGAGCCTCGCCACCCTTTGCCGCATCCAGGAAGCCTTCAGACACCTAGCCAGGTGTCTCTGGCTAGGCATGCAGAGGGGGAGAACACACCATTTTTAAAGAATGTTTTGCTAATGAAGAGAGTAAATATTTTTGTTTAAATCAGAAACAGATTATGGTTGTTTTGTATTTCCATGCTGTCACCCCTGAAATAAAAGACTGCGGACCTGCGAGGTCCCACGAGTGGACCTTAGCTGTCAGCCTCATCCTGAGTCCTGCGGGGTCCCAGGAGACGCGGTCACAGCAGGATGCGTCTCGGTGTTGTTCCGGCCCGGCAGGCACTTAGCTGAGTGGCCGCCGCCACATGCGCGTGTTTCACACTGCCCCTCAAACGCTTAGAATCACCCCAGACATCGCGGGAGGGATGATCACGCTGGAGAGCAGACCACCTGTGAGTTTTCAAGATCTTCTGGTTTTATTTGCCCCATTAAAAGCTCCAAATGTTGACCCTAAGAGAATTTCAGGGCACCAAAATTTTAAAATACGTACAATGAAAATGTTCTGATAGGAGGTCCCACTGAAAACTTGGCCACTGGCGCAGGTAAAAACTCCTTGCAGGTGCACAGATCCCGCCACATTTTCCTTTAAAGTAATCGTTGAGGCTTTGCAAGATAGAATTATGAGGGCATTGCTAAATACATGTATTATCAAGTCAATGTTATTATAAACCACGTATGGAGCCAAGAATATTGGGAGTCGCTGTAAGAGCTCTTTCTCAAATATACTTTTAGGGGCTGGGGATTTAGCTCAGCGGCATGGCACCTGCCCAGCAAGCGCAAGGTCATGAGTTTGATCCCCAGTACCGGGGAAAAAAAAAAAAAAGTCAAATATACTTTTAGAGTTGGGTGTACATTATATGTAAAAAAATAATTTTAACAAAGCTCTGATGATTAACCTTTTCAGCACACTTTTATAGCATGTATATTAAAATAGAATATATTTTAGCAAAAGATGGCCGGAAAACCCTGACTTGGTCACTTTTATATTCGCACTGGGACAAGGGCTTAGATTCCGATGTAGCAGTGTTATAGCAGGAAAATGAGAAGCTAGGGATTCCTTCACAGTAGCAGCTCCTGGTTCCCGACCTGCGGCCGTGGGAGCTCCGCTCAGCTGTCTGAGCTTGGCTCGCATGTGCTTCCTCAGCACTTTCCCTCCTGGCGGCGCACACTGACACCGGAACGGAGAGACCGTGCCGCCCTCTTGGTTTTCATGTGTAGTGTCTCTTCCTTTGCACTTTGGCTCCAGCTAAGACAGTGTCACCTTTTTCCACAGAGGAGGAACAGTGTAAACTGCGTGTATTGTCTGTGGGTAAATGTTCATGATGTATGTCAGTCAGTTCTCTGAATCTTTTTACCGACACTGAGATAGGAAAATAAAACCAAACATCATATTTTTGACTTGGTTGTGCCATTTTCTCGTTAGAGAAAGCACCATTCATTAAGGAGTGACAGATACACATCTACAGGGACATCTTTGGGGCAGAGGTGAGCAAGCTTTGGAATACCCGAAGGTCTGTGTTGGTTAAAGAGGCGATGTTCTACGCTTCTGGGGTGGCACCAGAGTCAATAGTGCTGTGTTTATTTTGGAGACTCTGAATTGCTCCTGGTCCCTCCTCCAACTCCGAGCTGTTGGAAATCAGTTGGGGCCGTCTCGCGTGGCCTCTGCGTCCCCTGCCTGGTGGAAGCGTGCGCCTTGCAAGCCCCTGGGCTTCTGAGCAAACACGCTTGGAGTCTTAGGACTCCCCTGGGAGCCCCTTGGCCCAGCCCCGGCATTTCTGCACAGCTCTGAGGTGGGCCTCACTGGTGAATTAGGTTATTTTAAGGATCAGGGAAGCAGGGTGCTGTGACTCAGGTCCAGCATGAGTAGCTGGCCAGTGGCCCCAAATTTCCTGCCTGTGTCCCGTCTGCTCCTGTCCTGCTGCTGCTCTCTGTGGGAAGGAATAGGTTGACGGTGGGATGAACAGAAAGCTAACCATCACTTCTAGCTCTGGCTGCTTTATTGGCATTGACTCAAGTGTTCCTTGAACTGTAGATGGCCCCCAACTGTTTACTTCATCCAAACCAGGGTATCTGCAATGCAGCCAGCACCGAGCTTCGTTCAGGAAGGATGGAAGCCTCAGGATCCGCTGCCCTGCACAAAGGTGGGTCGGGGAGAGAAGTGTGCTGGTGGGCAAGACAGTGGCAGGACATGCGGAAGCCCCGGCCCTCTGCTTGGGGCTTGTCGGTGCATAGCTGGAGCTGCCCGTCACCTCCTGAAGCGCACGCTTTCAATCCGCGCACCAGTGAGGGGCTGTGTTTCACAAGCTGTGGCGTAGCTGCACATCAGGCCTAGAGGATGTGACCCCAACAGGTGCCCAGTTACTGTAAGCCTGTTGTCTGCACAGAAGCGAACCTTCTGGAAGCATCAAATAAAAATCTTGTCACTTAGAGCGGGCTGGGCAAAGTGAGTTTCAGAGGCAGCAGAGAAGATCTGATCCGGTCCTCTCCTTTCAGCTGTGTGTCCTACCTGAGTGTAAGGGACCCAGGGCTTTTCTGCTCGGAAGCATGGGCTTTTACCCTTCAGGTGGGGCCAGGAAGAGCGGTGCATTGCAACTGCTCATGAAGGACCCGCACCAGAGGTTTCAGCTCGCCCTGGTGAGACGCACACACTGGAATGGTCAGAACTTGAGTCTGTTACTTGTCTCCAACAGCTGCTCTGAGATAGAATTTAGCTACTATAGCGATGTCACCAAATCCAGCTTGAGGACAGTTCTACATTCTCCAGAAGCTTCCTGGGTGCCCACTGCAGTTCACCCCAGCCTGTCTCAAGCAACCGCCCTTCTGCATCCTGTCTGTAGAAATTCACTTTTTTTTGGATATCACACACAACAGGATCCTACATCACGTCAGGCTTTTTATCTGACATCATGTTTCGCATACATCGCTACTTTATATGAATACTGTTCATTAACCCATTTCTTTATTTCATTAACCCATTTGCTATAGAAATGTGGGTTATTTCTAGTTTAGGGCTCTAATGGAAAATATTGTGATGAAAATTTGTCATAGCCAGGTGTGGTGGTGCATGCCTGTAATCCCAGCACTCAGGAGGCAGAAGCAGGAGGATCATTGTGAGTTCAAGGCCAGCCTGGGCTATATATCAAGACCCTGTCGTAAAAAAGAAAAGAAAAAAGAAAAGATTTGTTAGACATATCTGTGTGAACACATTTTCACTTCTGTTGGGTGGATTGCTGTGGGTGGAATTATTAGGTTATATAGTAAGTTCACATTTTTAAAGAAATAATCAAATTGCCTCCTTCCTTTTCTTCCTGTTTCTTTCTCTCTTCCTTCCTCCATCTCTTTCTCCTTTTCTTCCTTCCTTTCTGTCTCTCTCTCTTTCTTTCTTTCTTGCAGTACTAAGTATTGAAATGAGGGCCTTCACACTAAGCTACATCTCTGACCCTTGTTTTATTTTATTTTATATTTTATTTATTTTGAGACAAGGTCTTCTAAGTTGCTATGTTGCTTAGGCTGGGCTCAAACTTGTGATATTCCTGCCTCAGCCTCTCAGACTGCTCGGATTATAAATGTGCACCACTGTGCCCCGCTGAACTGTCTTCTACAGTGAATACAATCTTCCAATCTTGCTTGCGTTGCTCGCTGTCTCTATGCTCCCTGAAACCTGCCACTGTCTGTCTCAGCCCTGCCTCTGTCGCTGGTGTGCAGAGGGCTGCACTATTGTTTTAATTTTCGTTTCCAACGTGGCTAACACTTTTGCACACTTTTTCCTGCACCTATTCGGAATGTGTTTATCTTCTTTGATAAAATCACTACTCACAAAGCTTTATCATTTTAAAATGCAGATTTGTAAGCCGGTTTTTTAGTCCCGAGGGCCTGGGGTCAGTGGTTGCAAGCGCCCTCAGCCACCTGTGTGCCGAATCAGGAGGACTCACCCTTGACGTCCTGAGCCTCGGGCCCTTGCACCCGAGTGTGGCGCCCACATGGGTTGCCTGTTTAGAGATGCAGGAGGGATCCAAATGGGAACGAAGCCTTCCCAGGAGCCAGAAGCAAGGATTGCTGTCTCCAGAGTGGATTCTCAACTTCCACCGAGTTCTCCTGCTGTGGCCTGATTTTATTTTTTAGTACACCATGTCCATTGGGTTGTCCTTTTTGCATCAGGACCTATCCTTTCCTACTGAGAAACAGAATTGTCAAGATGGGACTTCAACAGTGTCTGAGTAAAAAGGCAGGAGAATCCTCCTTCCCAAAAAACATCTATAAAGTAGAAAACTAAACAAAGGATCCCGACATGGGAAGTGTTTGGGGCTTAAAGAACTCACACGTGGAGCTCCGGAGGTCCCTGCCCAGGGCTGCTTCCTTCCCCAGGCTCAGCGCTGGAGATTTGTCACTGTGATGGTGGAGGCCGAGGGACTCACTGGATGTGACACCGTGGCTGATGGCCACTCTGGGTGAAGTCAGTGGCAGTGGAGAGCCAAGCCTGTGGTGGGGAGCTGCATATTCCTGACGGGGCTGTGCACACACATGCACGGGAAGGACCTGGGAGCCTGGGAGGCTGGGGAGCCAGACACGGGTGGCAAACCCTCAACAGACAAAACCAACCCCAAGGACATTGTTAAAATCAAAAGGTGTTGGGCCGGGGATGTAGCTCGGTGGCACAGTGCCTGCCTGGCAAGCTCAAGGTCTTGAGTTCGATTCCTGGTACCAACGGTGGAAAAAAATCAAAAGGTGTTAAACTTTGAGACACTTATCAAGAAATTAAAAAGGCAAACCACAACCTAAGGGAAAATATCTGCAAATCCTGTCTCTGATAATTGACTTGTATCTAGAATATACAAAGATCTCTTACAACTCAGTGGGGCGGGTGTCACACGTCAGCAGAACGTCTCCAAACACAATTGTTTTAATTTTCGGGTGGGGTGGCACATCTCAGCATAAACAGAGAAAGTTTGAGGTCACTTTGGGCAACTTAGTGACACCCTATCTCAAAATTCAAAGGGGCTGGAGATGTAGCTTAATGGTAGAGTGCTAGGCCTAACCAAACACAGAAGACCACTTACTACATGATTCCATTCCATGAAATGCCCAGAATGGGCAAGCTTCTAGGCAGAAAGGTACTGGCTCCCTGGTACTGGGAACAGCAGAATGGCTAGTGACTGCCATGGGCGAGAGGTTTCCTTTGGAACCATGAAAATTTTCCAGAATTGTAGTGATGGTGTATACCTGCGCAAATATATTAAAATATGAATTCTGCACTTTGCTGATTTGTGTACTGTGTTGATTCTATTTTAAAGTTGTTAAAGTGTGTGACTGGAGAATGTGTCATGATGGGGTCTGGTGAATGGACAGGGGGAGGGCAGTGTGTGGGGTCTGAGTGTGAGGTGGGGAAGAGCTGCCAGCTGACTCTACAGTTGGGAGCCCACACTCCCCTCTCCATCCATGCTAGGCAGGGTTGAGGGCTGGGGGCACCCTTGGAGTACTTCAGTCTCCCTGGTTTGGCTCTAGAAGGAGGAGAGGAAGCTTTCTTCTGTCACTTACAAAGACCCTATGGCTTCTCCCCTGAGGTGGAAGATCTGGGTACATGGAGAGGGGTGAGGGGTGTGACCATCAATCTTGAAATGGCAGCTTCAGTGGACTGAGAAACACTCAGCAGATTAGTAAAGCACACTTTTTGGTATATCTGGGTGGATCACATAAGCATGGCCTTGTGTACTATAAATGGTTCCCTGCCCTGGCACCATTTTCCCCCCTCTGCTTCCTGGCCCCCATGAACTAAGCAGTTTTGCTCCTCCACACTCTTTGGCCACAGTGTCTCTGCCATGGAGCCAGCTGATCATGAACTGAAACCAGGAGTAAACCCAACCTTTGCTTGTTTATATTGTGAATGTTGGATAGTGTGTCCTTCAGTGGGAAAGCTAACTGATAGAGAATATTGGTACCAGAGAAGAGGGATCATTGCTGTGATTGTACCTGACCATGTGATTTAGAAGCCTTTGGAACTAGTTTACAGCAGGAGTTTGGAAGGGCTTGGAGATGATGGCTGGAGAGACCCTAAAATCCTATAAACAGATCTTGATAGGTGATTCTGGTTGAAGTTCAGAAAACCAAAATGTCAGTGTGGACAGTAAAGGCCAGGCTCAGGAGGTTTTGGCTGGGAGCAAGGACTCCACTGGTACTTGGACTAGAGGGCGTCTGTGTTATACTCTGGCAGAAAATGTGTCTACTTTATGGCTATATCCTGAGATCAGAAGATGGAGATTAGTGGTGACAGACTAATTATTTTGGCAGAGAGAATTTCAAGCTGGCTCAACATTTAGTCTGTGTCGTGGGTACTGCTGGCTACTTTTATCCAGATAGTAAGAATCAGGACAAAAGGCAGGGCAGAAAAATTTGAGGAACTTAAATTTTTGTTTAGAAGGAACCATGTGTAAAGTTGGGGCCAAAGAAGGTATATCTGCTAATGAGATGAGCACCATTAAAAGGAAACCAAGTATTTTATACAAGGACTTGTATACAAGATGCCCTTCAGGGCATCTCAGAGATCAGTGAGACCTTCCCCATCACAGGCTCAAGGGTACAAAATTAAAAACCTTTTAGTTGAGAAGAGAGTTCCTGGAAACCCTGTTGGACAAGGGCCTACGAGTCATTTCACCATACACAGTCATCTAGACACTTAGAGGCTGCTTTATCCATGATCTAAAGGAGCCTGACTTCTGTTTCTGCTGACAGAATTTGGTCTTGTCTGTGATGCTGGTTTTACTGACATGCAAAATGCAAGTGTTGTGGGGCCATGTTAACTTCCACCCAGATTTCAAAGGAAGGCCTGGGAGGTGAGGCAAGGAAGCCCTGAGAGGGCAGTGCGAGAAGCTGTGGGATTGAAGCCAAACATGCAGCAGACCCCAGGAAGCTGGAGATGTCAAGAATGTAGAACATTAGCCAAGGAAAGACGCAGGCTATGATGGACCCAGACCAAGAAAGAGGACTTATAAGATGCATCCAGCAAGGTCAGAGGGGTGCAGCTGCCCAAATCCTTTGGGACTCGCATTTTACCACCCTGTGCCCTGGATGCTGGACATGGAGCTACAGACTTTAAGTTTGCCTTGCAGGATTTCACTCCAATTCTTTTCTATCCCTCTAGTCCTCCTTTCTATCCCCCTAGTCCTTTTCTATCCCCCTAGTCCTCCTTTTTGGAATGGAAATGTTTATACCAACACTGTACCTTGTGATTATGTAATTTATTTTTGATTTTTAACACAGGTTTATGGACAATAATTTGCTTTCAGTCTCCAGAAAAGACTTGAACTTGGACTTTTGAAAAATGCTGGCACTCTTAACACTTTGGGGGAAGGGATTATTGCATTTCTGGTTGTAAACAGGATAATTATGTTAGGTGGATTTTATGACCCTGTGATTGTCTTAATTCTGAGATTAAGCATGGTTTAAGATGTGTGTAGGCATGAAATTGCTGGGAGGTAGATTATGACTGTTAATCTTGCGATGTCAACTTCACTGATTAAGAATCACTGCTCCTGGGTGTGTCTGACTAGGTCATGGAAGTTTGGCTGTGGGTGCCTGTTCCTCTTTGGCACTGCTGTCCTGCTCTGCTTCATAGCAGCTACAACCAAGCAGCTTTGTTCTACCACCTCCTTCTGCCATGCTGTTCCTGCCTTGGAGCCAGCTTACCAGGGACTGAACCCCCTTTAAGTCTGAGCAAATTAAACTCCACCTTAAGTGTTGGGTGTGGTGTCCTGTGACAGGAAAGCTAATGTAGAGTGTATGCTCAAGGAGGCCCTTAAGGACCAAGGAAATTTCAGTGTTTATGACTACATCTCAGAGTTTGAAGCACAAGTGTTCAGTGGAGTGATACAGGAAAGCTTGAATTCAACACAAGAACGACTTACGAATTCCGCAAAAACAGGCCGCACTGGAGTAGAAGGCAAGTCGCTGGCTGCCTCACAGTTGTGTGGTACAATGGGGACAGACTTCCAACTCACTGGCGTGCTACCCTCCCAGCTCAGAAGTGTATATAATATGAAAATAGTAGCGTTGACAGTTTCTTTTGTGTCATCAAATGTGTAGAGTCCTGACTGGAATAACTGTGTGGTTTTGAAAGGCCCTTATGAGACATGCACCCCTCTGGAAATGTCTGTCACTGAGCTACAGGGTGGCGCTGTGATAAATGGGTGCTTGGGTTGGGAGGGCTGGCTGTGCACCTGGTGAAGAGGGAATCTAGTTGCCAGGTGAGACCGTGTGCCTAGCACTTCATAGCTTATGTAGCATTTGAGGCCTCTTCTGGAACTAGTGGCTCGCAATGCCTAGACCCCTAGGAGTCCGGAGACCCTCGCAGGCCTTCTGCAAGATGAACATGCTTTTCCCCCTGCTACGGAAACCTCATCTGCCTCCTTTCCTGCTGCATGCAGAGTAACAGTGGTGAGCCTGCTGGCCCCTGAATGAATCGAGTGATGCTGTGCCTGCGGAGATCTCACAGGTATCCTCGGAGAAGCAGCAAAATGCTTGTTTCATTCAACCTTGACTCAGTAGCGACACACCTTGAGAGGTCCCCACACAGCCCGTGCGGGCTGAGCACAACTGCTCTCTGCGCTCCTGTGTGACCGAGCAGTGAGCTCATTCAGCCGCTTTCCTGAGGGTCACAGCTTCTACTGAAAAAGCAAGGAGCAGAGTAAGGCACCATGTAAAAAATTCACTTCTGGAAAACATGTATCCATCATCATAGGATTTAGAATTTCCTGAGACTGCTGGTGATACTGAAATATTATACATAGGACAGTGTGGTTTTCCACGTCCTATGACAAAGTGGCCATGCTGTGTAGATCCCTCTACGCTGCGATAGCGGGATGTGGCTGACCAGGGTGTCGGGGAGCCAGGGTTTCATTCTGTTATCAGCGTCCTAGGTTTGGAAATTAGAGGGACAGAAGACACGAAGCGCAAGATAAAGCAGAGTGTGAAAGGTCATGGGTAGCTTCGGATTCTCAACAGTAACCAGTAATTAAGAAGCTCACACTATCAAGACACTCAGAACTATTAAGAAGAAACGATCTGAAAAGGCAAGTGGCCCGAGGCTTCCTTCCACCATTAAGTGTATTAACTTTTTTTTTGTCTTTTTGAGATAGGGTTTTGCTAGGCTGCCCTTGAACTTACAACGATCCTCCTGCCTCAGCCTCCTGAGTGAGGGGTTTCAGGCGCGCGCCGCCATGCCCCGCTATTAACTTTTTTTAAAAAAAGAAATTAGTACTGTTTTATGAGTTCTTGACCTTCCCTTATTTTCTGCCAATGAACTAGAGTTGCACTGAGGTGTGCTGTGGAGGACGGCTCTCCCTGAAAGACCATTTGTCTGCGTTTTGGCCGTGCTTCCGTGTACTGACCTGTGCAGAGCTGGCCAGGCTAGTACTCCACCCCCTCAGCTGGCTGTAAGCCCTGAAATGGGAGGCGCTGATGTGTAGCCTTTGAAGCAACGCACAGGTCAGTGATGCCCGCCCGCTCCCCCCGCCCCCATGGCTCCGTGCTACTGAGCCCGAGCTAGGCCAGGAACCGGCACCATCAGCGGGCCTGAGCCCGGAGACAGAGCCTGTGACGTCTCTGGCAGAGGGTCAGACATCAAAGCTGAGGCAACTGACCAAAACCAGCAGATACTTCCTCTGTGTTAAGCAGATTGCTCTACACTTAGAGGTTCCTTGTCACCAGAATCCGTACTCCTGCACACCTCGCTCTGCACATTGCAGAGGTGCCATTGTACCTCCCACCCAGCCCAGCTCACGGCACTCACACACTTCCCGCCGCTCTCAGTCACCCAACCCGAGCCACTCCCCTCTTCACGGATTAATAAAAAGCACAGGTTTGGCCCCGGGTCAAGGCCTTTGTTCCCATTAGCCACTGTTCCGACTGGAACAAAGATATGTCTTTGTCTCTTTATTCTCGCCGTGGGTTGCACTGGAAGCGGTAGGTCTGAATTCACCTTCTAGAATTTCATTAACTTTTCCTTGGGATTGCACACATGAACTCCTCCGGAACCCAGGGCCGGATCTGATGGGCTCTCTATGGTGCAGCTGTTCTGTGTTTTCTTTGAGGCAGGGTCTCCCTGCGTAGCCCAGGCTGGCCCTGGACTTGCCGCTCCCGCCACCGCCTCCCGCGTGCTGGGATTACAGCTGTGCACCGTCATGCCCAGCTGATATTGGTAATAAGCACAACAGCCTCGAATTTGGAACTCTGAGGGTCAAGCTTAAGATGAACTTAGAATCGTTAATAGGAGGAAAAGTAAAATTTTCAAAATAGATTTCCTTGCCGAAAGGAGATTTTAAAACCAAACAGCTAAGAACACTGGAATGGATCCGTGGACTCTTAACTCCAGGGCTGAACAGGAAAGAGCGGCCGACAACAGCGGCTGCGGGGATGCCAGGCGGGCTGCGGTGGGGCACACGTGCGCACGCGCACACCTCACACTGTGACAGGCACTAACGCGGAGGAAAAAAGGTGCAAAACCACGCCAGCAAACCTTTTTCTGGATAGCCTGATTAGATCCGGGGGTCACGTCCCGAGTCCCCGGCTTCTCCATCATCATCAGCCCCGCCCGAATGCAGCAAACTGAGAAGTTTAACATGCAGACAGCCTGGACTCCGCGAGGATGTGAACAAAACCCTTCACACACCTTTCTGTAACCTTCAGCAGCGATGACTGAAATACTCACCCCTGGAAAAGTCCTATACAAGCTTCATGGAATTGCTACGCTTTTTTTTTTCTTCTCTGAAGAACTGACTTTAAAAGAATTTTGTTTTTGTTTTTTGTTTTTTTTTGGTAAATAGGTATTTATTTGAAATGAAAAAAAAATACTTAAGTACCTGGACTATTGCATTTAATCATGTATTGTAATTGTGTTACTCTACCTTTCTGCATCAGAGACAGATATACAATGAACATTCAGATATCACAGATTGCATACTAGATAGGAATTCGTCAGGCCTTTTACATTACCACCAAAACAGTTATCGGATTCTAAAATATTGTACAAAAGTCCACAGTCAATCCAGTCTTAGCCAGTATCTTCAGTTTACTTCTGTTGCTGTACAAACAATCGGCCATTACTAGGGCTTACAAGTTAATAACAGGACAAAAAATATACATCGCACTGACACAAAAAGTCAGCAGTGTTAATAGTCATGCAACAAGTAACCAAACTTGCTGAAATTAAAAATACTTTCTAGAAACAGTTTTAACAGCATAAATATTTTATACAGTTCATTTACCAAAACAAAATGTATTTAAATGATACAAAGCAAAAATAAGTTTCTACCAACTTTATACATAAGAAAGTGCAAAATAACTTATCTAGAATGTTTGCTATTACCCAGATGGATGGCTGCTACGGGCAACTGTTCTCTTCCTCGGAAGCGTGACCTTACACTTGCACACGATACACACATACACGTGAGCACATGGGTGCTCGCACGGTGATGGGGTGGACGACAGACCCCGAGGTCAGGCAGGAGCCTTGTGAGGTCCTCTCGCAGGGAGAGGTGGGGTGCACGGGACTGTGACGGTGAACAAACTTACACAGAACACAGAGAGATCAGCTCGGATGCGAGTGTACCTGGCTGTGAGCCTGTGATTTGTGTGTCAGGAGCAAAAGGAAAAGAAACCCGACTGCACGAGGCAGTCACCCACAGCACCAGCTGCCAGAGGAAATACTATTGTGAGGGTTTTGGTTTCTGCCTCCTAGTTCTGGAAGTTGTGTTGGAAAGCTGGAAAAGTGTTCATTCCATGTAGCTTCAGATGACATGCGGGAGCAACCTGCAAGTGACCACACACACACTCCTATATTGCAGTCCTTAAAGAACACCTCTGCTGTTGGGGACGGGGTAGACACGGTTCACGGACACAGGAGGACGCCTCTTAAAAAGTGTAGAATAACACTGCTACAACGCATCCAGAGGCCGACAGGGCGGGCCGCCGCTGGGAGCGGGCACAGTCTCTGCGGCTGGTGACCGGCAGCATCAGTGACAACGGCGGGAGGGCGAGGACAGGGCAGAAAGGAAAACGACACGGCTCTTCTTGCAGTGATAGTATGAATGCCAATTTTCCTTTTATTAACAAGTACGCTTGAACTTTCAGAAATAGAAGTGTTTCCATCAGTTCTGATATGTACTCATAAATAGACTGTAGGCTCAAACCTAGGTAAATAAAGATCTGAATTTAGTAAGCATAAGGCACTGAAGCAGCCTTTATATTTTCTCTTGGAGACCTAGTTATCAGGAAGAACAGATCTGTTCTTAAGCTGGTTTCAGCCTATCAGGTAACAAGATCACTACTGTACCAAATGCCTAGTTTTGAACACGTGTGCATATATGTGCATTTTAGTGCATAAGAGTGCCTGTCACCAGGGCCTAACGATGAGGAGTTGGGAAAGTCAAAGCCACCGTCCCCGATGCCCCGTGAGGGTCCGAGTGCCTGCTCTTCCTTCCTTGGGCCATTGATGATCCACGCTTTTCGAATCACCAGGACTTTCAGGATTGTTTATAATATTATCATTAAGTATCTGAAAATGTTAAAATCTAGATTAAGTGTTTTATTTGATTTTATATATATATTTATATTTATGTACATAACACACGTTTTTAAAAATCCCACCACCAAAGCCTTTTCTGTAAACTAATCTCTTATCCCCCTGCTAGCTTCAATCCCCCTGGATTTGTGTGTTTCGTATCCAACTAGAACGAATTAAATAACTAAATATTAAAATACTGTAATTATATTCATAGCAAAAAACAAAAAAATAGACATTGATACAGTATAAATCTCACTGTTTTTCAGGTAGATGGCATTAAATGGTAAAGGTTAGTTTTAAGCAGTTCTGACATGATCCAGTTTTACAACAAGGTTTAAAGGTTAGGTCTGTACACTTTTTTTTTTTTACCCTTTTTTGAAAATAAACTATAGTAGAACATTGGTATCACCAAAGACACATACTTATTATGTTCTATGCAAGAGAAGCTAGTTTGGGGTTACATGCAAATATATTTCCATTGCGGAGGCAGGGCTGCCCCGACACCACCGGTCACGTGACCTCCGCTGCCACATCAGGAAGGTCCGCTCCGCACACAGGGTGGCTGCGTGCGTCTCGGGGCCGCATCACCAGGAACGACCCCGAGGTGGCGCGCACAGCCAGGCGCGAGGTGCCCCGCTATTTCCAGGCTACTTCCGGCGAGGCTTCCTTTCTCCCCACTGTTCCCTAAACAAGGTCCACTTTATTTTGGTTACTAGCCTAGTGTGAATGGGGACACCGCGGGCAACTTAAAAGAAAAGACATCAGGCACACGGGCTGGGTTTGTAAAGAAAAAAAGAAGAAGAGAGAAGAAAAGAAAGACCACAGATAATGTCCTCGAGGATTTAAAAAAAATATTTATAATTAGTTGGTGAGAGATGGTAGACAAACCATAGAGTTCACCGAGTTAGTGGTTTAGTTTGAAGTCTCAGGTTACAGGCAGTTAGGTCCTTATTTAGAAAAAAAAAGGCCTTTATACCTATTTACAATATACACAGTTACTTGCAAAGAAGTCAGATTTACAACCATTTTCTAAAAGCCTTTTTTTGTTGTTGTCTTTGTAGGTTTTCCAAATAAGGATGGAGAGCTCTATAAAAATGAGATGCAGGGAAAGACAGTTGTTAAGTGAGGGTTTGTTCTTGGAGCCAGATACTGTTACCGGGGAGAATCGGACAGCGGAAATGTCGCTGCTAGGAACCACCTCGCCTTCTCGGGCTGTTTGCCAGAGCGTCCGCCCCGTCCCCATGCTCGACACCCATTTCTCCGGTGATCCCTCTAGTCCGACGCTGCAAACACGTGGTGTGAAGAGATGTGTAAACGGAGACTCGTTTCCGTGCCTTCCGAGCCGGGACAGGGAAGCAGGAAGGGTCTGGAGGCCTGGTCTCTGACCAGCTGGTTCCGGCTTCCCTCAGCAGTTTCGGGGCCCGTCCTCCGAGCCCCTCTCGTGCTGCAGGTTATAGTAACAGTTCTGGCAAACTCGCACCGGAGAGGAGATTTTCAGGCGTTTGATTTCAGACTGAAACCGGCTGCACCTAGTGGAAAGGGAAAACCAGTGAGTTAAGAGTTCCTCCCCCACGTGCAGGCTCCGTGATTTAACAATCAAGGGGGAAGCTTGCAAAGTGATGCCAAAGGCCATGCTGCTGAGGGTCTGTGGGGAGGACCAGGACCATTGGCTTCAGCCTAGACAGAAAAGCAATGCACCAGTGAAGCTATTTCCTTCACTGAAGAGAATCAAAAAAAAAACGATTCCAGATCTTCCTGCGGAGGAAACCACCAGCTGTGACGGCGCTCCGTGGGTCGTCTAGCTGGTCCCTTCGGCTTAAACAGGCAGAGGCAGCCAGCGTGCTCCCAGCGAACTGAACTGCCTCCCCTGGAAAGCGGGAGGCTCACTGTCCATTTTATTTATTCAGGTCAGGGATGGATCACTGCCATTTCATGTATTTACATATTTCTATGATGCCTGTTTCTTATTAACACGCACTGCTTTCCACGCTCACAGGATTAGGGGTGACATACGCAAAGACACAGCACACCTTGAGCATATTCACAGACCTCTCCCGGAGGCACCCCGCCAGCCCCCGGGAATCTCTATTCCACTCGCTGCCCAACTTTTTTGTTTAATTTCTACCAATGAGAGAAAGCCCGTGGCCCTTGTCTGTCTGGGTCTGATTTATTTTGCTTAACACGACATCTCCTAGTTCACTCATTTTGCTGCAAATGACAGACTTCATTCTTCTTTATGGCCAAGTATTATTCCACTGAATTTACAGAGGATATTCTGTCTATTCATTCACCTGCGGGGGCACCTAGATTTTGGGGAGCTGCCACTCCGGTTTCCAAAGCGGCTGTGCTAATTCACATTCCCACTAAAAATGTGTAAGAGTTTCTTTTTCTCTATGTGCTCAGCGGTCCTTTGCACTTCCGTACATTTTCTGACTGTCTGTTCTAGTTCTGTGAGGAATGTTCTTGGTATTTTGATGGGGATTACACTGAATCTGTAAGTTGCTTTGGGTAGTGTGGACATTTTCCCAATGTTAATCCTTCTAATCCATGCACACGGAAGGTCTTTCCTCCTTTTAGTCTCCAATTTATTTCTTCAGTTTTGCAATTTTCACCTTAAAGGTCCTTTATTTCTTGAGCTATGTTTATTCCAAGGTTACGTTTATTGTGGTGGTGGTGGTTTCTATGAACTACTCTCAGGCTTTCTTCCTTGGCAAGTTCACTGGTTTGTGTATGTTGATTTTGTATTTTGCTACTTTACTGAAATCATTCACAGCTCTAATAGTTTTTTGGTGTAGTCTCTAGGCTTTCCTATGTATATAATCATGTCACCTGCAAACAGGGGTATTGTACCTTCCTCTTTTCTTGTTTGTATATGTTTTATGTCCTTCTCTTGCCTCAGTGCTCGGGCTAAATGTTTTAGTAGTCTACTGACTAAGAGTAGTGGGAGTGGACACCCTGTCTTGTTCTGATCGGTGAGGAAATGTTTCATTTTCCCTCCGTTCAGCATTGTGTTGGCTACGGGTTGCTCATTACAGCCTTCACTACGTTCAGAGGGGATTCTTCCATAACTTCTTCAGGGTTATTGTGAAGGAATGTTTCCACCGCATCTACTGAGATAATCCTCAGAATTTTACCATTCCGTCTGCTCATGGGATAGAGTGCATGTTTTGATTTGCATACCTTGCACCCCCTTGAATGAAACCTTTGATCTTGGTATATGATCCTTTTGATGGGCTGTGCATTCGATTTGCTAGTACTGCATGTCGTGGAGGATTTTCGTACCCATATTCATCAAGGGCAGAAGGTCACAACTTCCTCTGCGCTGTGTTTTTGTCAGGTTTCTGTAACAGGGTAACTACGGGTACAGAATGAATTGGAAGGGTTTTTTTCCCTTTTAATTCTATGGAGTCGTTTGAGAAGCACTGGTATTACTTCTTTAAAAGTGTGGTAAAATTCAGCAGTAAACACATCTAATCCTGGGCTTTTCTTCATTGGGAGATTTTTTTTTTTAAATTACTGATTCAGTCTCATTAACCATCATTGGTATATGCTGGTTTTCACATCTTCTTGGTTCAGTTTTGGTAGGTCATATGCCTCCCACAGTATGTCCATCCCTTCTAGATTTTCTGATTTGTTAGCGTGTAGTTGTCCAAAGTAATTCCTAGTGACACTATTTTTCTGTTGTACGTGGTAAAGCCTCCTTCCTGTTCAAACACGGAATTTCATTTATCTGGGTCCTCTCTCTCCCTCTCTTCTGTTGTTAGTCTAGCTCAAGTTTGTGAATTTTTTTACTCTTTCAATGTACCAACTCTGTGTTTCACTGATCCTTGGAGCTGTTCTTTTAGACTCCATTAATTTCTACCCTGATCTTTATTATTTCATCCCTTTTACTAATTTTGGGTATGCTCTTCTCTTTTCAAGTCCTTGAGATGTACCACTATGTTATTTTAAATCTGATTTTTTTTTTTTGATGTACTGTAGACAATCATTACCATAAACTTCTCCAGAACTGCTTTTACTGTTTCCCACTTTTTTTTTTTTTTTTTTTTTTGAGACAGAGTCTTGCTATGTAGTTGAGCAGCCCAGGCTGGCTTCGAACTTGCAGCAATCCTCCTGTCTCAGCCTCTCGAGTGGCTGGGATTACAGGCATGTACCACCATGCCTGGTTCCCACATGTTTTGATCATACTGTATTTCCATTTTCATTGGCTTCAAGGAATTTAAAATTTTTCTTTTGGCTTCCTCAATACCCCACTGTCCATTCTAAACTGTGTTGTTCAGTTAAATCCATGTGACCTATAGTGTAGTTTAATTACGATTTTTTTTGTTGATTTTTGTCTAAATGATGTATCGACCGGTGAGTGCATAGTACTGAAATACCCCACTAAAGAAAGCCTACCTTTCTTTTGAGGTCTAATAATGTTTAATTTTATAAAATTGGATGTTCTGACATTAGGTTTACAATAATTATATTTTCTTTCTGAATTTAGTCATTATATAGTGATTCTTGTTGTGTCTCCTTACTATGCTTGTCTCAAAGTCTATTTTGTCAGATGCAAAAACAGGCATTTATACTTGCTTTAGGATTTGTTTGCTTGGAATATAATTTTTGATGCTTTCCCTTTCGGCCTGTCTTTACTGGTAAGTTTGTTTTTTTTAATAGGAATGATAATGGTGGGTCTTATTTTTTCTGTTCAGTCTGTATCTTTTAATTGGAGAAAGAAGACCATTCCGGATTGTTATCAAAAGGTACAGACTGATATCTGTCATTTTGTAGATTTTCTTCTAGCTGTTTTGTATATTCTTTGTTCATTTCTTTCTTTCTTAGTTATCTTTGTAGATTGATGGTTTACTGTGTTGATCATATTTTAATCTTTTTGGCTGCAGGGTATCTACTCTTTTAGTGAGATTTATACTTTACCTGCTACCATGATAGTGCTTATCTTTTACTCCCTCCCTTAAATATCTTTTGGTAAGGCTGGTAATAAACTCCCTTGTTTTTTGCTTACGTTGCAAGGTCTTTATTTCTCCTCCATTTTTGAATCTATTCCTATTGGTTGGCAGTTATTTTCTTTCCAGACTTGAAAGACATGTCCTCCTGGCTTATAGGGTTTGCCCTTAAATATGACTATGTGTATTTTTTTTGAGATTTAAAAATTCTCATTTAGTCTTGTACATTTACAGTATGACTGTAATATGTTGTAGTGGGGATCTTTTCTGGTCATGTCTATTTGGGACATTCATGGCTTTTCCAAGGTTAGGGAAGTTTTCTGCTGTTTTATTACAGAAGAGGTTTTCTGTGCCTTTTACATTTGATTTCCTTCCCCACGCAATGTACTGTACCAATGATGCAGATGTCTGTTTACTGGTGTCCCAAGGATCTTGAAAGCTGTCTTCGTTCTTTCTTTTTAATATGAGTGTGGTACTGAAAGACCAGTGTTCAAACCTGGATATTTTGTCTTCCACTTGATGTAGTCCGTTGAGACTTCTAACTGAATTCTTATTTGACTTATTGAGCTTTTCATTTCCAATACTTACTTGGTTCTTTTTCAAAATCTCTCTCTACTCAACTTTTCATCCACATTCTACATTTTCTTCCTACTTTCACCTGCTTACCTGTGTTCTCTTGGATCTCACCAGAGCACCTGAAGCAGTCAAGCTACCTCAGTCTTGAGAAGGACATCTTGCCTGGACAATTTCAGTCATTAGTTGCTAGGCAACCTTGTGTGTCATGATAGGAACTTTGCAAAATAAATAAATAAATAAACAAACAAATGAACAAACACCCCTACTGCTGTTGTTCAGTTCTTCTCCCATCTAAAGCCTCTGGCTGTTTTTCCCCGGGAGTGCTGAGAGCCCAACGAGTCTCAACAATAGCTCATGCAATAACTAGACAAATGAACTGAATAGACACTTCTTAAAAGAAGTAGTGCAAACAGCCAGCAAGTATATGGAAACATGTTCAACATGTTTAGCCATTAGGGAAATGACTATGATTCCATCTCTCCCAGTCAGAAAGGCTATCATCAAGAATACAAGAAACAATCAGTGCTGCTGAGGGTGCAGGGGAAAGGAACCCTCTGTACTACTGGTGGGAACATAAATCAGTGCAGCCATTACAGGATGCAGTACGGAGGCGCCTCAAAACACTAAAAACAGAGCTGCCTACCAGCTGATCCAGCCCTACCCTTGGTATACACTCGGAGGAATAAAGCCAGCATATGACGGGGACACCTGCATACCCATGCTCACCATGACACAATTCACAAGAGCATGGCTGGTGGAACCAGCTTGGTTGCCCACCACAAGATTTACGGATAAGGAAAATAATATATATATATATATATACACACACACACATTAAAAGAATGGAATTATGTCATTTGCACCAAAATGGATGGAATTAGAAGACATCATCTTAAGCTAAATAAACCACTCAGACAGATACCGCGTGTTTCCCCTAAAATGCAGAATCTAAGAAAGATGCCACGGAAGCAGAAGGGAGACTATTATTAGACAAGGGGAAGGGAATAAGGGGAGAGATGGCAGCAGTGCACAGCTGGGACAGAAAACAACGCTGGAAGATGGCAGGGGTGACGCGCGCTCTCGGGACAGTCAGCATGCAGGGAAGGGCCTGAGGAGGGAAGAGGACCCCGGTGTTCACGCCCACTCCCCCACACGTCTCTGATGCAGGTGGGAGGGAAGTCCCACTGCAGGCACCGCTGACGCTGATGTCTGTGCCTTTTCTGACAGAAGCATCTGCAGCTGTGGTAATGGGAAAGAAGGAAGAGGCCCTGGGGTCAGCGGTGCGCGGAGCCTGCCCCAGCCTGCCCCGCTTACTTCTGGCAGAAGAGCTGGCCGCAGTTCCTGCAGTGGTGCCGCCGCTCCGTGAGCGAGAAGCGCACCGAGCAGCCGGAGCAGCTGTCCCCGCCTTCATCCTTCACCCAGTGGTCGGCCGCACAACGGCCCGGCTGGTCGCTCACCGACCAGCTGAAGACTCGGCCTTCGCTGTCCCCAACCAGGATCCTGCTATGGTCCCTGTGGGAGACAAGGGCGGGAGTTGGGCCGGGGGGCTGGGCTGGTGAGGGTCCCCCGATGCCCTCGGGGAGCAGTGCCAAAGGAGACAAGGACAGAATTCAGATCAAACAGACTCTTCTGTTCAGTGGTCTTTGGATCAAATCCTGCTGGATCTCTGAGGAACACGGCACACAGATGATTTTTTTGAGTTGAGAATTAAATCCACAGATGACCATGTTTCTTTTACAGATTCAAAAGATCTTCAAGCTACTCTGGATAAGCCACTAGGATCTGCTTTCTCCAAGGGCTGGGCTGAGCCCTGTGGCCCCAGCTGCTGAGTGCTGAGGAGGGAGGGGGCTGGGGCGTCTGGCCACTTACTTGGACACGCCCAGCGCGGTGACCTCGGCTGGGTGCGCGTTGTCCTTGCGATCGAAGGCTGTGTGCATGGTCAGCTTGCTCCTGAACACCAGCTGCCGCTCCCATCGGTAGCCTGGGCAGAGGCAGAGAGGACACACTGAACAGAGGAAGGCACGATGCCTTGTGGGCTAAGAGCTTGGCATGCAGCTGGAGCAGCTTTGGGGACAGCCATCTAGCTGGACATCCCCAGGGGCCAGCACGGCCCAGCACGTGACAAGAGAATGGAACAGAAGGGGACATCTGCAAGGCAAGATTTCGAAGACCTTGCTCTGACTCTTATAGGCAAAGCTGGCTCCTAATGCAGTTTTTTTTTTTTTTTTTTCTACCTGGGACTTGCTTCTTTTTGAGACAGGGTCTCCCTATGCAGTTCAGGCTGGCCTTGAGCTCACTGTGTAGCTCGGGTTGGCCTCAAACTCACAGTGATCCTCCTGCCTCAGCCTCCCAAGTGCTGGGATTACAGACCTGCGCCACCACACCCAGCACTTATTTTCAAAAGCTTCCATGATACTTCACCATTTGTCAACAAATGCACTTTCTGGGTTGACGTATTTCTTCTTTAAACATTTCCCAGCATGTTGAAGACCCCTTCATATGAGACTCTAAATCTGCTCTGCATGGGAAGGACCACCTGAGGCCTTTCTCTGGGGGTGGCTGAGGTCACAGCATGTGTCAGGGGCAGGACAGAGCCCAGCGAAGCTGGACCCACTCCCTGGGTCCACCAGCCCTCAGCCCACCTAAAGGCAGAGAAAGATGCCGGACTTCAAGTTACCAGGTTTCAATCTGCTGTAACTCCTCGCTTCCACGGGGTTGGGGTGGGGGTGGCTGAGGGGACCCTGCAGGTGGGCTCTGGCCTGGCCCTCGGAATAGTTCACAAATATGAAGCCATCTTTCTCATCGAGACTGAGCTGGTCAGACCAGCGCCGAGAGTCGTCTGAGCTGCTGTCGGTGCACCAGGTGGCTGTGGCTCGGCAGGACGCCGCCCGGGGCCTGTGGCTGGTGCTGCTGGGCTGGCTGGGGACGTCCCTGGGCTCCTGGGTGATGCTTGGCTCCTCTGCCTCAGAGTCACTGCTGTCTTCGTCCTGGGGTTCCTGCCCTGGGAGAATTAGAAAACGCAGACGCGTCACAGCCAGGCCCAACTCGGTCTCATCACTCTCTTCTACCAGATTTAAGACATGAGAGACTCAATAGTTATCGCTAAGTTTTAACAACAAAAAAAAGTACAATTTTTAGCACAACTGAAGACAGCAAAAGAAGAGTAGCCTGTCTGAAAGAACCCACAGAATCCTTTGGGGAAAACCTTTAGCCTGGCATTCAGTTTCACGCTCCCTCCCGTCCTGCTTGGTGGGGCCTCAGGTGTTCTTCGCACAGCCTCGCCTCCTCACCGGGTGCTGCACACGTTGCTGTCCCTGCCAAGGCCTTGGTCTGTCTCCCAGCGTCTGTGTTCTCATGATGCCTGACTTTCAAGGCCAAGCTTCAAAACCATTTCTCCAAAATCTCACCCCATTCCTTCTGCTGAAAGCATTTCTTCCCTCTCTTAGACACCCGTGGTAGTTCTGTGCCTTTCAGATACTTGAAATCCTTGCCCTGAGTTACAACATCTACACATTCTTTCCCTAAGACGGTACAGTCTGCTCGGGAGAAGGGCCCGCACGCAGTGTCTTGCCTGTTGCAGTCTGACTGAAAGGCAACGAATACAAATGAGTTCCTGATGAAAACTTCAGTCTTTTTTTTTTTGTTTCATTTTTGTTTTTTTTTCTGGTACCAGGGATTGAACTCATGACCTTGTGCTTGCTGGGCAGGTGCTGTACCACTGAGCTAAATCCCCAGCACCAGAAAGCTTCAGTCTAAGATTTTGGTTTCCTTCCATTTTCCACTGTCATTCTGCCTTTCCTCACACCAGTTCTGTGCTCTCCTGCAATCAAGTCTTGTAAAGGAGAAGTAAATACGTGTAACTGGGAAAAAAGGAGAAAAAGCAACAGCAGGTGCAGCCAGGTGTGGTGGTGCACTCCTGTAATCCCAGCACTTGGGAGGCTGAGGCAGGAATTCTAAGCCAGTCTGAGCTACACTGTGAGACCATCTCTCAAAAAAAAAAAAAAAAAAAAAAAGTGAGCGTGCGAGTACTGGCCCTACACACACATTCCTTCTTAGCAGGACAGATACGCCATCTGCCAGCCTTCCACTCTACAGGAGTCCAGGAGACGGCCCTGGATGGTATTGCACCCCAGTGGCTTGTCCAAATCAGCCCTCAGGTCCTTGGAAATGGTGTTGAGCTCCAGGGAACCCCTAAAGCGTCTCCCTTTTCACTCAAGGCCTCCCTGAAGCCTCCATGAATGAATCCTTCCATTACTATGATGTCCAGGGTCCACCCCTCCCTGCAGGCTGTTTTCCCCTCTACCAAACTCTGTCCACAGCAAGCATAAGGAGGAGGATGAGGACACGTAAGTCTCTTCACCCAAATCCTACCGCCTTCCACCTCACTACTCCATCTTCCACTGTTACACTTTGCTCAGGGAAGGGAAACTGAGCCACTTCTCACCAGTGTCTGTAGCTTACAGGAAATCCCTGCTTGCTGAACTGAACAGAATTTCTACATTCCTGAACACCCAGGTACCTCTCTGGTGGGGATGCAGGTGACTACATAGGAGTTTACTATGTTAAAAGCAACAAAAGGGTCCAAATGGACTCCCCATGAGATCTTTTCTGCCTTCCAGGAGGGGAAGGGAGTGCTTTCAGCTTACAGAGACAGGGTTTCACTATGCAGTTCAGGCTGGTCTTGAACTCACTTCGTAGACCAGGCTGGCCTCAAATTCGCAACACTCCTCCTGCCTCAGCCTCCCAAGCGGTAGGATTACAGGCGTGTGCCACCATGCCCGGCTCAGAGACGTGATTTGCGTCTTTCTGGTAGCAAGGCTTTTCCCTTAGGAGCATCCCCATATTGTCCGAGTCACCTTAGTTCTCAGTGCACAAAATCAATCACAGAGAGAAAATCGGAAGGTTACACCTGAAGCCTGATCTTTGCCTGGCAGCAGCTGCTCTGTGTAGGAGGGCAGCTGCTCTGGACGTGACAGGCAAGCGTAACTCGGCCCTGTGGCACTGTTTTCATCATTTTGTGTGGAAATCATCTAGCTGTATCTTTCAGTGTAAAAATGTCCAGGGATTTACAAATAATAGATAATGGAGCTTCTGCTTGAATCACAGCCCTTGATGAGCAGGTATGGGTGCAGATGCCGAAGGTGGGCTCTGCCCGGCCTCTGTGGATGGTTTGCAGTGGTGATGCCACCCTGTCACGCACACCAGGCCAGCCAGAGGCTGGGCAGGACACATGTGGTGCTAGGGCATGGAGAGGCCTGACCTTCCAGCGCCGCAGCCTCCAGATCGGCTTTGTATTTGCAGGATGGAGGCCCCACCCTCAGCGCTCCAGGAACCCTGCGTGCAGGATGAGCTGTGGAGGTGAACCCGAGGTGACCTGCCACATGCGTGGTCGAGGAAGCAGGACAGAGGCTGGCACACCTGCCCAAGGGGGCTGCACAGCAGACAGTGATGGTGCCCAGTCCTGGCTCTGCGTTACCCTGCTCGGTACCCACAGTGACCACCCCACACAAAAAAAGAAAGGAGGCACTGATAGAGTGAGCTCTGCGCAGTCTGAAATACCTATTTGTGCTTCTGGACACTCCTCCTGCATTTCTAGGACTTCAGCAGGTTCAGGAGCTGGGGTTTCAGGAACTTGCAAAAATTCCATCCTCCAAAACTACACATAAGGAAGCAGGGAAATAAAAGACAGTTAAGAAACAGATGCAGGAAGCCATCCACATGCTACTGGGTGAAAAGACGTTCTCCGGTAAATGAAATTCTCACGGCTGTGTATATGCAGTGGCCGCCTCACTCGGTGGCCGTTCGGGGCAGACGGAAGAGGACTGCGGTCAGGTCAGCTTCAACACAGCTCTGCTATGCAAGTGAGCATCTGCTTCTGGCAAGGGCCTCTCAGCATCTTGCAAGCACGAACGCGCACTGCAGATGCCCAGGAAGGTCCAGCCAGCGGGACCTGCAAGGCCTTAGGTTGTGGGGCTTTTACAGAGCATGCGTCGGTCTGGGATTGAAACACTGCTCTTGAGAAAGCCCTTGGTACGGGGGGCAGTGAAGGCCGGCCGACAGCCCAATTGGCACTCAGCATGGATGGACCAGGAAGGGCGGCTGCACTTGCCTCTGACCAAGCACATGATTAAAGAAAACAGGAATGAGAAAAAATCTCCCAAGAAAGAAAAGCTCAAATATTTGAGCGGACTACACAGGTGAATACTCTGTTGATTCTCTTTCCTGCAGAGGCCTGACACCCAGTACGCAAGATAAAGATAAACCGTGCCTGGGCTTCCGGCGGAATCCTGCAGGGTCCAGCCCGGGAGCGGCCAAGGGCTCTGCAGTGTCTGTAGCTCTGATCTCAGTAGAACAGACATCATTTTCCACGTCCCCCAGTGACGCCACCGGACAGGCCCAAAGCACTCACACAGTCCACACTGACAGCACTCCCAGCGGGCATGGGAGTCACGCGTGAGTGCCCTCTTGTGTCAAGCTGCCCAGGGTCAGTGTCTATAACACAGTGGCCAAGACGGACAGGGGGATGGGGGTGAGACTCGGCTGACCAGCACCACAGCCTGTGCCGGTGCCCTCACACCGCAGCTTCCCGAGGCGCCAGTGACTGGAGGAGCAAACAGCACACGAGGGTTTTCTCTGCGCGCCTTACCCGAACCACGCCATCCGAGTGTCCCGTCACGATGACGTTCTGTGTGTCCCACTCGTTCATCTCGGACACGCAGCAGCACATAATCTGCTGGCTCCGGCCTGTGAACGTGTTCACGCTCACGATGGGGTTCCCGTTAATGCTCCACACGTGGATGTACGTGCCAGCGCACGACACGATGTCCCCCTGGGAAGGGAAGGGAACAGCCCTCATTGTCTTCGTCCCCCGCCCAGTAAATGCTGGCTGCAGGAACGAACGGACTCACTGGCTGGCTCTCAGCCCTCAGAGTACAGGCTGAGTGATGTCAGAGCTTAACTAGAATTCAGCGCTTGCTGACTTAGAAAATATTCAACAAAGGCGTCTTAAGCACTCCAAGTTGGGTGGCTGCTGTGGCCAGGGGACAGCTGGGGACCAGAGGCGGGGCCGGGCCCCACGTCAGCAGAGGAGCTGCCTGCCGCCCTCGCTCCTCCCTGCTGTGCAGGGTCTGTCTGTCCTCCCCACCCAGAGGCGGGCTCCTCCTCTAACTCTTACATAACAAGTCCAACCACCCAGACCAGAGTGTGCAGGCAAGTTTTCACTCCAGATATGTTGTGCCTCCCTCTTCAACAAATAAAAAGACAGAATCTTGGTAACACTCCAGGGCCTTGTTTAAAAAACTGTCTTCACAGTGGAAGGAGGGGAAGAAGAGATATGGTACATGGGTCACTTCTTCCTAAGTTAGCAACTGGTGCTCTCACGAGTTCCGAAGCAGAGGAGAACACGCTCTCTCCTGATGCTACCAGGCTGGGACCTCCATGATGCTCCACTGCTAAAGGAAGCGTGTGCCTGCCATGGGGTGACACTTCTGTGTGACCCTACGTGACCTCCAGGGGTTAGCGGCCACAGCATGAAAGCTGGGGGCCAAGAGCCTAAGTTCCCTGCTAACATAAGAGTCTAGATTTGAGGCCAGCTCTCCGGATCCCCAAAGCCCACGAAGCACTGTGCTTCCCCTCACCCCTAGGGTGGCCTGGTGTCCTGATGCCAGGGGCTGGTTTAGAAATGATCGTGAAGTTTGGTACAGTCAGGGGACGCAGATGGCCTAAGGAATTTGGAGATGGCCCTCAAAGGCAGCAAGGAAACCGCATGAGGGCGAAGCCTGGAGTTGGAGGACAGCTGTGAGGCGTTTCAGCCCCAAATGCAAACTAAAGTAGGGCAGACAGGGTGCAGAAGAAACCTCCGGTGTTGAGACATTGCAAACACATCTTAAAAGGAAAAAACCTAAATGCTTCTGTAATATTTGCAGCAACTCCTGCAGTCTAGTGGGTGTATAATAACGGCTCAAATAACTGACTATAAATAAAATTCTCACTAATCAGGAACAACCTCTAACAAAGCACCCTAACTCACGGGGTGAAGCCTTTGACTCCGAGCAGCCCTGCTGGTGGGCTCGGCAAAGCTCTTTAGGTGCTCATTTTAAGGGCACCCCAACGGGGTGCTCGGAAATATCTGGACCTTCTAAATATCAAACATCCCCCACTGGTTTCCAGCCGAGTCCTGCTCTTGTCACCAGACACTGAATTTCTTTCTTTCCTTCTTCTTGGAGTAACCACCAGGTATGTGACTGAAAACATGAACCTAGCATCTTCTGGCAGACAGGACAGCTGCAGCACCCCTTCCAAAGGAAAGCTGAGTGCGTGACGGGGCGGTAGCACACTTCCCACAGGGTCACGAAGGTGGCCCCAGGGCGGGGGCAAGGGCCAGGCCGGAAGGGGTGTGTGTGTGTGTGTGTGTGTGTGTGTGTGTGATTCAAACGCCAGTGCCACATTCACTTACTCACATGAAATACTTTGGAGAAGGGATGACATTTTATAACTTGGGGCTCTTTTACAAATTTTTCACGTCTGAGTACCCATACATATGAAATAAATAATTAGAATACATTTCACTAAAACTTTCAACAAAATTCTAACATCTTAGTTAGTTCCCTATGTTTAGAAAAGGAGACTGTTCTGTTTCATCTTAAGAAAATCATGCTCTTTTCAAACTGTGCTGCACCGAGATAAAACTGCTGGGCTCTGCATTTCAGCGCCCGTTCGCTGTTTCGACCACACAGGCAGTCACAGGAGGAGTGCCCGGCAGCGCGGAAGAACATCCAGGAGTCACTTCCTTAACTTTACCTTGGCCAGAGCAACCTGCTCCCCCACACGTGAATCCAACAGGCGGCTCACCACTTACCGTTAATTCGTTGATGCAAAGAGCGGAAACCGGTGCTCGGTGGCCCCGGAGCTGGGTTAGAAAGGACAGCTTGTTCAAGTCCCAGATGATGCAGGTCCGGTCTCGGGACCCACTGACGATGATGTGGTAGGCTAAGGACGCCGTGGCGCAGGTGACAGTGTCTGTGTGGCCCAGCAAGGCCTGCCAATGAGAACGGCAGGAAGTCAGTCGATGGCAACAACAGGACCCCCCCGCGAGACCCCAGGAGCCCCGGATGCGCCGGGAGACCTCTGGCTCCCTGTGGGGAGGGGGTCCCTGAGCCGGGGCTGGGAAGTGAGCAATACAGCTCCTTCTCTCCTGGGCTGCCTCGGCCTCACCCCACAGGCGAGCTCAGGCCCCGGGAAGTCTCCTCCTACGCAGGTGGTCATTGGCATGCACACAAGGGGTTCGGCTCCTTCCGTGGATGGCAAGGACACCGGTGTTCCATGTGGCTTTGGAGTGAGCACTGAATTTAAATCCTGCCTTGATCACGAGTGTGGCTGGGGTCCTATCTTGTGAGCTCTCTTAGGTACGAGGCTGTTTTTTGTTGGCACCAGAGAATGATTTCAGGGCCTCACACGTGTGAGGCAAGCGTTCCACAACGGAGATGCAACCGCACCCGTTTTAAATTTTACTTTGAGACAGGGTCTCATGACATCGCTCAGGTTGGCCTTGAACAGTCCTCCTGCTTCAGTTTCCCAAGTGTTGGGATTACAGGTCTGTGCCACTGAGACTGGTTGTTTTCTTAGTTGTAAAATGTAGCTAACAGTTACCTTGTAGATTTATGAGGATTGGAGTTCTGTATTTTTGAAACACACAGGTGTTCCATAAAAGACAGTATTATTATAATGCTTTTCAAATGTGTATCATAGAGAATCACTTAGATGCATGCCCTTTCTTTAAAAAATACCTTCTGATAAATTCTCTCATAAATATTATGGGTTGACTTAATTATAAAGAATTTTTGTTGGAACTAAAAATCAGTACTAGATTCAGACACACAGGGGATCAGAAAAGTGTTAGCAGAAGCCTCTTGGGCTGCAGTGATACATGCAGGACTTTGGCACAACCTGAAGGACACAAAGGGAGAAAGAGAACACAGACTCGGCGGGTCAGCTGAGTGGAATCAGCCAGAGAGAAATTAGTGTGAATCATGAACAAATATAATTTGGGTTTAAAGATTCAATGTACATCTAATTTCTAAGAAATATTTATATTACTTAAATATATTAAAATATATTACCTAAAGATTATTTGCTTCAGATTTCAAAAAGAATGAGAAGCAGTCAGATCAGTTTGGGGAGCACCCTATTCTGACTCACTCCAGGGAAGAAGGGCCTTCCTAGCAAGGGGCATTTCTGGGTGTTGGGCGTGGGGCCTGAGCCCCCTGGGGTCCGGACCGCCTGCCTCTCCGAGCCCACCCCGCACGTCACCTGCTTCAGCGCCAGGCTCTTGGCCTTCTCCTTGGAGGTGCCCATCTCCCACACACACACCGCCGTGCTCGTGCCGCCCGTGATGACCAGCTTGGGGTTGGGGCAGATGGCGCAGAGAATCTGGCCCCACTCGGACAGGCATTCGTATACGGTCACCGCCTGTGGGACAGAAGACCGTGAGACCTGAGGGCCCCATACACCCTGACTTCTGCAGCGGAAGAAGCAGCTCAGCAGGGGGCTGGGCCTGATGACAGCCAGGGCTGGCTTCATCTGCAGGGAGCCTGGCTGTGTCCTCCCAGAGCTTCCTACTGCAGCTGTGCTTGGGCCCACCTTAGAAAGCACTTTGTCCATGCGCGGGGGTGGGCACGGGTCTGGTTTTTCCACTAGGGAAGATGACGTTTGATTCCTCTGGTGCTGGTTAAGGTGCAAGGCGTGACCTAGTGAAAGGCTTGTCCCTGTGGCCCGAGAAAAGGCAAAGCGAAAGCACGCCGCTGTGTAGGGAGAACCCTAACCACAGTACCGCAGGCTGTGATGTCTGTCCTCTACCCACGGGGGAACGGGACCACCTGCGGCAAATAGGGGCATTCCGCCTCCCCAGCAGATCATCATGGGATGGGCTAACACGTTTTCTGTCAGCAATTTTAGAGAACTAAAATGCGAAGTGTGCCCGATGGTGACTTGCCCAAGGAGGTAGGCCCGGCTGGCCGAAATGAGCCCCTTGCAGCTATGATTGCTTGGAGGAAGTTCTGCGTGCTGGAGGGAAACCGCTCCCAACTTTCCAAGGGGGCTGGCTTGCTCTGCGGAAAACACAGCTCCTCCACCAGCTCCCTGACCTTGACCTGCAGCAGTGCTGTGCCCCTTCCTCCCAGCCTGGGCAGAACAGCTGATGGGACAAGCGCAGGACACCCGGACCAGGAGGACAAGGAGAACACGGAAGCAGGAACAGTGCCAACCTTGTCGGACTCGTAGGTCCCCAGCCTGCAGCTGAGGTCTGCATAGCCCCAGGCAAAAGTCTTGTTCCAGGTGGGCGGGATAAGAACCTTGTTCTGCTCCACTGCAAGGATGCCTTTGTCTGTGCAGACAATTTGTCCCACTGGCTCTTTGAGTTCTACAGAACAAACACATCATTGCATTAGGGCAGGGAAGGAAACTACCTTCAACACCCCACAGGGGACAGGAAGGTCATCGCAAATATTCATACAAATCAAGCATCTTGACCCTGAACTGAGACCAAACGGCCTCAGAAGCAGAGCTTGGCTTTGGTTCCTGCAAGACCTGCTGAGCGGGCCCCGACAGATGTTCTGTGGGGCTCTCCTGGCCTTGCTGCTTCGGGACACTCCCAGGGCCTCACACAAAGGCCTGGGGACCCAGCCCCACAGGCACTGTGTCCTCAGCCTCCCAAGATGGAGTCAGCCCCAGACTTCCTGGGGAAGGCCACGATACGCCGACGGGGACAGCACCAGGGCAGTCACTGGTGCCGCCTGGGCCTGGCACAGAAGTCTGTGCAGGGAGGTGAGATGGCCCAGAGCCCCCCATCGAGGTACCCAGACTTCGATGCTTCCATTCCAGTTGTCTGTGAAGTGACAACTGCACGGACTTTATGACATTTTAAAAAATTTTAACAGACAAGCTTCTATTTGAAAAAAAATGCTTTTGGAATACTCACCGTACCATTAGACAAAAGATGGATGCTTTTGGTTGGCACACTGCAAGTATGATTCCTTTACTGCTATTTCTGAGAGGCAGAATTTTATATAAATAAAAACAAAAACCAGATTTTTTTCCCTACAGGTAAAGCTGACGTCACAAAAATAGAAAAAAAATATAAACACCAACAAGCGCTGAGTATCAACTCCAACGTACAGCACTTATTACCCATCACGCTACCACCGAGGAGCAAGTGTGTCATTGCTAACGAGGGCGGCTAACCCATCCCCTCAAAGCACGAGTCACATGTGCCGCGTGATCTTACCTTTCACAGGTGTGAGAGAAGGTCGTAAGTTGTCTAGGTGATGGAAAAAGATCTTGTCATTGGAGCAGCCCGGAGGGACCGAGATTCCCGCATTGTCTCCATTGAGTCGACTCCTGACTCGCTTTGGTGGGTGGGGTTTCTTAAATAACTGGGGGGTGGGAAGATGACAGTTTGTAAGAAAAGGTAGCACGGGCTAGGCTGTCCTACAAGGACACAGCAAACGTCACCTATGACAGGCATCACGCATTGTTTCACTTAAGCTTCACAACAAACCTTAGGTACTGTATTTCCCCCACTTTACATGGGAAGAAAGAAATTAGCTCTCTTAGCTTCAAAGACCTAAGAGTGCCAGAGAACTAAGACCCTGCTCAGCAGGCTTAGGACTGTGACACTAAAGCTCAGGCTGTTCTATGCAAAGCTACATAACCTACTCCAACTACAGTTGACTGACAACTGTCTTCAGTGATGCTTTGACGTTAACCAAGTCTCTCTAGCCAACAGCACCCTGTGCCACCACCCAGGCAGCCTAAGGGGACCATTTCTGGCTCCCCTGGCCTCTCTCAATGGGATGCAGCAACACCAACTTGGAGTCTTTTCAGGGCTGCTGATGTGCCGACTGTGTGAACATTTTTACCTCATTAAGGCGATGATACAGAGGAAGGAAAGGACGGCAAAAATATGTGGCATTTTTGTGCAATGTCTCTACAGTATTAAAAATTGAAGTACATTTACGATTGTCTCCAAATAGTATAGATTTTTGAAATGGGCTTTAGAGTAGTGCCTGTTAGAAAACAAACGAAGAGGAAAATATGTGGACAAACTTAGATGAAGGGGGACTCAGGACAGATACAGCACCAGCACCCTTCGTGAATGAGACGCGCTTTCTAGGGAGGAGACGGGCGGCCTGGGCTCCCAGACCGTTAAATGCTTTCTTCCCGTCTTAGCTCTGGGCAGAAGTGCAGGGCCAGGGTTCTAGCACCGTCCACACATCATGCCGCGTCCCACACGAGACACGCACTGTAACACAAGCGCACGAGTGCACGTTTCCTGAAGAGCTTTCCTGAGGACACGGGCGGAGCGCCTGCCAGCGCTCAGAAGGGCACCGGAGGTCACACGGACACAGCGGCCATAAAACTCAGGCTTTCTAGGATGGTCCTCCGGGGCCCTGCTCAGTGGTGGTCCCAGAGACACACAAGCACCCCACGCCTCCTCCCAGCCCACCACCCCCCCAAGCGCGCCGAAGGGTTTGCTCGTTCAGATGTGTCCCACCCTCCTGCCCTTGTAATTCGCAGGAAAAAGGACAGGTTTAGCTAAGGTGTAGGTGCGATTTCCGGCTGCGAATGGGTTCACAGACAAGTCTCTACTTCAGGAGCGAGCCCATCTCCTTTGCTGGGGGATCAGATCGCACCGTGCCCGGTGTGGGACTGGCTGTCCTGGCTTTTCCATGGACACAGACAAGTCTCTGTCCTGTGTGCTCCAAGTGCCACCCTGGAAACCTCAAAGTTGGCCAAGCTAGAGAAAGGGGCTCCGGGAGAGCCCGGGAAGCAGGAGCAGAGAAATCGGCCAGGCCCACAGTCCAGAGCCACCAGCGCTCGGCACAGGTGGGCAGCGGGAGCAGGCGGCTGCAGCCCCCTCACTGCGGTTCCTCCCGTGCCCAGCCTCAGCGAGGGCCCAGGGGCGTGGCTCTCACTCTTGGGCTGCTGTGGTGCCGCCTGCCTGGGGCACTGCACGGCGCCCTCCTCACCTGCACCAGCACCTGCACGGGTCACCCAGCCAAACTGCATCAGCTGGGACCCGAGACTCCTCAACAGCCTTAACCTTTGCCCCGCGCTCCCTGCAGTGTGTGTCAGGCAGAAGCAGGGACACTGGGGCCAGCACAAACAGTACGAACTGGCCACTATGACCGTGTCTTTCCCCGCCTGAAACCTGCAGCAGCTCCCCGCGTACGGATGCACCCCATTTCTATGTGCACGGTGGTCGGCACGGTCCCGCTGGCGGGGATGAACACAGACAGGAAGTCACGGCTGGCTCATCTGTGACTGAGACAGTATTTCCGTTCATCTCAAGTGAAAGGGAGGAGAAAGCAATACTCTAGGAACCTACTGACACGATGGACAGGATCTGTGCCTCCTTATTAACTCGTGCTGCACCTAACGCTGCCCGGACATCTACCACCAGAAACGTCTCGGAACCCAAAGCCGAGTGCGCTGACGGGAGGAAGAGCGCTCCGCACCTGCTTGGGAATCTGGCCGAAGTTGTTGATGAACCCGATGGTGGCCGTCTCCTTCAGAGGGTCGTTGATGTTGTAGATGTCCACTTGGCCCTCATAGAAAAGGTGGTGGAAGACGTTGACCGCGTCCACTGCCGCCGGGCCCTGCTGCTTGTAGCCGAAGATCAGGTCGATCCACTCATGCAGATGGGCGCTCACGTAGTCACACTCTAGAGCCTGCGGTTCCAAAACAGGGCAGTCACGGGCTGGTCTGCGGCCTGCTCCCTGAGTCAAAACCCTCGGCCAGCCGCCGCTGGGAACTAAAACACCTAAAGCTCACAGAGAGCGGGAGCCACCTGGGGGAGGGGCGACACACCGCTCCCGACCCTCAGGACCGCGGTCACTGACCCAGTGAGGCCCCGCTCGAGCAGGGAACTCCCGTTACCTCGCGGTGGACGCGGATGAATTCTCTCGGGTCCCCTTTGGCCCAGGGTGGGAGGATGACGTCTCCGAGCTTGGTGCCATTCTGTTTGCAGCCTGTGCGGTTGGACGCGTTCATAAAAAGAAAGCACGAGAGTAGGATAAATGTGACTTCAGGTCACAGTGAGAGACAGTATGTTAGACTCACTACCAGAACTGTAACGTTGCACCGCAGAAAAGCCCCTCAGAGTCACCTGCCAGCTCACGGAGCCCCTCCTCAGACAGATCTGCTTCCTGTGGCGCACCGAGGGGCCCGCCGCAGAAGCGCTGACTGACAGCTTCCCTGCAGACTGCCCTGAGGTTCCCATAGGTCAGGGAGGGCGAACCTCTCAGAGACGAGTGCCCAAACCCCACTTATTTATCGCAAAGTGTCAACACTGCAATTAAACCTGAATACTGAAGTGTTGGTTTAGAAAAAACAACTCACACATCTTGTGATTTAAAAACAGTAACGTGCGTGCCATCGATCTGCCACCACTGCTGTAGACACGGTGCCTCTGCAGGAGTGCCCCGGGGCACGCACTCCCCAATGCCACACCAGATTCCTGGGGGTCTCTGGAAGGGCACTGTTGGCGTTGCCTGTGGGTGACTGCAGTACATGGGACTTCTCGTGTTTCTGACACTTAAATTTATGAGAGAGAGCTCCATAACACTGAGATACATTTTGTACTGATGATTCTCATTTAAAAAATGTAACTTTTCGCTGTTCTTGAATCATTTAACAGAAAAAAAAAAAAAAAAAAAACATTTGGAAAAGACTACGGCACTGCCTGGCAGAAATGAAAACAGGACTGCTTAAAACAAATAGCCAGGCGTGGAGAACGCCTGTAATCCCAGCACTCAGAAGGTTGAGGCAGGAGGATCTTTGTGAGTTTGAGGCCAGCCTGGGCTACAAGGTGAGCTCAAGGCCAGCCTGAACTGCACAGTGAGACCCTACCTCAAAAAGAAACAAAACAAAACCCCCAAATATTTATTCCATGTAAGCTGTTATTTTAAGTCACAGCAACACATCTCTAAAGTATTAGAGAAACTGTTTGCTATAAAACCTAACCATAAACTACATGAAGTGGGGTGGGTATCTAAGGAAACAAGCTTTTCTTCTTTCCTCTTTTTGGGAAATAACATCAACGTTACAGAGTTTTTCTAGGTACAAATCAGATTATCATTGTAAAAATGCTTATAAACAACAATGCTGACTCACTAGCCTCATTGTAGTTGGTTTGATAAACAGTAATATTAAGAATTTCATAAATAAGTGCAATCCTCAAATCTCAGGGCACAAAGCCAATTCTAAGTGAAAGGCAGTAAAAATATTTCCCTTACAAACCATTTTGTCTTCATTGTTGTTATTGGATTATTTATAATACTAAGAGATACACAAATCAGTTTATTTTTTTTTCTTTTTTTTTTTTTTTTGGTTTTTCTCTGGTACTGGGAACCGAACTCATGACCTTGCACTTGCCAGGCAGGCGCTTTGCTGCTAAGCTAAATCCCCAGCCCCCAAATCAGTTTATTGACTAGAGGAATATCTCAACTTGGTTAGAAAAATGATCATATCTTGTTTTTGATAGGGTCTTCCCATATAGTCCAGGTAGGCCTAAAATGCTCAGTGATCCTCCTGCCTCAGCCTCCCAAATGGTGGGATTACAGGTATGTGCCACCACACTTAGCTGAAAAATTACCATATAAGTTAAGACAAACACAAATCAAGTTACTACAAGCTCCACAGGGTCCCTGCAACCACATTCACTTTATACCTTCCCTCCAAACCCCCTGAAAGGCTGTCTATGTCTAATTTTCCAGGTAATAATCCTGAGGTTTTATAAGATATAAGCCAGCCACTGTGTTGGCTGTGTCTAGATATCCCCCACAAAGCCTCATGCAGTCATAGGTGAGGCTTTTCAGAGGTAGCTGGATCTAGTGTGTGACACTGGGATTGGTGCAGGGTACAGTGTGATACTTAAGGGTGTGGCTAAGATACAGGGGACAGGAAGAGGCCTGTCACTGGTCTTTCGTCCCTTTTGCTTGCCATGGACTCTTTTTCCCCTGTGATGCCACCCTGCCTTTGAGCTGGTTGACTATAGACTGAAACCTCTACAAACTGTGATCCAAATAAATCTTTCCTCCTTTAACTTTGGGTGCTGGGTATTTTGTCTCAGCAATGAGAAAAGTAAACAATACAGCCACTGGTCAAAACTGTGCTTCAATTCCTGACACCTCCGTGATGTAACTTCAGCGGAACTACCTGGAGTGGAGTTTTAAAATGATGCTCGAAAGAAGTGTGCGGTCTGTGGAGGGTGCTGGTGTCCTTCAGCCCCTCTGCTGCTCCCTGCCGTGAGGATCTGAGGACGGCAGGACAAGAAGGCTGCAGAGTTTGTGGGTCCAGGTGCTCTTTGTTTTTGCCATTACCATCTTTTCGTGGTGGAGAGGCCCACACTGTTTAGTTTGTGCTTTCTTCTATTGAGGTGAAATCCACATCAACTACATCAACCCATTTACAATGAACAATGCGATGGCATTTGGTACGTTCCCAGTGTTACATGACTACCATATCCACCCAGCTCCAGAGCATTTCTGGAACCCTGAAGCAGCTGCTCCTGGGCTGTGGTAAGCACCAGTCCGTGTTCCATCTCTGGCTGACCCGTCCTGGGTATTCCCCAGGACCGCAGCCACACACCACGTGGCCTTCTGCGCCTGGCCTCATCCATGCAGCAGGACGGTCTGCAGGTTTTTGTGGTGCTACAGATAGGACTTGTGGACCGCAACTAGATCCCGGGGCACAAAAGCGGCCTTGCTGTGAGTGAGGCCTGGAGAGAGGCAGCTCACCGGGCTCATGACCCGGAGAGGTCTCTGTCCCTCCCTTCTCTGCTCCCCATCTGGCTGCCATGTCAGGAGCAGCTTTCCTACGCCCAGGCCTCCACAGGGCTGCTTCCATGTTTCACCCTGGGGGACCTGGACAGACACTTCTAAAGCTGTGAGCTGAAAGAAACCTCTCCTCTTTTAACTTCAGGCTCTTGAGCGCTGTCTCAGGGACAAGGAAAGTGCCTGAGATAGACCTGGGTTGCTCCCAAAGGCCTGTGTCAAAGGCTCGGTCCCCGGCCTGGTGCTCCAGTTACTGTGGGTGAGATCCTCTTCTCTTCTTGCTTCTAGTCATGTGGTGAGCAGCTCTGCTCTACAGCGAGCTTCTCAGTGCTGTGCTGCGGCACTCCAGCCCCAGTGAGGGGCCACTCAATCATGGACTAAAACCCCCAAGACAAAGCCAAGTAAACCTTTTCTCTTTCTAGGATGACTGCTTCAGATATCTGTTATAGTAGAGGAAAGCTGACTATTACTGCTGTACCGAAGCACTTGACTACAGTACTTCACTCACAGTAGGTATTCATTACCATTTACTTACCTATCCCCACCTTCATAGACATCCCAGCTGGTCTCACTATTTGGCTATTGTGAATAATGCTGCTATGAGCAAGCTTGTGTGTACACAGTAACACCTTGGTTCACAAACACTTCTGTTTGCAAATAATTCAGTTTGCAATCCAAAGTGCTGGAGAAAATTTTCCTTTCATTTGCAAACGCTGCATGAAGTGACAGACCACTACATCTTCCCCACACAAACAGAAATGCAGCCGTCTTTCCTCAAATTGAAAAACCAGTTGTACTTGTACCACTGTGCTTGTTTCTAATCTATGTGCCGAGGAGAACTGCCCGGTCATGTGATAACTTTGTGTTTAATTTTTGAGGAACTGTCAAAGTGCTTTCCGTAATGGAACTGTCTTCTGTTCTACCCAGCATTGTAAGCGTGTTGTAATTTTTCATATCCTTGCCAACCCCTGCTTTCTGGGGTCCCCTCCATACTAGCTGTCCTAGTGGATGTGACGTGGTGCCTCGCTCTGGTTTCGACCTATAGTTCCCTCGGGACTGATGACCATGGACACCTCTCTCAGTGTTTGCTGGCTGTTTGAATAACTTCTTTGGACAAATGCTGTTGTAAGTTCTTTGCTTATTTTTCAACTAGGTTGTTTACGTTTTTGGCGTTGAACTGCAAGATAGATTTGTACTTCAGACCTGAGATTCCTTTCAGACAAATCTTATTTGGTAGGCTGTCTTTTCATTTTTTTGACAAAAATCCCTGTGGTGGATTAACTAATAGGCAACTTGTAACACCGAGCTGAACTGAATTAGTGTGGTGCTGGGTATGGAAGGTCCGCCTGAGGATTGTTGCCTGTAGCACATAAGGAGAACCAGAGGGGAAGATGGTGCTGTTGATTCTCCTGGAAAATTATGTCATGCTGGTTTTCCTGATATGGACTCGGCTGTTCACATCATCAGAGGAGCTTGGGACCTCGCTGTTGCTGAGGATGGCTGCGGTTCTCTTCAGGGGAGCTCTGGTCCTTACCTTGAGCATCGCTTCCTGGCTCCAGTGCAGATCCCTCAGCCTGCTAGCACAGATCCTTCAACCTGCTGGTGCAGACTTTCTTCCACCACTGACCTTTGGGCCTTCCCAGTGCAGATCCTTAATACAGACTTGCATGAGACTTGTCACGGGCCCTAGGCCTCCAGCTGGACTCATGAAGGCTACTGCCATGGATTCTAGGTCTTCAGTTGGACTCGTCCAGGACATTGCCGTGGGATCCAGGCCCTCAGCTGGGTTCTTTGGGTTTCTAGTGTGTGGACAGATCTTCTGTACTCTTGCATTTAACTCTTTGGGTGAGTACTATAAAATAATCTTATAAATTATGTGTTCTATATTAAATCATCTCCCTTGTAAACCTTGCCTAAAACAATCCCTTTCTTGACAAAGCTTTCAATTTTGACAAATGTCATTTTATCATTTGCTGTGTTTTTGCTATATCTAAGAATCCACTGCTACATTCAAGATCATAAAGATTTCCTCCGATGTTTTCTTATGTGAGTTTTATGGATTTGACTTTCACATACAGTGATTTTTTGGTAATTTTTTTCACTATAAGAAGGGAAGATGATATGCCGTGAAGGTAAACACACACATGACCCTGCTTTTAGGTGCTTATTTTAAAAGCGGATTGTTTGGGTTTGTATGTGGTCTGACTGGGATGTCTGCATCACAATGATCATAGCTGATTGAGTGTTTCTGGAAGATCAGGAGGATGTCTTTTTGCACCTCTGCATATCCGCCCCAGGAGGAAAGCCACAAGCTTCAAGGTGAATTCTGAGAGTCCACGTACAAACACCGCGGCACGCGTGAACAACCCTCCACCCTTGCCTGCGAGGCTGCTCTGGCCCGTCAGGGAGTCCGCACTGCTGCTGGGGTTGCTGAGAGTCCTACTCTGTCTCTACGAAGAGGGCTGCTAATGAAATACACAGAAATTATTCTTGAAAAATTTAAAAAGGAAAATCATGCCAATTTGAAAGACATGAATATTCCCCCAGATTTTCTATTGATGAAAATTTGGAGGTAGTATTGTACTATGCTTAACTTATAAAACTGTAGAAAACCCATGGAAGAAAAAAACCAAAAACAAAGCCAGGACAGTATCTGGCAGGAAAACTCTACCATGAAGCAAGGGCAGAAATACTCGGAAGGCAGAGCAGCACACTGCCTTCCAAGAAACTGAACAGAGCCAAGCCTACTGCTTCTAACGGACATGTAATACGAAAACAGTACTGATAAAACTCTTCTCCTTTTTACAAATGCTGACATGGGTGTTCTTCTAGAAAACAGGAAGCCTAACGGGATAAAGAAGTTATTTTGAAATTCTAATTTTAAAACACATTTGCATAGAAACCAGAATGTCTTAGGAAATGCCCAAGGTCAAAACAATACATGAAAAATTTGGGCATAGATCTTCCTGGCGATTAATGGTTTCCAGTGCTAATAGTTTCCAAATAAATCTCACTTCACCTTTGTTTTTTTCCACCCGAACAACAAAACTCTGAACATCATATGTAACCCGTGTAATTTTAAAATGTCTCCCAGATTTCCGGTTTGAAACAGCCTTTCGGGGCTGTTCTTTTTGGACTTGCTTGCACACACCCAGTTTTAGTAAGAGCAACTGTGACTACGAGGAGATCGGTTCCACTAAGCATGTGCTGGGGACAATCTCCGCAGGGGGCCTCGCTTCCAGGACCCTACCCCGGCCAACACCTCTAGATGGTGCCCGAGCTCTCCGTACCCAGATCGAAGTTGTTGGAGTTGAACAGGAATTCTGGTAGGTAGAAAAACTCTGGGATGAGCTCCTTCACGTCTGCCATGTTGTGCTTGGAGGCTGAGTACCAGGCCTCGCGCACGCTGTGGAACATCCGGTCTGCCAGGTCGAAGTGGCCACCCTGGGCGGGCAAAGGAGAAGGAAACTCGTCATCAGAGAACCGTTCCCACCGTGCAGCCCCTGTCAGGCTCGAGGTCTGGGAAACATACGCTATGTCTGGAGACATTTCACTTTTTCATGATCCTGCGTTAAGTACATAAAATTTTAAATAACCACAGAAAGAAAATTAATTCTTTTTCCAGTACACTTTATGAAGGATGCTCAATGTATTTGTTTTATAATTAAAGTGAAATCCAAACATAAAGATTTTAACAAGCCATTTAAAACTATTCACTTTTGAAGAGAGGATAAGACTGCGAGGAAAGGATACAGCTGGAGGCCTGCGGCGTCTGCCCGGCCCACTTCCCTTGGCTCCTCATCCCTACTCTAAACTGCCGCCCCCAGCACGGCACCTTTCCACCCCCTTTCCCTGATCGGTATGTCTCTGATACCTTTGACTACATTTTTAAAAACTCTGGAACTTACAACTTGGCTGTCTCTCAGCTAAGATCTACAACCCCACAGGATGGGCCCCTATCTTTTTGCACCAGTGGCCTGTCAGGCGCCTAGATCAGTGCCTACCACAGCTCAGCACTGACTTGCTGAATAGATGAAAGAGAACATGGGAAAACAGCAGAGGAGCTAGAATGATCCTTTTTCTTCTTTAAACATTTGCTGAATTCAACAACCAGCTGGGGCTGTATCTGCCAACAAAGTATATGCTAGTCCTTATTTAACTAAGAACCCTATTTACTGTGCATGAATACAGTATATATCAATTGTGGTCAGACAACTTTCCATGCCAATTCTGTTTGGCATGGAAACAGGTGCTTCTCACCACCCAGGACAATAGCATTGTGAAGCAGTGATAACCTTAAATGAAAGGTAGGCTCTAGGGGCTGGGGATCTAGCTCAGCGGCACAGCGCCTGCCTGGCAAGCACAAGGTCGTGAGTTCGGTTCCTGGTACCGGAGAAAAACCAAAAAAGAAGGTCAGGTTCCAAACGCAGAGTTTTACCTGTAGCCTTAAGAATATCTGTGTGAAAGGCTCCATCCTCACAAGGTAGGAGGCCACGATCATTGCAGATGAATAGTGGGTCCCATAGTGGTACGCTGGGGTCTCCCCTGCGCCGGACAGGTGAAGCACCATGGAAAACAAGAGAGGAGATACGGAAGATAAAATCGGTGTTTCTGGGTTTGACTCATAGACCTGTGACACACTGGCATCCGTAGTGGGAAACTTCCCAGTGACACCACTGCCTCCCCTACATGTCCGGTGCTAATCCCAAGGTGTGACTCAGAGGCCCTTCCCCTGAGCGCAGCACGTCCACCTGAATGGTGCTGCTGACTCAGTGTGGCCTTAGCTGCCAATCACGTTCCAAGGAGCAGAGTACTGATGGACAGCTCCTGTGTACTAGGCTCTGGCTTTCCAACGATGTATTTCTCTACACTGTTGTCTACAATATATATTTAACACATCCTCCCTCAGGGAGGGAAGGTAGAAAGAGACTCATACACAGAAACAGACGTGGACACCACGCAGTCATTCTAACAGTAGTCCTAAACTTTCCCCCACTTTCTTTTGCTTGTTTGGGGGAGGGGACCAGGCTAAACATTAAGCATTACAAATAATATTAAACATTATGAATAACAGGTTAACTGTATGGTCTAGCAAGGTAATCAACTCATTTTTTAAATGCAAAAGGGTCCTAAGAGTGCTCTGATAAAATGAGAAGAGAACCAATAAATGAAAATGTAGCTCTTAATATGATTAGAGAGAGAGGCAGACAATGATGGCGAATGTCTGTCAAAGGCGAAGTAGCCAGAATTCTCAACAGCAAGCTACGAATGCTTTCCACGCATGGCCATGCACCAGCACGCAAAGTCGGACCTTTTCTCTAACAATCTGTATATAGCGAACACATGTAACACGTCCGCCATGAAGTGTAAGTGACCTGAAGAAGCGCGTGAGGGTGTCTGACCACTAAGTGTGGGCTCCTTCTGGAACCTGGCCACGGAGCTGAGCGACAGCGCGAGCACTCACCATTCGGGTCCTCCCAGTCTTTGTACCGCTTCTTGTACTGCGCTAAGCGCTCGTCTGTCTGTGCTCCCATGGGCTTAGCCAGGTTCCTGAAAGTCTTGGGGTTGGTAAGATCCACCTCCTAAAATACAAAGCAGGACTCAGGCTGGTTACTGGACACCCCGTGTTCTGACTGACGCAGACACAGCGGCCGCTGGACGGTCGTGATTTATAGCAGTGTCACGTCTGTGCGCCGAGCAGGCAGAGCCCGACGCCAACATTCCGTGTGCCCGCTGCCTGCTTGCCTTTGAGGAAAACAAACTGCATGGGTACTTTGCTAACCACCTCCCTGTGCAGACTGCTTTGGAATGTATTTGTTTCACAGGAAAGCACTCAGAATCCTGGCTCTGGGGAGACGACTACGGGAAAATACTTCCAGGTCTGGTCCAGCACACAGCAGGCGCCCAAGAACACAGAGCTCTAACTTTCCGTTATTACCATCACCTACAACCCGGGGACAGAATCTCTTTTTCTCCATTCCTGGGATCATTCCAACTTTACTCCTGAACATCTTCTTAGGGGCCACCTGGGAGGGACAGAACTGAAGCACTCAGTAACCTTTTCATCTCAAAAAACAGCATATCACCATTTTTGTTTATGAGATAGGGTTTTGCTATGTACCTCATGTTAGCCTTGAACTCACTATGTAGCCCAGGCCGGCCTCAGATTCACAGTGATCCTCTTGTCTCAGCCTCCCGAGTGCTAGAATTATAGGTATGCACCACTATGCCCAGCAAAATAACAACACACCAGATCAAGTGACTTGCAAATGAGATGCGTCTCATAGCTACAAGAGATTATTTCAAAAGCTCACGTCTACCTGACCTAGTTCATATATTTAAAAGGAAACCAAAATTTACTCCCTAAAGGTTTTAAAAGTAGAAACTTAAAACATGTGCCATGGGATATTTAGTGTGTGTTTTTTTAAAGTGCAAAATGACTAATTTTGGGCAGAAGAAACTAATCTACAATCACGAATATAAGTAACTGCATTTATCCTTGAGAAATCCACTTCAGGCAAAGTACATTTACACCGAAGTCAACACACATTAAAGTGCAGACTAAGTAGCAGCCATGCTCTGGGTTGGGAGCTGGGTGACAGCTGAGGGGCGCTCGCGTGCAGGACCTTACAATCGAGTGGCGTCAGACAAGGAGTATTTACTTCTACAACATCCTCCAGGAGAAAGGACCCATTGGAAAAGGGAGAAACAGCACCTGACACACAACTAGAAGGCAGCTTGGGAAGAGGAGACAGGAGAGGAAGAAAGCAAGGCTCCCATTGCAGAGGTCCATGTGATGTGCTGCAGCTACTGGGGTACAAGACAGGGAACCGGGGTGTTGCAGGAAATCGGTGCTGGTATCCACGAGGGATCTGCAGGCAGGGACTACTGAGGTTTGTGTTTATTTCTGCAGTGCTGGGATTGAACTCAGTGCCTGGCATACGCTAGGCAGGCAAGTACTCTACCACTGAGCTACAGCCTCAGCCCTGTACTGAGGTTTGAAAACTTGCCCCAGATTCTTGGGTCATTTGCTGAGCTAAATTAAACAAGGGGGCACAAACTGGCCGCAGTGCAGAGGGCAGTGAGGGGCACAATCTAGGCGGGAGACTAGTGATGGCCCAAGGAAAACAGTGCGTTACAAAGGCAGCCCCGCCTCGGCCACTGGGCCTGACAGCAACGGTGGGGCACCATCTCCCAAGACCTGGCCACAGAGTGAGGGCTGCGACTGCATCTGGAGCACGAGGTAGAGAATGAAACATCTGGTAATGGACATGCAAGTTCCTGCAAGACAGGTATCCCAGTACATATTCACACGGCTCCCTCCCCACAGAAATGCATTTTCTTTGTGCTGCCTGCCTCTACATATCTGTATTTTCTTCTTTACTTCCTTGGTTAACTTCAAGGAAATGTATTTTCATTTTATCAGCCTTTTCTCATGATTTCCTCCTTTCCTTCCATGACATTCATGTCTCACCCAGACGTGCACCAGCCGGCACATGAAGTGCACATGCATTCTACGGCTTTGGACACCAAATGCACTTGGTTATGCTCACGTCAGCAGGGAAGACTTCTTTCATGACACTAATGTTTTCTGAGAACACAAACATTACCCTTCTCTCTAATGGGATGAATATAATTTCTGATATAATAGGCAGCCTTGATTCTAGTGAGTAAGAAGATCCAGTACATTTCTGAATTTTAAGAGTGTTGCATCTTTTTTCCCTTTCCTTTGCTTGTTCATCATGTGCCAGGCAAGCTTCTTGTTTTGCCTCGTTACTAACTCATCAAAACTAATCAGACCTTAGTCACGAGGAGGCAAAGGAAGAGAGGAAGGATGATACTTATAGAGGTCTACTTACTATGGATTTGATCCCTAAGTCACATGCACGTTGCTTAGAAATCTTCTTCCAAGCATTCTTGGAAAAGTACAAATCATTTCTTTTTTGTGGCAGGGATGTTTTGCAGAAAAGTCATTTCACATTTTTCTAGCAAAAATTCAAACTACTCCGATAGGTTCTGACATTAACCAAAAGATGTAAAGTAATTAGCACTTCAGATAAGTGAACAGACATTATGAATTAATGCCCAGTACCCACTAATGGGGTCAATTTTCTAAACTTCTACATCCAAGCTAAAATGCTTCCCATCTTCTTGAAATACGGTAAGTGTCTGTGGCTGTGGGGATCCCTACTTACAAGGCAAATAAAATGCTTGCTCAATGGCAGTATCTTTTGATTATTTCTGAAAATGCATTCCGATCAGGGAAAACGATGTGCGATTTACCTCTGAGTCATAATCCGCGAGGATCCAGGGAAAGACGGGATACTGCATGAGATCATTGTATGACCTGCCAGCCAGAGTGTTCAAGTGCATCAAATACTGGAAGTTGCTGATTTCACCTCTCTTGTGAGAGATAATATAGACTCATTTTAGAATAATTGGTTATTTTCACTATGTTCATTTAAAAAAAATATATGTAAACAAGGTAAAGGATAGTTTCTTTTTAACAGGTTTCAGAAGAAGAAAACACTTTTTCCTAAAAATAACATAAAAACACATTTTCTCTAAGGTATGTATTTTATGGATTATGTAAATGCTTTTAGACATATACATTTGACCTATAAATTACTAAAGAAGCTTATTTATTCTTTAAGCTTACCTCCCACCTCTGAGTCACGGATTTCTCTCCAACCAAAGTACTAAGCAATCCAGATCTGAAATCAACAGAGAATAAAGTAAGTGGCAGGCACTATAGTATTACACCTAAGCAAATACTGAGTTGAAAATTTTACGTCATCCCGTCCAGGAAAGTTTCAAACTATAGAAGATTCACTAATGAGTTATGAAATCATTTTGGTGGGCTCTAACCACATTATGAAATATGAAATAACACAGAATCCAGATGAAGCAAAGAAAGAACATCAGAAGGTATCACACATACTAAGTGAAAGTATTTTCTGTGAATTTTTAGTATTTATGATGTAGGTTGTATGCCCTGGTATGTAATGTAGTAATGTAATGTATGCAAATGTAGATCTTGGTCAGAAGAGTTGAAAAAACATTGATCCAACTATAGAATGTTTACTGTAATCTTATGTGAACACATCCAAAGACATGTAGTGGAAGAACTGAAATATTATGCAATATTTCATACATAGTAAGTTCATGGTACATTTTCAAAAAGAGTTTTAAATAAGCCAATAAAAATCATTGCTGTTCAAGGTCATTTAAAATTTATACACTATTTTTTAAACAGTAGACTGTCTTAGACTATTATAAAACCTCATTTAAGGTTTATCAGACTTACGCTATTGATAATTAACAGTTGGCCAAGGAAGTTAAAGACAGCAACTATATTATCCTCCAGGGTTTGCAAATGTAAACACATACAGCTTAGTAACACAGATACCAATTTCTACCTCTAAATAAATTCTTTCAATCATGTGAACTAATCATACAGGATTTTCTCCTTGGGAAAATAGTTACGATCACTCTTCAGCTTTGACAGAGAGGGGATAAGGGAAAAGGAAGACTAAAGCTGGGAAATGAATTTCTGCTTTTTGCTTCTGAGCTCTTAAAAGTTTTTTTTTAAACTGCCAACTCAGCAGAGAAGGTAGTAAGAAAGACAGTAGACTACAAAGGTCAGGGTGATCCACGTAGGTAGAAAACTAGGTAGACCACACAGAAAAGGGCTCACCATGCTTTATGGAAACTGTTTACTTCCTGTACTTATGTTAGACATGAAAATGACTGGGAACAGAATGTGTTTTGAGGTAGAATAGAAAGCACAGCTAGCATTTAGCCAATGTTAAAGAAAAATAAAAGTAACTTAGAAATGCATCAGCTTAAATATATTTTGATGTATACAGACTGGAATAAAATTTTATGTACAAATTACGGAATCCCTAGTCAATTTTTTTATCACTTTCCTGCATGCAGTAGTGATTAATTTGAAGCCAACAGCATTGCTGCACAGGGCCGTCAGTCACCAGGTGACCGCAAGAGGAAGCTGATGCACGGATTCTTGAAATGACCCCTCACCCAGCAGGGTCTTCTGAGATAGCAAGGGGCTCTTGAGGAGCATACAGAGGCACAAACAGAAGATTAACTTTAAATGTCAGGAATAAAAAGGGAAAGGAAAGGGCGGTAGTTTGTAACAAGTAGGACGAGCCAGGAGTAATAAATACCTTCTTACAAACTGAAAGTAACTCAAAGGAAAAAGGGGGAAAAGATGGGAGTAACTTATAATGAGTTAAAATGGCCAACAAACATATGGAGTTTCAGTTTATTATTAGTGAAATGTGCATTTTAAAATGAGAAATCGGGCTAGGGAGGTGGCTCAGTGGCAGAGCTCTTGCCTTGCATGCACAAGGCCCTGGGTTCGATCCCTAGTACCACAAAAAACAAACAAACTAACAAAAAAAACCCCAAATGAACAATAAAAACGAGAAAGCATCTTATAAATCAGTAAGATTACATAAAGCTGGCAAATATCTACTGTGATAAATTTTAATAATGGTGGAATTTTTTAAATAATGATGCAGTATGAATTTATATAATTTTATGGATATCAAATTGGTTTGGGGTACCAGGAGCCTTAAAAATTATACACTTTATTTTACTAACACTGACAAAATAACTAGAGGTTACCTTTCTAGTATTTTGACAGGAAAACCTGAGAGAAATGAAACACCAAAAAGAGACTGCTTTATATAATATACAGGTAGCAAATAAAAGTTATGCTTTTCAAGAATTTTTTGAAGATTGATAGATATTTCAATAGAAACAGAAAAAAAGCCAGTATTCATAGTATGAAGTCCACTGTATACACAGCAACACATGCATTTCAAAGACTAGAAAGCAGGGGCCAGGGATATAGCTCAGCGGCACAAGCACCTGTCTGGCAAGTGCAAGGTCCTGAGTTCAATTCTGGGTACCAAAAAAAAAACAAAAAACAAAAAAAATGACTAGAAAGCAGTTGGCCCAAAGTGAGCAGTGGTCTGACATGTGAGATGATGCACTTTGTGTTTTGCTTCCTTCTAGTTTCCAGTATTTCTTTCAACAACCATCACGGAGAAAAACACTGACTAACAATGCTAACTAACTCTCCTTAGATTCCAAATGTTATGACTCCACCATAACGCACAGAAACAAACCACCTACCCCTGCTCCACGCTGGTATTCGGCCGCTGGCCAGACACCGACTCTGAACTGTCCGTCAGGGATGGAACCACTGCCAAAAATCTGGGAAATATAATAGCATAGAACTGGAGATGAGTCTCAGTAAGGCTCTAAGGGAAGACTATGAAAGGGCAATTCGCTGGGATCTTCACTGTCGCAATGACCTGCGCATCCCCAGCAAATGGCAGGCAGAGGAAATGCCTAATAATGAGGACACCCAATATGAGGGTCCCTGCAGATCCCACCACGCTGGACATTTGAGCCATGCTGTCGCAGTACCAGAGGGAAAAGAAAGGCCTTGCAGTTCTGACTTCCAGGAACTGACTCAACTAAATGAAGTCCTGGTCAGTGACTACAGCTACATATTCATATGGTGGCAGGTAGTAATGATGGCTACACAAACGGTGGAGGGGCTGGGGATATAGCTCTGTGGCTCAAGTGCCTGCCTGGCAAGCGCAAGGTCCTAGGTTTGATTCCTGGCATACACACAAAAAAGACAAAATAAACAAATGGTGCAGGAGACTCCAGCAAACAAGTGAAGAAACATGAAGCCGGGCGTGGTGGCACATGCTGGTAATCCCAGCACGCGCGAGGCTCATTTTGAGTTCGAGGCCAGCCGGGTCTACAAAGTGAGCTCAAGGCCAGCCTGCACTGCAGAGTGAGAAACCCTGTCTCCAAAAAAAAAAAAAAAAAAAAAAAGAGCACTCTTAGCTGGGGGTGGTAGTGCACTCCCAGCACTCAGAAGGCTGAGGCAGGAGGATGGCAAATTCCAGGCTAGCCTGGGCTACATAGTAAGACTAACTCAACAAGGGAAAAAAAAAAGAACTTTCATGTAACTCTGCTATAATTTTCTTTCAGAGTTGCTCATGATTCACTATCAACTTTTTAAAAGGCAAAACAGAATTATACGAGAATTCCTGGAATGGATGTAGACACTGGCATTACAGGGATTTTCCAGACAGAGACGAACAGCCCCTGGGAGCAACCTGTGGTTATGAAGAGCAGATAATGCCCTCGTGATGCAAGCAGCATCACCCTCGGGAAACGCTGAGCGAGGTGAGCAGAGCTGCGTCTCAACTCTGAGGCTGCTCTTCCCAGCTGTCAGAGGAGCCACAGGTCACCGATGGGCAGCCGTGGTGCTTCCTAGAAGGTGCTCACGGGTGACCAGATGCAGCTTCCTTTTTTAAGTGTTCATTCTGCAGTTTCTGTTGCCCTGCAGTCCACTCTGGTCCACTAACACACACACACACATACTTTTTCTTTTTCAGACAGGGTTTCACTATGCAGTTCAGGCTGGCTTTGAGCTTACTTTGTAGTTCAGGTTGGCCTTGAACTCACAACGATCCTCTTGCCTCAGCCCGCTGAGTGGTAGGATTATTGGCCTGTGCTGCCAGGCCCGGCTGTGGTACAGTTACAGTACAGAGAAAATTCTAGCCATAAACAATGGGTAAGTTCCAAATAACTTATTATAATACGTTGTTATAATATTTTTGCTAGTCGTTAATCTTTTACTGTGCCTAATTCGTCAATTGATCTTCATTACAGTAAATATGTATATATATGAGAAAAGTAAAAGTAGGGTCCAGGCAATGGACAGCTTTTGGTGTTGGGCAATGTCTTGGAATGCATCTCCCGAGGACTGGGGTGACTCCGGCATGATATTGCAAGGACGTGCAATGTCGCATATTTATTCATCAACCCTCAGTAAAGTAATTAAACACAAAAATTCTAGAAAGAAAGGATTGCCAGGACTATGCCACTCTTCAAGGACTCAGAAAAGGCCTCTCATCCACAGGATCAGTCCATAGAAGCCTCATTCACACACCAAACAGAAATCTCTTTGTGCTCCATGGATATACACTATTTTTCTTTGAAAAGGTAAACTTTAAATACAGTTTACCGAAGTTTCAGATGCGCTTAGGTGAGATCACCAACTTTATTTGGCTATGCTAATTTTGCAAGCATGAAGGTATTCAACCTCCCTTCGAAGGCCAGTACGGTCTCCCGGGAATATGATTTTCAACGGGACTCAGTTCTGGAACTCAGAAGCAAGGAATGGTCTTATTTACATTTCTTAAAGATGAAAGAAGCCTATTCTGAACTTTAAAAATTGTTTTTAAAGCTAGGGTTTCGTCACCCTTTTGTATTTATGTATTTACAGACACAAGACTCAGTGATAAAAGAAGCTTTTGATAGTCTCTAAATTACAAAAGGAAAAACGGTATTTCATAATAGAATTGCATCACTGTAAAAGCTTGAAGAGTCATGTTTCAAGAGGATGATAAAATGAAACAAATATTTTCTTCAAAGAGGTTGACTCACTCATCTGAATTCTAGATTTTTAAAAACTAGCTGAGCTGGTTGGTAACAGCTTCCCCTCCCATCTCTTTCCACGATCTCGTATAAAGTGTTCTTATTACACCGGACCTTTGATAGACTTTGTTTCTTATTCCTTTCTGAAAAGCGAGGAGGTAATTCCTTCCATCTCCAGAGAAAACTTCCACAGCAATAGGCTTAAGAGAAAAGAGAGAAAAACAGAAGATCACAAATAAGATTTCACATACTGACTTTTCCACTATAAATTTCTGCAAAGCTACAGGAATTACTGACTGTATTTTAGAGACATGAATTTCTTGGAGATTAAACTAGACAATAAAATACTTTTCTTATTCTGCTTAATTTAGAAAAACTTTGAAAATAGAATGATAAAAATACAGTAATTAAAAAATTACCCACATGTTTAAACAACATTATTTCACTAGTGTAAGAACTTGAAAGAGTGAATAAAATTAGGAGGTATGATAGTTATTGTGAAACAAAAGGAAACTGCTCAAAAGTAAAGAACAAATGGGATGAGGGAAAAGAGAAAAGAAAGAAAGGGAAAATTATGTATATAGGTACACACAGGATAGCTAACATAGTTGTACTACTGACTTCCATTGCTTTACTGAAAAGAACAGTTAATGATTATTTGATCAATCTTGCATGTCTCTATTTGTTTTCCTGAGTAATCACTTTGAAGATATCAATATGTAGTACAACCATTGTTAATTTCCTATCACCTTATCTGAAATTCAGTATTGCTTGTACTGTTTTTGTGTTATTTTATAAACGTATGTGTGTTTGTTAATATTTTCGTTCTTTTATTTTTAAAATAAAAAATTATGATTTTGCAAAATTATAGTGAGGATGTAATTTTTATATTAAAAGATAATTAAAATGTTGACCTGGAAAGGTACAGGTGAAGACAGGTAACAAAGGTACCACTCAAATTTTAGGCTGTGCTTAAAAAGAGATACCCTGCACAGTTCTGCACGCGTGTGAGATGTCTGTGACAAACACTGCAAGTCCCACAGAGGGTCCGCACTGCACGTGTTCCTCTTCACCACCCCCACCGACTCACCTGCAGGAGATACCTCCTCTTATGCACCTCCTTGATATCTTCGTATGCGAAAATGCTGCACGTTCTCTTGAGCTGACTGGGGCCCTGCCTGGCTCCTCGAGGGATAATTGGCTCATGCATGCTACAGGGCACCGAGGGGAAGGGGAAGCAAAAACAGACACAGCAAGAATGACCGTCAGCTCACTGCCCAACAATGGGTATGCGATTTTCAATACAGAACAGGAGAAGCAAGAAGGTACCAGAACTGTCAGTTAAAAAAGTATGTTCATGAGAATAGTTTGTTATCTATTCTCCGAATACAAGGAGCCCCTTCTCTTGAATACAATTAAAAAGACCACCCCCACCACCACTGCTGTCAGGACCAACTTTTCTATCATGCATCACTGATGTCTAAACCCATATATATGCATATATATATATACATATATATGTAAAAAATATATGTATATTTTTTTTTTGAGACAGGGTCTTGCTATGTAGCTCATGCTGGCCTTGAGTTCACTATGTATCCCCAGCTGGCCTCAAACTCGCAATGGTCCTCCTGCCTCAGCCTCCCTAGTGCAGGGAGTAAGGCATGCACCACCATGCCCGGCTCTAATTTCTTTAAAGTAGAAGAAAAAACCCAAACTTTTAGGTAAAAGAAAATGTTTTAATGTATTATTTAATATATATCTGTCAATAGTCATGAAACATAATTTTTAATACTTTTGTATTGGAGTTATAACATTGCCCTCATTCCTGAAGAAAGTGATTATTTAAAATATCTTGTAGGAATGAAAGAGAGGCCACATCTTTATTCACCATTGCTAGATAGTTAAAGGTTAAAGGAAGTTAAGAGTGAAGGCCACGGAACATTGTAAAGCTAAAAGAAAGCTTCTTATTTCCCTTCTGGTTCGGTCTTTGGAGTTTCCCACTACCCAGCTGCAGCTTCACCCTAAAATAGGTGAAGGGGAGAGGCGATGATAAAGCTCAGGTAGCCAATGCCCACACGGGCTGCAGTCATGCCGCTTCCGGGCGATCCAGAGTCCCTGGGACTCATGTTTATAAGAGTACTGCGCAGCAATCTGCATTTTCCCTAGCACTGCGTATCTACTGATGCAATACATAAATTATAATACAAGTAGTACTACTAACTCACAGAAATAAAATTTAGGTTTTGCTTTGGTAAGCAACACCACCTTTTCTTTACTACCTTGCAGTAACAGTATCACCCCTGTGACTATGTCATCATTGACACACAAGGACTGTGAGACAACGTTTCCTTTTGTATTAAGGAGAAATCATGCAAACTTCTGTCATCGGAAGATCGCTGTACTTTGTGACTCTTCATTCAGGTACTTACTTTGGGGGTAAGGTTTCAATATCGCGGATCTCCCGGGTGGCCGTCATGGTAAATCCATCGATCACATAAAAGTGCTCTTTCCCGAACAGCAGGAGCCCCTCGCTGGTGTCCAGGCCCTGGACGCGGGCGCAGCGGTACATGTGCTGGATCTGCAAGGACAGCCACGGATATTCTGCCGTGTAGCTTTTCTAAAGAGCTCAGATGACCTCCATTTTTTGGCTCCTCTATTGTGGCAAGCCCTGAGCTAAGCATGGGAAACCTGGTAGGAGGGGGCCTCAGCTACACTGTCCGCACACACTGCTCCTCTCCGGTGTCCTTGGGGAACGTGTCACACACACTATGTGCCACCCACAAGCGCGGGACAAGCTAGGTGAGGCCCTGCCCTCCGCGGAGGGACAGGTACCGTGAGCCCGGCGGAAGCGGGCTTGAGAACCACCTGGGAGGAGATGAGAGAGGACGTGCCCTTGGGAGGCAGGCGGACAGAGAGATGGTGACGGTCTGAATGCAGAGTACCACTTGCGTCACCTCACACTTGTGGATTCGGTCAGGTTTCCCAGGTTCGCTGAGCTTTTGTGCTTGCATCTATAAAATCTCTCACGTAATTCACTGGCTGCTGTGACAAGCAGGGAGGTGAGGCACACAATCACAGCAGGATTCTGGTGGCCTTCCTTCTGTGCATTCACCTCCTTCTTTTTCTAGAACGTTTCCTGGCTGGAGCGGCCACTGTGGGAACTGTCCTCACTCACCCTTGCCCGAGTCCTGCCTTACTGGGGACTGTTGGGCCATTGTAAAGAGCCAAGCTTGGCAAAGTCCCGCTCTGTTCACAGGAGGAAGGATTACCAAATCTCTCAAAGTCGCTATTGTGTTCTTTTCAAAGGGTATCTGATTCTTAGTATCTGATTCTTAGTAAAATATTCTTTCTTGCCTTATACTTGGTTCAACATGAGTCAAGGGGAAAAAAAATCAGCAGCTAAATCAAAGTCAAACAAGTGTCACATGAATGTTGGCTTAGGTGCATTTCCTGCGCTTTTCACATATAAAGCAATTACCACAGACACTGTACTTAGGAGATCAAAGTTTCACAAATGCACAGGGAATAGAAAGTTGGCCACCAGAGGCCAGGGGGATGGGTTTAGGAGGGGCGAAACACTCATCAAAGGCTGGAAAGTTTTGGTCAGACTGGAGGGTTAACGCTTAGTGATGTCCTGAGCTACACTGTATATAATCGCTAAAATACAATTTTAACATTCTCCACAGAAAAAAAAATGATACACTGGTGAGGGGATGGATATGTTAGCTGGACTGATTCCATCATTTCACAGATCAAAAACATCTCATAAATGTACGCATTATTTGTCAATGGAAGATAAAATTTCAAAAATGAAAGTTCAAACATGAGAGCATTACAATACATATCCCCAAACACCTACATGGCGGTCGATTTTCACTGCCACAGCTGAAATTTTAACCACTCCAATAGTGAAAGGGTAGAGTGTTACACAGAAAATCCCGATGCAATTTTTTTTGCAGTACGGGGGACTGCAGCCAGGGCCTGTGTGTGTTAGAAAGTTAAGACACGTGGGATACGCTGAGTGACAGTGTCTGCTAAGTGACAAGGACTCCATGGGGCAAGGGGCCAGGATGATGGCACACTGCCTGCCTGTAAGGAGCTCACTATCCAGGGAGGGGACAGACACTGGAACGAACAATTCTGACAAGACAGACCGATACAGACAAGGCCTTATAAAAGCTTAGTAAGACCCTGTCTCCAAATTGAAACTTTAAAGAAGGGCTAGGGATGCTACAGCCCAGGGTGTGGCCCTTGGTTCCGGTCCAGCGCAGAGGAACAGGGGAGGTTGTCTAGCCCAGCCTGGGCCAGTGAGACAGAGGACAAAGCTTCCTGCATGGGTTACAGGCATCCAGGCTGGTCCGGTGAATGAGTTTTCGGGGGAGGGGGTTCTGCAGGTGAAGGAGACAGGCACTTTGGTGGAATAAACGGTCTGAGGAGAGAACAGCGAGAACCACGGGGACCGCGGTGGGTTGCACGGTGTCCAGTGCTCCCGGGACAGAGCTAGGGAAGTGAGCTTGCAAAGCGGGCAGAACACACAGGTGGAGGGGGCCATGAGCACTGCCACTTCCTGTGGGTGAAGGGGACCGGCTAAGGCTGTGCTGGAGCTGCCTGGAGGTAGTGACCACAATTACGGAGAGGCCCAATTACGGAAGGGGTCATGTGCATGGACCTGAAACACAGACTTCCTGCAGGAGACACAGTTGGAGAAAGGCTACGGAGGGAGAATGAGTTAGGCTCCTCTGACGCTATCTGGTGAGCCCTGACGCTGTTCAGCGTGCACACAGGTCAGGCAGCCCTTGGACCTGAGAGCAGCAGAGGAGGGTGGAACGCAGCAGGCCCCTCACCATGCACTTCCGCACAGGGGCTAGAACACGCATCCTGCCCCTCCATCAGGGTGTCCTGCCACGTGGTAGCTGTCGTTCTTACTGTTCAGGAGCACAGTACCTTCTCTCCCTCCTCCAGCAGGCGCAGTAACGTGGCATTGTCCGTTTTCTCCTCCTCTTCTACGGTGCTGCTCTCGGCAATCTGGTCTTGCAGCTGCTCCTGGTTCTCCTCATCTCCTCCGTCGGGTGCCGAGCGAGAGCGCTTTAGAGGAGGCTTGACCAGACCTACAGGGTAATAACCAAGAGGGCCATGTGACACTGGAGGAGCCAGCTCGGGGTGCAGGTCAGTCCCTTGTCATCTGCGATGGTTTGGAGGACTGTCCCCTAATGCTTGGCCCTCCATTATGTTGTTTGTTGTCAAGATTATGGATGAGTGATTTAAAGCATATGAATAACATGGCTTTAAAAAAATGGCACTAAAAAAAAAAAGTGGCACCATTGTGAGGGGGCAGGACTCCTAAGGGGTGGGGCCTCCTAGAAGAAAGGTAGGTCATTGGGGGTGTGGCTGCAGAGGGGATCACGGGACCTGGGCCTCTTCTCTTTTTTATGTCTCCCAGCTCCTATGAGGTGAATGGCTTTGCTTCCTGCATGCTCCCTGCATGATATGCCATCTTCCCACAGGCCTACAACATCAGGGCATGCGTACCATGGCCTGACACCTCTGAAACTCTGAGTCCAAAAGAACCTTTAGTCTTTACAATTTAGTGCAGGTATCTGTCACAGTCATGGAAAGCTGACAAACACATAGTCCCTTCTGTCCACTTCTCATCTGAGACAATACCGGAAGGTACAGGCAGCAACACAGGTCAGTGGTTGGCAGCAAAGACTTGTAAATTAAACAGCTGCATGACATCAGGAAATTACCTGCCCTTCATCTATAAAACTGGGACAAGAATACCATCCAGCTTAGAGGATTGCTGGAGGATGAATTGAGGTAATTTGTGTAGTGCTCAGTATCATGCTAACTACATGATAAATTCTCAGTAAGTGTCAGATGATAATAAATACAGAGTTTAACAAAATTAGTAATAACTGTTTCTATAGATGAGTGCCCCTGAAGGGACTCTACGTACTGATAGCAAATGATTCATTGGTGCAACAAAAATTAAGACAGCAAATTATGAAAATATTATGAGATCCCACTTACTTGGAGGGCTCATGCAGGTTATATGAAGCCTCATTTTATAAGTGGCAGTACGGTACTTCATATAGAATGAATTTAGTGAAAACATCAGGTCAGTAAGAACAAGGACAGGAACAGGATTTTTCTAACATAGGAATAGCTCATGTATTTGCAGATTAAGGAATACTTTAACGAGTACATTTTGATAACTTCATTCAAATCACAAAAGAGCATATTAAAGTCAGCTAATGACAGTAACCAGCAAGAATGATCCCAAGGCATGGGAAGTCCTCAAAATTGAATTAATATTCCTTAGTTGTACCAGTAAAAGTAGTATGACACTTGCTGGTAGCAGTCGCTCTGAACATTTTAGAAAAGTGTAAGGCACCCTGTTCATAGTCTTATCTTTGAAGTTAGTTAACAGAGGTTCTGCTCGACCTTAAGGAAAAGCTTATGAAAGAGTATAATAACTCATCAGGGGAGATAAAATCCCACTGAGAACATCATAAGGGGAAAAAGCACATAGCTGTATTACTTTTAGGTTAATGAATCAAAATCTCCAATTCTATGATTAGCACTACACCTTATAAATCATAGTAATTACACCAGTATTTGTGATTTGGGCTCCCTTAGAGATACAGATCAAGCCAGAGAGATTAAGTGTCAGTGACCCAAGCGGAAGTCCCAGTGGGTCTACTATAGCTTACATCCATGAGCTCCGGCTCTGGACCCAACTCAGTGACTCTGTGGATGCAGCGCTATTAACTGGAAGCTATCAGATTAATTATGAAACATTTAGTACGTCACAGCCATCACAACAGAGAACAGGAATGCTACTGGGGAGTGTGACCACAACTTCACAACTTCAGATGGTGGTTTGTGATGAAACAATCAGATACTAGTTTTTTAATCAATGGGATCTGAAACTTACAAGCTCTGCCTCTGAGAAAAACCCCTAAGAATCTCCTGGACTTGTTCTGGGTTGGGGATATTCTCTTTAATGGTTTGATCAATCTCCCATTGTTACATCTGGTAGTCTGAGCAACTTTGTTGAAGATAACAATATGTAATATAACAAGCACTGTTGATCCCTATCATTTCGTTTGAAACCCCATATCATTTTTAATATCCTTGTTTTGTTTTGTTTGTATTTTGCTATTGTTCTCTTTTTAATATTCTCTTTAAAATAAAAAAGAAAGAAAGAAAGAAAGAAAGAAAAACCCCTAAAAAAAGAAAGGGAAAAACACACAGCGGTGAAAACTCACTGAAACTGCTACCAGACACACAAGCAAAGAGCCGTCAGAGGACAGAGGTGTCGCAAAGACCACACGCTCTCCTAGGAGAAGCTGAGAGAGGGGAAGGCATGCATTCAGCTGGGTGTGTGAATACATAAGATTATACAGTCAAAAGACCACAGCTGTTTTCGTCAATGTCATCACTTACCCGGCTAGTGACACTTAGATTGTGATAATCTCTCTCTGCTCACAGAAAGAAGACCATTATTTCTTACTGCTGGCTAAGATGCACGGATGACCCATTTAGGGGCTGCTTTATTTTTACATTTATGTAGTTAATATTGCCTCTGTGTCAAGTATCACGTGCCACTGGGCACGCTGCCGAATACAGTAAAGAAGCTAAGGCACGTCGCATGTGCACGACCCTGGTCTACAGGCACGGAGACCAGCGGGCCTGGTTCTGAGGGAGAGGCCCAGCTTTGGGAAGGACACGGTGGGGTACTGGTACAGAGAGGTTTACGGCTGGCCCTACCCTGACAGCTGCTCATGCTTCCACATACATTCCAACAAGGGGCAGGCTCAGATGCTTCGGAGCTGAAACCCGAGGGGGCTGACCTCTGACTTTGGCGATGGTGTCTTCGCCGTGCTCTGGCTCTTGCTGCGTGGCCTCCCCGTCGGCGCTCTCCACAATGGGGTCCTGGACGACGGCAGGGTTGCCAGAGGCCAGGCGCAGGTAGTATTCTTTACTGTCATAGCTGACGGCCCTTCTGTACCGAGCAGGCTTCTAAGAAGCAGCAAAAGAAAACGACTCACACGATTCTGTCCCAGAACTAAAACACAAGCTTTTAAGGGAGGTATGCTGTCAAGATTTCCTGGCGCAGTGTTCCTTCTTTAGGGGCTGTACTATAAAGACTGTGTGTGTACACAGTGAATCCACATACTCCTAGCGAGGCTTCTCTAGGTTAAAACTCCACTGATTTCTAAAAGAAGGCACATCTAACACAAGATTAGCACTTTGGTTCTTCCTCAAACAGAAATAGGCTCATCTAGAGCCAACTGAGGTTTCCGGTTGGAGCAGCGTTCCCTGGTTGATGCAGAAGGGAGGAGAAGCCCCTGCTGAAGAGCATTGACCCTGGGACCTGGGTGGCCTGGGAGGAGCCTGAGACCCCAGGTTTCTCCTGACGTGCGGCTATGCGCAGCACCTCTTTCAGGTTCTGCTGAGTTCTGACCCAACACGGAACCCAGCAGTCTCCCACCAGATGCACTCGCTGGTTCACCCGCCTCTGTGAGCTGCTGCCTCCCATTTGCTAACACATGCTTGTTTGCTTGTCGTGTGAAAGACTACGACCCGTAAACTTATAACTAAGAGTAAAGAATGAACATGTGCAAGTCCATTTTGAATAAGAAACCACCTAGAAAATGTCTCCTTTCTTTTTCCAAATTATCATTTATAATTAATACTATTAATAATAATTTATTATAATTGATATTATTGATTAGAACTAATACTATTAATAATAATTCATTATAACTGACATTATTTATATTATTAATAATTAATATTTATTATTTTAAGAAGATTCTCCAGTTGACCTAAATTTGTTTTTTCTTAATCATATACAACAAGAAATGTCTAAGACATCTTACAAAATTTAAAACCACAGCAGGAAAAATTGACATGTATTTAGATTCTTAAAATCAGAATTAAACCTAACCTTCGAAGAACTGCAAAGATCTACAACAAGCTTTAAGACCTTCCTTTTCTAAATATGATGTTATTTCTCTTTTCCCATGAATAAGAATATCTAGTGCAAACACTATGGGCTTACTCTGCAAAGCAACGTGTCTACATACACATTGTCTACAACAATGCTCATCTCAAGAAATTACTCCCCTTCCTTGTCAAGCGCTGACCAGCGGTGATGGAAAACAATGTCCAATGGGGGAAGATTTAGGCTGACACTGTAAACCAGCTCTGAGATGAAAACCACCTAACCAACGCCACGTTGCCCATCTTTTTACTTCAGGTACAGGCTCAGGGAGTGAAGGGAACTGCAAGCAATCGGAGGGACGATAGGCAGCACGGAGACTGAAAACTATGCCATGGCTTTAATACAATAATTATACAATTATGGGAACTCAATCCGATAGGCAAACCAATAAGAACACGATACTGTTTTTGTTTTGTTTTGAAAAGAAAGAAAGGCGGTAAACTTTGTACCATAACAATTCCTACGAGTGAGGCACAACAATTATCTCCACCTCAAAACTGCTGATATTTCAAACGATGGTGACATAGTTAGTGATGGGTAAGACAATGAATTAACAGATGTGGGGCAGCGTCTGCGTGGGTGCTGACTTCATATACAGATTTACCCTCGGACTCCAAGAACCTCTCCCAGTACATTTCATTTCTGCGCTCTACTGAATTATGTACTGACTCTGTTTGGGAAAAACAGGGATACATTTCTGTACTAATTAAAATAAATTGAACTTTAGAAAGTGACTAGGTAGTCCCAGTTGCCATGGTTCCTTTTGACTCAAGAAAATAATTATACAAAGGCTATACCTGCATTTTCAAGATATCTAGGAGAATTAAGTGAGTAATTGAAAAGCAAACTGAAGATGCCAGGCTGCCCATACTAACATGCCTGCCACTGGTTAGTGGTGCGTGAAGCAGGGTGCGTTTCGGGCGAGCGGGAGAGCGATGAGTGCGGCCGTTAGTGAGCGGCAGAGCTAACTAGGACCAAGCCGAGAAAGGGAACCAGGGCTTCTCAGCAGGAAGGACACCCACTTCTCAACTCTAACGAACTTACAGAAGAATAAACCAAAAGCCAGTGTTTGAAGTTAGTCTAGTCTACCATGCACTAACAAAACAAAACAAACCGAAAAACAAAAAACGGTAAGTAATTTGCATTCTTTCGTGTAATTTGTGTTTTACCTTTTGAGGAATGATATCATCAGGTGTCTCGGGCTGTTTACTTGGGATCTCAGACTGAAAATAGGTATTAATCACAGACACATCAGAAAAAAAAACATAAAAGAACACAAAAAGAAAACTTTCTTCAGGACCACATGAAATATGAGGATGTACTCATTCAAAAGAAATTAACATGAGCTCTGCTATTTAAACAATCACTGAGTATGTTATTCCCCTTTGACCAAAAGTAGTTTTAAGTAAAACTTAATGTTCCAAAAGTTTCAGAGCTAGTGAACAGAACAAACCCTTAAAAATCACACAGATAAAACAGCAGCACAGGGATGAGTAACAGGCAACTTCTTCCATGCTTTCAGAAGGAAAAAACTGAAATCTGGCAAGTAGATTCATGCTAATTGGTATCTTCCATCTGCCTTGCCCCTGATCAGTGCCTGTAACTTGGGTTTAAATGATCATCTACAATACACTCTACCAGAGAACACACCAGGTGCTGGTTAGCAAAGATACAGCCTCCCAGCAGAGTCTGAGAAACTATTCCCTTGGGTACACATATAGCTACAAACCCAGAAATGCTGAAACCACAAGCAGACTGGATTATCGGCCCCCAAACCAAAGGATTTCCTAAAGAGCCATTTTAAAAAGAATTAGGTAGCTGCTTGACAAACATGAAGGGGATTTCTGTTACACTATAGTGTGTGGCTAAGTGTACGTAAGTACACAGCTAGCTACTTCCTTTTCAGATACACACCTAGAGGTGACTTCTAGTACCTTTTCCTACAGTAAACAGCAGCAAGCAAAATGTTTTCACAAATGTTTGCTTTCTAAGGCAAAACAGCAGACTACCAGCATGCTTTCAAAAAGTTTACACCGTTTTAGAGAATCTTTTCACTTTGAAAGCACGTGTGTGAACATATTCCTCACGCTGAAGAAGCATCTGTAAAATATACATCAGTCTTCTCTGTCTTTGGGGAGGGGTTGACTGACATGGGTGTGGTGTATGCCTTCATTAAAACAGGCCATGATATAATAAAGTAAAAGCATTTTAAAGGCAAAACCAGATCAGGAAATGCAACAGCAGAAAGAAAAAAAAAAAAAATCACTGAATGGCGCTCTTAAGATTTATGTATTTCAGTGTATATATATGACCTGAAAAGAACTATAAATATTTAACTCTAATGAATGATATGCAAAAGAAGTATTTTGAAATTCAATTCACACTGAAATTCATACAAAATAAGATTGCTGAATAAACAAGTGACAAAATAATATAACAAAAAGGACCAATTGCCGTTCTCAACCTGAGCTTTGCTATTTAAGTACGTGTCCTACTGCGATTCTGGCCAGAAGGTGGGCAGGGTGCATCGGCATGCCACGGTACTGCTCGCAGCTCACTGACTCACAGAGGCACTCGTTTACTTAAAGACACATTGCCCAATGGCAAATAGGAATGGTACTCCATAAACCTTAGTATCATCATCTTCCCTTATTTAAAAAAAAAGCACTAAATTATTATGTTTGTATAGAAATTAAATTTTTGAAAGTCAGAATTTCTACAAAATAATTTTATAGTTCTTTTTATTTAATCTTTCTGTAATGTTAGCAAGGAAATTCTCCAAATGAGCTTTTTTAGTGTCCAGGAGTTGTGATATCTATGTATTGCATGAAAATATTTGTGGCAGTAGGTGCAAAAGCCTCCTTTAGGGGGCTGGGGATTTAGCTCAGCGGCAAAGCGCCTGCCTGGCAAGCGCAAGGTCGTGAGTTCGGTTCCCGGTACCGGAGAAAAACCAAAAAAAAAAAGCCTCCTTTAGTTAGAAAAGGAACCTCAGGAGAGGAAGGAAGGCAGGATAAAGGAAGTTAGCTGCCTGTTCCCGAGCAACCTCGTATTAACCAACGATCTTTGCCAATGATCTTGGCAAAGAATAGCAAATTATTTTTGAGTATTAGTTTGTAAAAATAAGGGGACTACAGAATTAAAACAGCTTAGTATTTAAATGTCATTATTTGTTACATGGCAAACTATGGGATCTTATTTTCGATCTTTAGGACTCAGTAATGACAGTACTGCTTAAAAACACTCAGGTTTTATAGTCTCACCCTAAGTGTCCATCCTGACACTGTCTATCGCTGATATTACCACTTCCACACAGAAATACAGTTCAAATTAGTGGTTTTCATCATGAGAATTACCCCTAAAGGAAATTCACTGTGTGGAGATAATTTATTTTCCTGTGTGAATACAAATTTCCTACATGTACTTAATTCTTCTCAGGGCATTCACACTTATTCACACTAGTTCTTTTATTAAAACAATTTTAGTTAGTAAACTTTCAAAGCTTTTAAAGTCTGTAACAAATGAACCATTAAAAAAGTTTTATGTTTTCCCATCCAAGTACTAACCAGGCCTGATCCTGCTTAGCTCCCAAGATTAGACGAACTCTGGTCACAGTGAGGGTGCTATGACTGTAAGCTAAAAAAAAATTTATAATCTATAAACTTCAAAATTAAAGTCAAGTAATGAAGTTCAAAACTTAGAATAGGTAAAGCACTTTTTATTGTATGTAACATTACTGAAGTAAAATAAAATTTTAGTAACTAAAAAAAATCTTTCTTTCTTTCTTTTCTTAAGGGTACAAAACTTTATTGGGAAAAGGAATGGGGAATGGGAATAGCTCCTGAGAGACAGGAGAGGTCCCAAATGGATTGCCCTGATTTACTTTTAACACATTAAAAAATTTAAAATGAGAAACTAGCTTTTTATTCAGCCCTATATTCTTCAACTTAAGACTATGCTTTACTGTATAAATCAAACTGTACTAGAACTGTATATGTTATTTAAAAATAGTAATTTCTCTTAATGAACAAGGCAAAGGATTGAACCACATGCCCTTGCTCCAATAAAGCCTGTTTTGCATACCAAGAGCCTTCAAAACCAATTTTCAGGTTGGCACACACCTGTGTATTGCAAAAGAGAACTGACTGTATTTTATGAGCATGTAGTTAGCAAGTTTATGGGAGCCGAGAAGGCAGAACTGACTGATCTCTACTTCTAGGCAGCAGAGGTGGATTTACTATGTGGTTAATCAAGTTTAAACCTCACGGGATTTCACTTCCCACAGGTCCTTTTCAAAGCCCTGGCCTTACTAATTTTATGTTCATAATTTTATAGTTTCTTTTTAAATTTTTAACAGAGGGTTCTCCCATACTGTATAAATCTTAGGGCCCAGAAGATCTGGTTCTATCTCTTTTAGTGGAAAAATTTCAGAATTGAGGAAATTCTATGGATTTTTGAAAAGGAGGCATTAAAGAACGTCTCTAACTCAAGCAAATGTGTTGCTGGTTCACTGACCCAACATCTGACAAGCCCGAGGCCCTCTGACAGTACCCATTAGGTGGTTTCTGGCTGCAGTACTCCCACTGGCTCTGGACAGCATCACAGCAGTCTTCTTTTTCCAAGTGACTTCACTGCTCAGGGGCTACTGACCAGCACTCACACCCTACTCTACCGCTGAGCAACTGCAACCACAAGGGTTCTTCACTTGCCCAGCTTTCAGCTCCGTATCTGTGAAACTGGGATAACATTAACTGAATTTCAGAGGGCTTTTATGACAGCATCATAAATTCCAAACCAGCTGCTCTGCACAGCACCCAGTCCTCTGTGCTTTACAGTCACGTGTCCCCGAGGGACAGGGACATGGTCTGAGGAAAGGCACCGTGACTGGGTGACTTCATTGTGGTGAGGACACGCGTGCTTACACCAGGATGTCACCAGGCAATGTACTCTCATGGGACTGCTGCAGTGTACCCAGTCCACTGCTGAAGCAAACACTGTTAGGTGGCTTGTGTCTATTCGTCCTACTGTCTAATTTAATTTCAGGGTGAAAGCCAGTGAGGTAACAAATGCTTTTTGAAATTTTCTGTTTTGGGCGTTGCCAGATTTCATATTCCGTAAGATAAAAGTGGATACTTAATGGTCTTTCAAATTTACAAGAGTTCTAACCACCGAAATCAAAATAAAAATTAGTTATTGAGAAAATTTCATCATAACAGGTTAACCTGGACACGAACCATCTGTCATAAGTTCTATATTCTATAAGCATCTCCTCTTCCTATCTGCTTTCTCTCCAGCTGAGCATACTGCCTTATACTTTCCAATACGTTACCCAGCTGTCAAAAACACAGGTTCTGCAGGGTGCATTCTGATTATGAGATGCTTCGTTAGATTTCATACCTAAGTGTGAACCCTGAACCCTGAGTGGCTTATTTTATTTTTATCTGAAATGGAAGTTTAAATATGTTTTTCTAAGCAAATAACAGTGTTATAAAGAAGGTTAAAAAGATAAAGTAAAAAATACTGTAGTTCTTAGAAAAATAACTCACAAGTAAATGCCTCATTTAAAACAGTGAGTTGGTCTCATGTATGGGAGGGCATATTTACTTTCTATTTTATTGTTCTGGAATGGATTGAATTCTAAATGAGTGCTGATTCAAGAAATATACTATCAAATTTCTATGAGTTCAAACCCTTAATGAATTACTTGAGGAAAAACCTTAAGTCTTAGTGACTGTACTATTGTTTTGCTAGTAAAAGGTAGATACTAGGAAAACACAGCAAAAGTATGGGGGATTAATCTTTTTTACAAAGTGCTCCCAACTGGAAATTTTAGTATTTTAATTGTAGCTGTATTTTAAGTGTAGCTCTTCCTAGTATGGCATTCCTAACTGGCAAATTCATTATAAATTGGCAGGTGTAATTGGGGGGTACAGAGTGAAGTTATATGTACAGCATCCAATATGTATGATTAAATCAAGCTAACGAACACATCCACTAACTCAGATATTTATCTTTTTTGTGTTGAGAGCATGAACTTACTCTCAGAAAATCTGAAATATACAATACTATTCACCATAGTAACTACATTGTGCAGTAGATTTCAAGAAACTTATTCCTGTCTGAATGACATCTTTTTTGGAGGGGGTCAGTACTGGGCGCTGACCAAGGGCCTCATGCTCGCCGGGCAAGTTCTTCCCACACTGGGCTACACGCTAGCTGTGCGCTTTACACCGAAGGACTCATGCCTCTTCGTTCCTCCAGCCCCCAGCCTCTCACAACCGCCGTCAACTCTCCGTGGATTCTCCTACTCACAGAGTCTGATGAGTTTAAATTCCACGCTAAGTCAGACCACCTGCTCTTTGCCCCTGTGCCCAGCATATCCTACCGATTCACCTGGGCTGTGGCACATGACAAGATTCCCCCTTTTAAACAAAGCTGGAATACTATTCCATTGTGTATAGTCTCCACTTTTTACATCTGTCATCTGCTGATGGGTATTAGGTTGATTCTAAGACTTACATTCTACGTAGTGTCAGAACAGAGGTTGGACCCATGAGTAAGAGAAATGGGGCTGGGCTTCTGGCACGGGACGAAAGAAGGCAGAGAGTGTCTACTCGATACCAAACACTAAAAGCTCTACTGAGGTGCGCTCTTACTGAGGCACAAGGAAAAAGACGTCCAAAGAAGTTCCGTGAGCTGTCCACAGACGTCTGTGAGCTAAACCATTTCCTGTCAGCGCCCTGCTACACAGTCCCCCCTTTGTGTCACTGCCCTCCCAAGTTTCATACAGGTAACTGACCTAGGGAGGAAAATGCTTACTAATAAAAGCAGGACTTAAAAAGGCCCCACAGGCATTTATCTCTCCATACTCACCGTCACGTTCGTCTCTTGCTCTGCTTCGGGCACGTACGGGTAATGGTTGTAAAACATGTCGTTTCGCACCATTTTTTTCCTCATTCTGCAGGGCCCTTCCGTCATCTCCAGCATCCATTTGTCCAGATGGGACCCAATGGGGGGACCCCACAGTCCCCGCTCCCGCAGGAGCTCACACTCAATCTGGCACCACTCCTCCGTCACGTACTTCAGGGCATTCTGCTGACGCTACCAAAAATGTCCAGGTTGGTTTAAGCAAAAGCAGGAGTAATAAGAGAAAGCCCACAAAGAAACCTAATGTCAAGTTATCATTCCAAAATAAATGGCATCCGTGTCATTTCCCAGGGGCTAATTATTATAGAAGTCAAACCACCTTTATTTCTGGTGAATGACAGCTGATTTGGTGACTGTGGGGTGTACTGTGGAAAAGGTAATTCTTTTAGCACCAGGTAAATCACAAGTGTGTACACAGTAGTATCTGCGCTGGGGTCAAAATATACTATGCAAGGTAAAACTAAAAAAAATTTTTAATAGTAAATGCACATTGCCATTTATCCCCCTCAGGATATGCCCCCTGGCTCCCAGCACACTGTGATGACCACGGACTCTTACCTCCTGATACTCCTTATACTGCGTGTCCACTAAGTCCCGGACAACGGCGATGTGCGTGAACATCCACTGAGAGATCTCCTAGGGATGGATGGTGAGAGGCTTAGTATGTCACACGTTTCCTGGGAAGAGTGACTAGCCTGAAACTCACGCCGGACCTGAGTTAGAACTCTATGCAAAGTGTCTACTACAGAAAACAAAAGCGAAAAGTGCTGAAGAATGAGCTCTGTGATGAGCCAATGCCCCGGCCGTCCAGGCACTGCTTGTACCTGCAGGGAGGGACCAGGCGCAAAGTGCCATCAAGGTGGCAGAGCTGGGAGAGAAGGTTCAGACAACCCTGACTGGCTGCTCTAGTCCCCAAGCTCCCCCGAGGCCTGACATTTCCCTGTACTCAATCCTGCTTTTTCCTTGTCTCTTCCCCAGGGCATCTTCAATATGCACCCTGCACACTAACTCCGCCCCCGAGTTTGCTTTGTGGACACACGACGTGACCGCTGGACACTGTTGCACTCACACCCTCTCTTCGGTTGCCACTGGGATTCTGGGGTGGTGAAGGAAGAGGATGAGGAAGGAGATAATAATAGAGGTAGAAGTGCTTTTTCTTAAAACATCACTCACAAGCATTTACAACAACATCATGGAAAATAGCGAGTCATGTTGTCTGTTGGTGCTGTAAAATTTGTAAGTGTCTGTTATGTTGAAAGTTTGGAAAGCTATTTTAGTCTGTTCACCAATCTCTGAATTTCACCTTATGTCCAGTTATCAAGTGGGTATAAATAAAGACTACTCATTACACCATGTCAGCATAATAAAGCAGGTGGACTTCCCACAATTTAGGTTACCTCCATTTGTCTTCTAAAGCCCATGCAGAGAAATTCCATTTCAAATCTACTGCTTATACATGTTAATAGCATCGCATCGATAGTATGACTGAACCACGAGAACAGAAACTCCCAGGGATGACATCCGCAAAACTAAACAATGTACCTGCGTGGAAAGACTGTGCTTGTTTAGACCGCTTTCCTTTCGATTCCTCCTTGATCCTGTTAACTTGGAAAGACCGAAGCCACTGCTGACTCGGGAGAGTTTGGACTGTGTGGTGGGCACTAAAGCTTCTCCCCGACTTATGCTTTTTTTTTCATGGGCTAGGAAATTAAAATTAGATCATTTTACAATTTCTCCATGCATTTATTAGTCTTGTTTTTAATAGCTTTTTATTATGGTTGCAAACTATAATCCTGTACAGTAGCTCACACCACCCCCCATCCATGATTTTGCTTTCCACAATTCCAGCTATCTGCATGCAACTGAAAATATTACCATAACGCAAAGAGGAATTCTGAGAAAGGGGACCACATGCAAGTAACTATTATTACAGTATATTTACATAACTGTTCTATTTTATTATTAGCTGCTACTGTTAAGTATTCCTGTTCCATTACCCCCAATGTGAAAAAAACCAGCATATATAGGACTTGATACTACCCATAGCTTCAAGCACCTACTAGGGGTCTTGGAAAATATCCCCAGCCAAAAAGTGGAGAATGCTCTAGTTATCACAAGCAGCACATATAACACATGCAGATACTGCTTTTAGATATCACACTTATTTGGTGGTGATCCTGTTTACAGATGGCTGCTCGAGAGCACTGCACTAGGTGAATTTACACTTGGTTGAAAAGTCACAGCTCTGCAGTAATACATAAAATCATTTTTAGGGGCTGGGGATTTAGCTCAGCGGCAAACTGCCTGCCTGGCAAGCGCAAGGTCGTGAGTTCGGTTCCCGGTACCGGAGAAAAACCAAAAAAAATAAATAAATAAATAAAATCATTTTTACTAGAGGACATTTCTATGTTTATAACAATAATTTCTTATATAAAGCTTGTATTGCTGGGCATACACTGGAACTGGGATTTTTAGAAGATTATACTATACATACTCTGTATGGCAGAGGGTCTTTTACCAAATGAGTTTAACATCAGGCTAATGAGAAAACCTTGGGTTTTCACAGCTATGGATACAAGGCTGTGGATCTTTTCCCAAAGCAGCATCCTTCACAGAGCTGCAAGCAATTCGTTATACATTTCCTTAACTCATAAACGCCTAGTATATAACACACTTTAGATGTAAAAAAGGAGCCAAAAAGCTGAAGCCGAATCTCACTGGACTCATTCTAGAAGGCTCTGCTGTGTTAGTTTCCGTTTCTCTTGCCAGCAGAGCATCCTCACAGGAGCGTTTTAATTCCACATCTAATGTCACCCGTGTACAACAGGCACGGGACCTCTGTTGGCCGCTTACCCAAATGATTCTGCCAGCATTTCAAACCCGCTTCCTCAATGAGCGGCCGTGCGATGGCTATGTCCACATGGCCCCTCTCGTTCACAGGCAGGGTGACTTTGAAAAGCTCCTCCAGGACCTGCTTCTTACTGTGGATCAGCTCAGTCCAAACTCTGTTGACAGCTTTTATGAGAAGCTGACGTCCTAGGAAGCAAAAGAGAGCAAATGACCCAGGCACTGCATACAATTAGTTTTTATATTCCTTTCTGTTTTATATCTAGGAATTTCAACAACAGCATTTAAATGTGGAAAAACAAACAACTGCTCATTTTCTATCCAGCTCATTGAAAAGAATTATTCAGATACCTAAATTAAGTTAGAATCAACTACACTTTCATCTATAAATTTGGGGGTTACACATATATTTAATTATCTGGTATAATCTAGATAAGAAACTACTTGCTATTTAAGGAGTGTGCAAACCTTTCCCAGAGGTTTCTGAACCACATGGTCAGGTACAGTCATAGCAGTGATTCCACTGCTCTGGTACCAAATTCTGTCTTAGTTATTTTTTCTCGTTGCTGGAACAAAATTCTCAAAATACCCACAAGCAAAGGGAGGAAAGTCTTATTTAGGTCACAGTTTGTTGAGCTTTCAGTCCCTAATTGGCTGGCTCCGAGGCAGGGTGGTTCATGGCAGAGGCAACAGTTCACAGCAGTAGAAAACAGTAAAAGCAATCTGCAAGTGACACAAGGCTCTTTCTTTCTGTCCCTTATACTGTATGCAGGCTACACACTCTAGGGCAGGTATGACACGCACACCCTTAATCCCAGCACTGTACTATGAATCACACATTCTACATTTGGCTACCTCCAAAGAAGTCTGAGACTGCATAAGGCTTTGGGGTGACATCTAGACATAAACCATAACTAATTGTGTTAGTGGTTATTTGATTTTTTATGTATATTAATATTTGTTTCATATAGTTTGCCTTGCTAGTATTTGGGGCATATATTTATGATTATTATCTCTCCCTCTTAGATTGTTCCCTTAACAAGTATGTAGTAACTTTCTTTGTCTCTTCTGATCAGTCTTGGCTTGAAATCCACTTTGTCAGCCAATACAATAGGTACTCTGGCTTTTTTCTGGGTTCCTGTTGCGTGGAGTACTGCTTTCCATTCTTTGATTTTCAGTCTATGTTTATTTTTTGAGTTAAACGTGTTTCTTACAGGCAGCATATTGTTGGATTCTGTTTCTTGATCCATTCTGCCAATCTGTTTCTTTTGATTGGTGAGTTGAGGCCATTTATACTGATGACTATAACTGACATGTATCGACTTATCCTTGTTATGTTATTTTCCTGTTGTTGGCTCCCTTTTGTCCCCCTCTGTTTAATTACTTGGCTTGCCTGGTGGATTCATTCTATTGGGGTTCATGGGAGTGTTGTCTTCATCGTCTTTTTCTATGAATATCCTTCAGAACTTTTTAGAGTGCTAGTTTGTTGATCATGAATGTCTTCAGGGGTTCTTTATCAGGGAAGTATCTTATTTCTTCATCAGTTTTGAAAGATACATTAATCTGAGTTGGAGGCTGCTTTTTTTAGGGCTTGACAGGCTTTCAAATGTAATATTTCAAGCGAGCTCAAGAGATACTAGACATTTTAAGAAGATTTTTAGTATTGAGTTTAGTCTCCCTAAGGATCCTGTTCTAATTGTTCTGACTCCTCCTCTAAATGACTCAGTGTTCAGGAGGCATCAGAATCTGAAGCAAGGCTTGTCACGACCCACTGTAGCTGCCCACTCTGGGAGCTTCTGATGTAGTAGAACTGAGTAGAGCCAGGGAATCTGTTTCTACCAAGCCATGAAATGCTGCTGATGGTGCCACTCTAAGGACCTGACTCTGGGAACCAAAATGCTACATTTTTAGTTTCTTGCAGAGGGAAAAACTGCATCTTCAGGTAAGCCTTAGAATGCAATTCAAGAAATTTGGGTCAAAGAACAGAGACTAAAATAGTGCTTACAGGAAGGAATGAAAAAAAGAGTAAGTGCTGAACTTCCCAAGGATAAAACCATCTGCCAAACTAACACACAGTACTGCTAGAACACAAACACTACCACAGTGACCTCAGCTTTAAAACCGCCAAAAGAGGGAATAAGAAATCAATGAACATAAGAGTTCAGTGTGCAACGCTTATGAGATCAGAGGGAAAACTAGATTGTAAAGAAGAGAATAAAATCGAGCAACAGTGGTATTACTGATAATCTGTCTCAACTGGTATCTGCCTGTAATGTGGACACGGTTGATATCAAGCATTCATTCGGGCAGTTTTCTTTAGAGTACATGCAGGTTTTTATCTCCACTCTTACTTGTGGAAGTGTGAGCACCACTAAGCCTCCTGATGGCTCTTGACCATCGTCTACAAGGAGACATCTAAGACAAGGCACACTGGTGAGTGAGTGTGCAAGCTGCACTACTACAAGAGTAGCTGCTAATGTTGGCAGTTTCTGAAGTCCAACTTTTGTATTTATCTTAAGAACTAGAGACGAACAAAATGACACTGAACCTTCGTGAGGCAGCTTTACCTTCGCTAATATCTTGACTATATCCACCGTCCGGCTCAATGTCAGAAGGGATCATAATGTGCCACGTGGTCATGCGCGCTTCGGCTTCCAGTCCAAATCCTTCCACATTGCTGAAAAACGCAAGTCAAGCTTAACTATCCAAAGGAAATGATTACAGCTCAAAACTGTAACAAAAAAGAATCCGTCTGCAGAGACATGTAACCTAAGGCTCCCCACAGTCCCCCTACTGGCAGATGCATAAAACAGAACAGCAATTTACCAAGAAGATGCCATTTTTATGGAGTATCTCACAGATTCAATTGGATAAATGTAATTAAACTAATCTACAGCACCACAATGATCACCTTCACGTTCAAGATCCTTCTGGATGACTGTTAACATTGTTACCTAGAAGTCACCCGAAGTTCACCTAACCAGGTAGTTCTAATACCCTGAGTCCTGTCAAGTTCCTCATCCACTCTCCTCTCCTCCAGCAGCAGCGAGAGTCGCAGCTTTCCACATGTACCACCTCTCTCTGGCTCAGGGCAATCTCCCAGACAGCTCTTTCTTCAGCACTTGCCCCTCCAACCAGGTCCCACATGCAACTCCACCTTACAGGCCCCTGTCACATGCTCCAAGGCACAGTGCTGCTTCCTCAAGAGCATCCCAAGTCCAACCGGTCACAGGCATCTGCTCTCCCCACAAGAGGGCTGCTGCAGGGGCTACGTTGCATTTATCACAGACCCTAACTCCATGACAGGCCCCAACATGCGCTACAGAATTACGTCAAAGCAATCTATAGAAAATACTGATTGCATCCCTTTAACACGGAACATTACCCTGAGATTTTTTACATGTCTTAGTCTCTAACAGCATGTAATTTACTTGCTTTGAAAGCAAACTTCCTTTTTAAAATTATACGGGACATATTATGATTACAGGAAAATTTAAAATGTGGAAAAGTGGAGGAAAAATACTCATTTTTTTATTAGATATAAATGTAATACCGGTCCTTTTCTATTTGCAGAAAGTATTAAGTAAAGCAGAAAAAAAGGGAAAGTGAAATGTTATCAAAAAAGTTAAAGAATTCTGGTGGACTAATCTGGAAGAGGAACTTAACAAAGCAAGCAGAGCCTCAACAATTACCTTCCGGCATGGAGATTAATCAAGCAGTGAGCGAGACAGCTGATGAATTCCTGGTCGTGGTTGCCAGGTCCCAAGATCAAGTTCCGATTGACAGTCAGGAGCCGGAGCGAGTCCAAGAGCTGTACTTGCTGAGGGACAGTCTTGTGTGCCCGTGAGAACTGATACAGGATGGTCCTATTGAGGCAGTGATAAACCGCATCCAGCGACAGTCCCTGTGATCTTCTCTTCGACTGCAGACATCGAAAGACACGTTTTTAGCAAAATGGACAACAAGGAGAGGCTTATTTATCATTCACACATGAACTCGGATTAGCTATTACATACCATATGCCATGCTAAGAACTAGGGGTGCTAAGGTAAGTACCACTAAGTTCTTGCTATTGTGGGGTTCACAACTTTTTATTTTGATGCTCTAGTTGTATCTCCTTGCTTGGAAGTTCTTCTCTCTGAGTTGGCTGTAAATATGTCCCTTGGGGGACAGGAGGGAAGTTCTGCACCTGTTCACCGCATACAGATACAGCGCACAGACAAGTGCTTCTGTAGTATTTTAGGAAAATGATGTTTATGGCTACAAATCAGAATAATTACGGGAATTACTGGCCACAGTGCTTCCTATTCTACAGTACGGGGTAAGCACGATTAATCCCTTGTGCCAAGCCAGGCCCACATCCTCAGCCACACATGCACGAGGAACAAAGAACATCGAAGGCACACGGACCACATGGACGGGTAAGGACTCAACGTCAAGAGAGCATCTCTTCAAGGCCAACTCGCATGCCTGTAGCCTTTGCACACAAAGCACTACGAAACCCATCGAGCTGCATAAACGTAAGGTTAAAGCAGCTGGTCGCAAAGGAGAACACCAGGAGGGAGGACAGAGACCCACAGCTGAGGGAGTGAGGCGGGCTGACCAGGGACGCACTGCACCTGGCTACTGGTAAGGGGCAAGGGTTAAAGGAATACTTTTATTCACTTTCAAGACGCATAGCTTTATATTAAACGTTAACATTCATTATCCTATCAGTTACAATGATTTCCAACAATGATGACACCATAGGCAGTTTTTCAGGAGGGAAACATGTACTCTACAATAGTGACAATGGATTACCTGTGCAATTAGTTGAATTATAAAATCTATAAGAAGTTTAGAGTCTTTGTTGAACATGCCTTGCCAAAGCTTGTCCACCACACGTTGTGTGAAATAAAACACATTGTTCACCAATACCTGGTAGCTTCCTCCACTCGTAATAGGCAGAGATGCGTCTTCCCCTAAATTCCGGCAGAAAAGAAGTCTAAGAAAATTGGTGTCTACTAGCATGAGACCAGATTCTCAAAGATATCAGGCTAAAGAAAAACAAGTGTATCTACAGCACTGAAGAAATACGACCACAAGCGCTAATGTACTATTTTAGGAAAATGATATTTATGGCCCCAAGTCAGAATAATTATTGGAAGAAACAGTTTTAGCGAGATAAAATTGTGGCGGATCGAGACACCCTGTGAGGTCTCCTACGCCTGAAGACCCTCTGTGACAACAGAGAGAGCTTCAACTCAGCTGCCAGTGGTGGCGAACTCCACGCAGAGGAAAACGAAGTCAGTTTACCGCTAGAAGCGGGTCTTGTGTAAATAATCAAGTGAAGACAACCCATCCAACACACCTCTGTTCTGTTTATCTGTATCTTTCATAGCAATCATCAGACAGGCAGATAAGAGCTACAGGAAAATGGTGACAATCAAGGGGTCTGTGATCTGTCGCCTTCTCTAAGGCAACCCTGATATCCTTTGTTTACGTGTGGCTAAAACACGTGCGACTTCAAGGTAATTCCCCAGCCCTTTCTTCTACCTACAATCCTCTCCCTGAGCCCCGTCTTCTCGGCAGAAACCCTGTACACTGCACTGCACATGGCTATTATTATTTCTTCTTAACTTGTCATAATAAGCAAAACTTTTACTATCTTTATGTGGTGTGATTGATCTCAACTGAGGATGAACAGGTACAAAAGTATGACTTGGCACTTGGCCTTCAGGGTGCACGGTTACATGTTAAGAAGATGCCAACGATTTCCTGGCAAATTTATTTTGGAAAAAAATGTAATTTAGTAACACAGAGGTTCTATGACTCATATGATCACTGGGAACTCAGAATAGCACATAAACTAAACCATTCCTTTTTTTCCTCTTCATAATTCTCATTTTGCTTACCTATAAGCAGTGGCTCCACTGGGAATGTATCAAGTTCTGCATTATTATTGTAACTAGATCCCAATGCATTGAAAAAACATATCCTAGTGTCTCTTGGCCTTATTTCTGGACCAGCCTTTACACCATAACAATGAAACAGAATTACCCAATAACACATCAGCTGCAAGAAGGTGGTCCATCACACCGTCCAAAATGTAAGTCTGAAATTCTTTTTGCTGAGTTCTTGTGGATCTTTCAGGGGAAGCCTAAATCAATAAAAATTGAAATCAGAGACATAATTAATTACAGAAAGACAGGGGCTCAATGATTTTTATGCTATGAAATGTATCAAAGCACAAAAAAAAAACCTCCTAGAAGTAAACTTTTAAAAATTTGACACAGGGATGGTATATATGGTTATAATCTTTTTCTTATTTTTCTGGCCATGGAACTTTAAAAAATTTAAGCAGAAACATCTTTAAATCCATTCTTCCAAAACTACTATTGTAAACTTTTTAATATTTAATACATATTTGATAATCTATTATACCTCACTTCCACAAGAGAGCTGGCAGTTCATAATGAAATACAGACAAAATCAGAAAGACATTTAAACAGACACAAAGCTCGAGATGGGGCAGGAAGTATTTACCACGCATTCGCTAAGCACATAATTCAGCTTCAAGCCTCCCAGTGTCAAAACAGAAACAAAGTATGTTTCACAAAGCTTTTGAGGACCTAAAAAGTACATTAAACCGCCAGCGGGGATACAGGCTTTCCTTTGAGTGTCAAAGAGGAATGCTCTCATAAGACAGCAAGGAGCCCTACAGGCGGTGGGATGAGATGGTGTTAAAAGTTATCTTGCATAGAAGCTGAGGGCATGGAATTCAGCGACGTCCTCTGAGAGCCTCCACCCGTGCTCTGGGAAGACATCAAGCTGCCTAACTTCCGAGTATCAGCTCGCGTATCAAGGCTGGGACGCAACCTCACCCTGGGAGCACAGGCCTGGAAGGGGAGGGCCTTGCCCACCCTCAAATGCTGACAGCTTCGGCAAGGCTTCTGACAGAAGCTGCATATGGAACAAGCCCGCAAGTGCTCAGAACGCTCGCTCTTAAGAAGAGATGCTGCTGGGTCTGGAGGCACATGCACAGTCCCATGTACACAGAAGGCCGGAGCAGGAGGAGTGCGTGTTCAGAGCTAGCCTGGGCAACTGAGCGAGACCCTGCCTCAGAATAAAAAGGGCCAGGGGCATATGTGGCTCAGTAGCAGAGTGTGTTTAGCGTGCGTGAAGTCCCAGGTTCAAACTCCAGGACTGGGGCGGGGGAAGACACAGACTGTGTTAGATAAAGGAGATTATTTATTCAGGTCCTTTCAAGTTTGAAAAACGCCACTGCTGAACACATCCACTCATCTCATACCTTTCGCGGGTGCGCGCTCTATGGTTAGGTTCAGCTGTGCTCTCCTGCACATACCCTTTCTCAACTTTGTCCTGTCAGGCTCTGATTACCATTTCAGTTTCCATGGAGAGCCTCTCCTTTTCCCCTGCACCCTACAGCACTGACGGTGTCTCTTCTTGGAGCTCTTTCCAGATTACCAAGGGGACAAGCTCTCCTGGGCATGCTTTTGAACTCTCCCACATGGGTTATTTTCCTGCCAATGTTAAACACTGCGGTCCTTGCTAAAATGGTTAGCACACTTGGGTCCTAAATTACATCACTGACTTCCTTTAATGGAACAAGTGACATTTTCACACGAGTAAGACCAACACCTATGGCTTCAAGGTTGACATGAACGAGTTAACCACATTAGCCACTAGGGGGAGCAGCGGCTCCTGAGAAGCAGCAGTCTCCACAGTCTCCCGCACTCCTCAGGGGCTAGTGACCCTGCTGACAGGTACTGCCAAAGGAATGTGAATCTACCTACAGGCAAGGGCTTATGTATGCTATTCCTTCTTGTGACCTTTTGTTTTGTCTGGAGACTGTTCCAGATGAATATTTTTTTTTTTTTTTTTGGAGACAGGGTCTTACTATGCAGTTCAGGTTGTCCTTGAACTTGCTATACAGCCCCAGTTGGCCTCGAACTCATGGTGATCCTCCTGCCTCAGCCTTCCGAGTGCTGGGATGACAGGTGTACATCACCTCGCCTAGCCCAGAGTAACACTTTGCAATTGTTTTTAGAAATGGCTAATTTCGAGACCAGCAGTGAGGCGCTTCAGGGGTAGAGCCGCCGTTATTTCCCTGACGATGGGCCAGGGGCTGAGGCAGACAATGTGAGGTGAGGTGGGGAGACAAGGCCACTGGGAGCCGTCCATACCCAGGGATGGGCCGGGCACATGGCGGCCCCGCAGCCGAATCCAGTCTGCGCTAGCTCTGCACAGCAGCGTCACGCACAGCCCTGCTCGTCCCTTGGTATGGGCGGTAGCTGCTCTCATGCTTTGCGATGTGCATCAATAGGGGACACAGACTGCGGGCCCACAGAAGTCAAGCAGGCCTTTCCAGAAAAGTCTGCCAATTCTTAGAGAAAGGCTGGGAGGATGGAATTAGAGAGGCATGTGAGAGACAGGGAAGAACAAACTGCGAGCCTAAAGCACATTCGGGATTCAAATGCTCACGGCCTGTACAGAACCCAAAACGAGAAACCTGAAGGCCATCGACCAGAGCTTGCTTATTTATGGCCTCATTACAAAAGCAACGCAGACGGGTGGAAATGTGTTTGTCTTTACCTCCAACAAAAGATCGATCAAGGGCGTCTGCTTGCTGGCGGGGGTGAGACAGAGGTTGTCTATTATTAAGACCCGCATGAAGTCGAAAACGAACTTTTTAGCTGGGTGGTTGGTCAGATAGGTCTTGGTGCCCACATTGCAGTACTCGGACTGACTCCTGTTCATCCCCGTGTCCGCGGCGAAGGCTTTGAACTCCTCAGCAGGAGACCCAACCTCGTCGTCGAGATCCGTCACCTAGGAGACCAAAGGGAGTCGCATGAGGCTCACTGTGACGCTTTCTCTGTGTGTCTCCAAAATATGAAACAGCAGCATAGCATCTTCCCTCAGGATTTACTTCCGACCAAGCTATCGGGATCATATTTCCCTCTGCTGTACTGGACAGGGCTTCCAGCCCGGTACCTGGCACCGTATGTCACACACAGCTCCTTGGCATATGGTCCCTGAGTGACCACGAACCATGGATCTGCTTTTCTGCAGAATTACAGGTCTCCTGTGGCAAACAGACCTTCAGTGAAGTCACAGCATGAGGATGACTATTTTTGGATATGGGAAGTCTACCTGCGGAGAAGTCAGTCCAGTCTCAGATGAAAACCTGGCATAATGCTAGTAACTAAGGCCTGATCCATTTTCTTTGCAGGAGACGAAAGTCCAAGTAAACAAACACAGTAACAAAACTACTGTCAATTGTGAGGCAAAGAAAAAATAGTTCAGATGAAAGATTGTAAGATGTTAGCAAGATTTTTAAGTATCTTGGAGGTCACATGTTTACCAAAAATGACGGCTCTACCATTATAAACAAGCTAGAGTACTAAGGTCATGTTTTACAGTATAAGTGGCTCGATCTCCTGAAATTCTCACAATTTTAGAATGACTATTTCATCTTTATACATGGAGAAAAGCAAGACAGCAGTTGATTCCAGGCCTTTCGGTACATGACAAAAGAAGAAACATTATGAAATTCTGAAGTACTATGAAAAAGCAACTTTGCGGGGGGGGGGGCTACTTAGAAGGACAAAAGAAGTATCTATACTATCTGGGATTATATCTAATAGTATTTTATTAAATTAGTACACAAAAAATGTTGAACAAAATAAGAACAGCTGGGCAGCAGAACTAAGAGTTACTATCTCTTATTTTAAGAGTTGGAACAGTTTGAGATTTTGCAAGTTTTCTTGTACCTTTTTCTATCACATAAATGCACTGATTAACAATTATAAAGTGTAATTTTTTCATGCTTTGTGAATTTGATTAAAAAATTGATTGACTTGGTACTAAGAAATAACTTGATGCAAGACATCTTTTATATTTGCATAGGTTTTTTTTTTACTGTCTTTTACCTTTTTTTTACTATTTTAAAGTTAAAAGTATTTCTGTCATAATTATAAACAAAATTAGCCTGTATTAAAATATATTCTACTCTGTGTATCTTTCATGCTTGAAATTTTGAAGGTTAATTCAATATGGCATGTTTTAGAATATTCAACTCAATAACAGCTTGTAAAATTTCACTGAAGGAAACTGGGTGTGGTGGTGCATGTCTGGAATCCCAGCACTTGGGAGGCTGAGGCAGGAGGATCCCTGCGAGTTCAAGGCCAGCCTGGGCAACACAGTGAGTTCAAGCCCAGTCTGAACTGCATAGTAAAACCCTGTCTCAAAAAAAAAAAATTTTTTTTTCATTGAAGGTTTTGATGAGGAAAAAGAGTATACACAATGAAAGCACTGGTGAAATTTTGAAAGTTTCTTTCTATAAAATATAAAATACTCAATATCTAAATCTAAATTAGGCATGGAAGATCAATGTTAACGCTGGATTTCTGTGTTTCACATTTGTTATAGTGTTCAAAACGCAGATAAAGTATTTATTATTTGTAAACATGCTTTTACAAAAGTAAATTTTGAATTACTAAGGAAAAAAAAATAGACAGTCAACTCTATGCTTCATTTGTAAAGATCAAATCCAGCAAATGCCTACTTCCTGAAATAAAAAGGAAAAAAGTGGTCTGACCAGAGCTCTATTAGCTGAGGAAAGTGTTTATAATTGTACCACCATCAGCACATCAAATAAGACGAATCAACCATGTTGATTTGTGTTATTTTGTCCTGAGACTCTGTATCACTTTGAATGTTCTGGCTTTGATTTGTTTACGTTTGTGATACTGGTATGCTGCCACTGTTCTATTTGTTTGTTTGTTTCTCACATACTGCTCTCTTTAAAATAAAGAAAATTAAAAAAAAAAAAACACAACAGGAAAGCAGGGGGAGGCTTCCTTCCGGTCTCAGGTGAGCAGGCTGCAGGGCGCCGAGACGTAAGTCATCTACAAGGTGGTCTGCAAAGCTATGAAATTAACTTGGTCACAAACTTAAAAAGATTGGCAAGGAAATATCTGCTAACCATGGCACAGACTAGCTCCAGGTTTGCCACTTTCCTCCCCTTTCCTACCATCTCCGAGTAAGGGCGGATATTGAAGGGGAAGACGGTCGCGGCCAGGGCGCACAGGAAGTCGGGGCTCATCCACATGGAGGCCAAGTCAGGCACGTTGTGGTACAGGTAGCGGAAGAACTGCATCAGCGTCACTGGGTACTCCCGCAGCCAGGAGCCCTCTTCTTCCGACTGCCACGGCTGGCACAGGGAGGAGAGCGGAAATCACGTTACAGAACTCGACAGCACCCAGAATGACCTGAACGCCCACTGCTGGCTACTCTGCCAGTGCTGGATGCGTCAAAGGTCCAGAACTCTACACACCACACGCGTGAGTGAAGACACGTGCGAATGTGTGTAAGTGAACAAAGCCCTGGAAACCGGGAGGATGTCTGTGTGTGCACTGGAGAACTCGGCTCTGGTAACCACGTCAGGGGCTCTGGTTATCTTTTCTGGCAACAGGAACAGTGCGGGGTCTGGGGGGCTGTGTCACCAGCAATGCCGTCCCACGTGCATCACGCTGCAGAGTCAGGAGGGAAAGAAAAGACGGGCGGCACCTCATCCTCTGAGCCTTTTACCATCACGGGAACCACGGCAGGCACGACACTCCTGAATACGACATCACAACAAAAGTGATGACGACAAGGAATCACCCGGTGTGAAGGTGCACACCTATAATCCCAGCACTCAGGAAGCTGAGGCAGGAGAGTTGCTGCGAGTTTGAGGCCAGCCTGGGCTACATACTGAGTTCAAGGCCAGCCTGGACTATGTAGTGAGACCCTATCTCAAAATAAGAACAAAACCAAAAACGATCCTACATGGTGGAAACACATTAAGTCATAGAAGCAAATTAAGTGGGCAAATGGTTCACAGAATTCCTGTGTAACAGATAGATACAGACATGTTTGGTTGTTCACGTCCAATTTAAAAAGCAGAAAATGGTAACTTTCATTGTTAATACATTTAATCTCTAAAGGAAAGGGACTTCCATAGTTCAAACAGTGTATCACTGTCGTAACATAGAAAATAAACCTTCACTATGCATGCGTACACATATATTCCTCACATGAGTGCTATCAGTCACTACTGAGGAAGCACTCACTACATGCCAGGCTGCAAGGCTCTCCCTGTACTTAACTTCATGAGATCCTCTGTTATCACCAGCCTTTTAAGCTGTGGAAACTGAGGCACACAGCAGCTAGCACGTGTGAAGTACCAGAGGCGGGAGCAGGTTCTAGAACCTGTGTCCTAACGGCTGCACACTATGTCCTTCCCTTGCGGATGTGAGGCAGAGCAGAGGCAGCAGAGACCTCCCAGCAAATAAACAGCAAAGGAACATCAGCAGATGACTCCACTGAAATCAACAAGCAGGCCAAGTACAGGCGGGCGAGGTGGGCACCTCTGCTTACCGAATTCAGCATGCTGCGGAGCATGCCCAGCAACAAGAAAGCAGCCTCCGTGCACACGTTGTGGATGGACGAGACCACGGTTCCGCTGGAGGCCGGGACACCAAAGATAAACTTCCAGATGGAATCCAGATCGAACTGCAGAGGCCAGAGCGACTGGAGATGAGGCGCCAGGAGCTTTTTGTCAGGACAGATTCTAGAAAGTTCCACTACTCTTCAATTTATTTGATTCTTTTTTTTTAAAGTGAGCAATGAAGAAAGAGAGACCTAGCAACTCTCCATCCTCCATTTCAAAGCTCACTTTTGTAGCTATTCTATGCATTATCTTGTGGGCTGCCTTAGGTATCTATGTTCAAATACTGCTTTCTACCTTTTTTCTAAATAAGCAAAAATAAAATACATGCTACTTAGCCAAGATGCTGTTACAGAAGGGAGGATTTTAAGGAAGATCTTTCTAAAAAAGCACAAGGACCTCACTTCCCCTACTCTCGGCGATCTTTTAATTCAAATCTAGATTATTTATAGGTAAGACCTGAGAAAACAGAAATCAATTTGAAGAGCTGTGCTAGTACCAGTTTTATGTAATACTTTATTGCTTTGGAGCCAAGGGGGCTTGAAAACCACGTAAGCAAGCAGAAGCAGGGCTCTAGCCCAAGTGATCTCATTTAAAAAACCTGTGAAGTACCAGAATTGATATCCATATGACTTGGCATTGCATGGAAGCAAAGTTGAGTTGAAAAGCTAAATTCCTAAAACTTTGTAGTGTAAGAAATGTAAGATTTACACAGACATACATAAAAGTTTTCAATTAGAAGTCAAAAATCCTCATTATTTTCCCAATGTCGATATTATTATGAATTAAAAATATTTTTCTAATCAGGACCTGCATCTACTCCCTTCATTTTTAATTCTCTGAAAATTAAATCACATTTCTAGATAAAAATTAAACAGCTCTGAACAATTCTTTCGACGACCATGAAAACCACTCCACCTTCTATGCACATGTAATCACAGAGAGCGTCCACAAGACGAAAAAGCCCGGGCAGTGACGAGGGAAAGTTGGGAAAGTTATCTACGGGGTTTTCACACTGTTTGCGTCCCAAATGAAATCTTAAACGCGAGGAAGGGGGCGGAGTCAGTAACTGGTTTCAGGTGGTTAGCCCGGACCCGAAGGCGCTGGCTGCGCACACCCACACGCACACCTTACTAGGTAATTCCTACCTTGCCACCCTGCTTACATCGGCTGCTGGCGACAGGCGCACTGACCTGCAGGTTCTCAGGCAGCTCACTAACTGGCTGCTGCAGAAACAAGGCCATGAGGAGGAAATAGAGGGCAGGGACATTAGTGTGCTTAGGAAGGAACGACTGGAGAACCGGAAAACCGGGGAAGTGGCAGGCGTCCCGGTTGATCTCCCTGACCGTCGATCTCCCTCCGGCACTCCTGCCCACGTTGAACCCTAAGAGAAGAGGAGATACAATAATAAAATTAAAAACTGGCAAGCACGTTGTGCAACGAAGGGATGTGACGCGGCACTCGGGATACCTCCATCCCGAACATACAAGTAAGCATGAGCGATCAGCTCGTAACCGTCCAATACATCTTCTGTCAGTCATCCTCTGCCAGCTCTCTGCTTGAGCAAGCCAGGCAGGGTACAGGTTTTGAAACGCAGCTGGGATAATCAGATACAAGTGTACGAAAATACTTCAGGTGATAGAAATTCTACTCATTAAAGAATAACTTCAGCCGGGCCTGGTGGTGCAAACCTGTAATCCCAACTACTCAGGAAGCTGAGGCAAGAGGATCACAAGTTCAAGGCTAGCTCGTGGAACCTGTGAGACCCTGTCTCAAAAATGGAAAGGGCTGAAGTGTAACTCACTAGAAGAGTATCCCTGGGTTCAATCCCTAGTATTCCTCACCCCTCTAAAAAAGAGTAACTTCAGAAGAACTCCCTTCTTCCTGCTTGGATTCCCTTAAAAAGGAAGTGTAATTCAAAATAGAGTCGAACTTGAGAATGCTATACAAATAGAAGTTAGAAATATATTCGGTGCAGCAGTCAGGATACCTCATTGGTCTTGAAAACCATGATAAACCAGTTAATTTTTTTTTTGTCTTTTTGAGACAGCGTCTCACTATGCAGTTCAGGCTGGCCTTGAGCTCACTTTGTAGCCCAGGCTGGTCTTGAACTCGCAACAGATCCCCCTGCCTCAGCCTCCTGAATGCTGAGATTACAGGCATGCGCCACCATGCCCGGCCTTAAACCACTTAATCTTAAATTATGGACTTAGGGAAAGACTAACTGAAGAAACAAAAGGAGCTTCTCTACAGCATGCAGGGCAGCTGGCCGGCAGGACAGCAAGCGTGGGCCCACTGTGGTGCGGCTGTCCGCGGGGCACCGGCTGCCCGAGCCTTCTGCAGAAACCCAGCTTCCTCAGGAGACAGGCAGCGCCGCTTCTGACGGCTCACGGCACCTGTGTCTCCACCAACCTGTGCCTCCGTTCTGCAGAACTCGCCCTTTGCCACGCTAAACCTAGTACAGTGCTGAGCATGCAACCAACGTCAGCCAAGTCTTGTGCAAAAAGCAACCGAGAGTGAAGAACGAGTGTGTGCTTGGAAGCAATCTATCTCTCAAACGGAAGGTCACATTTTTTCAATTTTTCTTTTTTGGGGATGGAGTGAGCACATACCGGCCACTACTATTTAGCATGATAAAAATGCAATTTATGTCTATGTTGCTTTTTATCATAACCAAATGCTCAGTGTGGTGTGAGCCAATCTTCTCAAGTACCTCCTACTAAGTAACATAAACCGGCACAACAATTAGCAGGCTCTTTCATGTATCATCTCTGAATCATAATGCATATGTGAATTATAAGCTGCTATTATCAATTTTAGAAGAGAAAATAGGAGATAGATTCCAAGTCACAGTGTCGATGAGTAGTAGAATAGGGTAGAAGCCTGATATCTTTATTTAGGGTTCATAAGATTGTGCTGTCTCCTATATGTCCCTGTTAATGATTTCTCTACATTTCTGAAAGAATGGCTCATTAGACACTGGGCTGATTTTTTTTCATTATAGTAAGTTCTAAATGAAATTATTAACAGAAAGTATCACGTTATACATAAAATAGAAAAATAATTCTGTTCTCACTGCAGGCCCTAAAAGGAAAGTGGTAGTATGAGGCGTGAGGAGGAGGCTCAGTGGTAGAGTGCCTACTCAGCATACATAAGGCCCTGGGTTCAAATCCCAGCATGACCAAACAAAATAGAACAGCAGCAACAAAACTAGGAAACCAACATTAGCACTGTGTCTTCATTTTTAAAGTCCCACACTATATCCCCCAACTACTAATCTTAAGGAGCATTTTAATGTACTATGATTGGCATTAGGTGTTGTTAGGCATTGACTCAGATTATGGCTGCATTTTTTTTTCTTTCTGTTTTTTTGAGACAGGGTCATGCCATGTAGTTCAGGCTGGCCTTGAGCTCACTTTGTAACCCTGGCTGGACTTGAACTTGCAACGATCCTCCTGCCTCAGCCTCCTGAGTGCTGGGATTACAGGTGTGTTCCACCATGCCCGGCCAATTATGGCTACATGGATGGTATTTTTTTTTTTTTTTTTTTTGGTTTTTCTCCGGTACCAGGAACCGAACTCACGACCTTGCGCTTGCCAGGCAGGCGCTTTGCCGCTGAGCTAAATCCCCAGCCCCTGGATGGTATTTTTATAAAAAAAAATTTTATAGAGCCTAGTGAATAGGAACTTCAGGGTCAATATCACTAGATTGTTCCTCAGACCAAGGAGAAATATGACATATGTATCTGTCATATAGATAGACAGATATTAAGGAGAAACTACATTAAATGAGATCAAATTTAAATGGAATATTCTGATTCATTTTCTGGAATCAGGACAGCATGGGCAATGTGCAAGCAGGTTCTGATGAGGGACAAGCGAGTTCTAACCCACAGAGTCAAATGGGTCAGATGTGGAAAATGCACATCTTTCTAACATTACCGAAATGATGAAGGACAGAAGAAGCCCAAGACGGTGAGGAAACAGACTTTTAGACACCATTATTACCTCATGTAATTAACAACCTTAATCCCTAACTAGAGAGATTAATTCTTAACTTATACTAACAAGCTTAATTTATTTCTATAAAAACGATTTCTGTACTACGAAGTATGTATCTATCTCCAGATTCACGAGGGCTAAGTGAGATGACTCACTAAAAGAATTCTGCAAACCACAACATACTCTGTGAATCTTAGTTTATTAGTGCTGCTTTTGGCCTTCCAAAGAAGCGGTCCCTTTTTAAAGCAAGGGGCATCAGAATCCCTGACTTGAAATTATACTATAAACCTACAGTGATAAAAACAGCAGGGTACTGGCAAAACAAAACAAAACAGACCCAAGGATTAATGGAATGGACTAGAAGATGCAGAAACAACTCCAGACATACTTAGCCACCTTATCTTTGACAAAGGTTCTGCATACATTCACTGGAAGAAATATAGCCTCTTTTATAAATGGTGCTGGAAAACTGGCTCTGCACATGCCGAAGATTTAAATTGGACCCATCTCTCTCACCATGCACTAAACTAAATTCAAAATGGACGAAAGATCTAAATATTAAAACAGCAACATTAAATCTGCTGGAAGACAGAATAGGTAAAATTCTTGAAGACACTGGTATAGGCAAAGACTTTACAAATAAAACCCTGATCGCATAGGAACCATCACAAAGAATCAACAACTGCGATCTGATCTTATTAGAAAGCTCAGCCAAGTGAAGAGACAACCCATGGTGTGAGAAAAAATGTTTGCCAGCTGTTCCTTGAAGGATTATTACCAAGAACATATAACGAACGAACTCAAAAAAAAAATCAGACCTCCCAAGTTTAAAGATCCAATCCAAAAATGGACACCTAAAGTGAACAGACACTCTCAGATGAAGTTACTACAAAAAGCAAATACATATATGAAAAAATGTTCAACATCACTGGTCGTTAGAGAAACGCAAATTAAAACAACACTGAGATTCCATCTCACCCCAGAAAGAATGGTTAGTATCAGGAAATCAACCACTAACAAATGCTGGTGGGGCTGTGGGAAAAAAGGAACCCTTCTCCACTGTGGGTGGGAGTGCAGACTGGTGCAACCACTGTGGAAATCAGTGTGGAGATTCCTCAAAAAACTAGGATTGGAGATCCCATTTGACCCAGCTATTCCCCTTCTGGGTATCTTCCCAGAAGAATTAAAAACATCATACCAAGTGATATATGTGTACCCATGTTTATAGCAGCACAATTTGTAGTAGCTAGATCTTGGAAACAACCCAAATGTCTATCAACTGAGGAATGGATAAAAAAAAGTGGTCTTTTTATATACTGGAGTATTACTCAGCCATAAACAAGGATAAACTGGAGACTTTTTTAGGTAAATGGATGCGTCCCACGAGCATACTCGTAAGAGAAATAAACCAGATGCACATGTGTAAATATTGCATTGTCTCCCTAGTGTGAGAAGCTGAAAGAGTAATAAGATCCAAAATACACAATAGACACTGTGAAATGGGAAGAAACTTCAAAAAGAAAGAGAAACTTGTTTGAAGGAATGGAGAAAAGAAGGTAGGGAAAAGCAGAAGAATTAGATATATGTATATATATAAAAGATACTTAAAATAGTTATACTACTGATTTCTCTTAGTTCATTGAAAAGAAAGGTTTGTTCTAATATTGTTCGGACAATTAAATGCTCATATCCTGTACTCTAAGTAACTAATTTAAAGGTAACAATATGCAGTGTATTAACCACTGTTACCCTCCTATCACCTTCTCTTGAAATTTTGTTTTTGCTTTACAATAAAATTATTTAAAAAAAGAAGCAGTTCCTTCCTTATTGTGGCCTGTAAGCTAAATTTCCTGCTATGACACTATGCCCAATAAACACATTTTTAGGTTATGATCTTACCCAGAGTCCATGCAAAGTACTGATCTATTTTTCAGAGTGCAAAAAGTATCTATAATAATAATTTAAAGTTGGGCATGATGGTACACGCCTGTAATTCCAGCACATGGGAGGCTGAGGCAGCAGAATCTCTATGAGTTCGAGGACAGCCTGGGCTACATAGTGAGACCCTATCTCAAACATCCGCCCCCTTCAAAAAAAATCAAAAAACACAGTCATTGAAAAGGTAAATTAAAGCCCATGTGTTTCTTAAAAAAATCATTTCATACTTAACTAGAAATGATACCTCTTTTTCTTTATCACATACAAAATTTCTTCAGATATTTTCCACATGTAAAATAACAATAAAACAGCACAGTCCTATGTCGGAAGCTCTGTCCTCCTGTCATTTACCGTGATAGCTGAAGCAACACCAGAAACATCTACAGCTAACACCTTTACATGTCTTAAATAAACAGACTGCATAGACACTCTGATCCCTAACTTTCCCATCTGACAAAGGTAGTTCTTATAATCATCACCCTGGGATCGGACAGACCATGACTATGTATGATTTTATGTAATGTTACGGGGACAAATGTATCTTTAAAGTACTTTAAGCACTGAAGAGTGTGCTTTCCAATTAAAGTATTATCTTCAAATAGGTGTTTCCCAAAGTAAGCTCATTAACAGGAACAAAAACAAGCTCGCTCCAATAAACCTAACAGGCAGAGAGGAAGCTCTGCTTTTCCAGTACTCCCCAATCGCTCACATCTATGTTCTATGTACTAGTGAACAGAGAACGTGGAGCTGTGGCTGGGAGGCTAAGCTGCAGCCCTGATGCCCCAAGAGTGCACCTCAGGCTTGAGTGACCTGGATTCAAATTCTGATACTTCCTAGCTGTGTGACAAGTGACTTCACACCTAGGGTCTGGCTTTTTAATCTGTGAACTGGCTAGGATAGATTTAGACTTCATACACTTGTTATGCAAACGAAGTAAGTTACTACACAGCCAGTGTTTAGTAACTAACAAAGAATGAATATTCAAGCATCTATTATCATTCTTGTTACCATCACTACTATTGATAATTTGCTAATTATTTACTTATAGTTGAAAAGAGGACCTATATTACAAAAAATTATAATAGGAATTCGGAGTTTGCAAATCTTAGTGTTCTATAACTTCAGTTTGAATTTGAAAACTTCTAAGCTTTTCATTCTGTAGTTAATTACCATGTACGACACTTCATGGTTATCAGGTAACCTGGAGAATATGAACTGAAGTAAGATTTGAACGCAGGATGCAAGAGCTTATCTGAAAGCAGCTGACTGTCCAAGACCCATACCTAATACAGTTCCGATCTTATTGGTTAGGACAGAGTCTGTCTGCTCCAGCCATCCTCCGCCACTGAGCCCTTCTTTAAACTTCACGAGGATGGACGGGTTGCTCAGCAGGACGACGAGAATCCGCATGGCCGCTGTCACCGTGCTGGGGTGCAGGTGCTCCTCCATGAACATCATAATCCAGTCGAAACCCAAAGTCCTGACCAGCTCCTCACAAGCTCTATTCATAGACAGGTGGATTGAAAGAAGTGAAATTAATTTCAGGAATTAGGATTTCAAATTAAAAGATATGACCAGGCTTCATTTTTGAGATACTACGTATTTCATAGTTAAAATAATCTATATAAAGTCAGTGGCAATTTTTTTTTTTTTGCTTGACATGATTAACCAGTATTAGCACATGGTACCATCAATTCCGAACTGTTTACTTACTGCAAGTTGATGCTTGTCTTTTCTTTAGATGTATACACTAGTTTTAGCAAGATATCTAGAAGTCTGTTCCTCAAAAGTATAAGATTAGCAGACACAAGTCCTCCAAACTCCTCTTCTGTTCCTACAATGAAAATAACTACATTAAATACATACAGCAGATAAACTTAAGTGTTACGGTTTCTGTCTGGATGTCCCTCAAAGCCTCATGCAGTCATGGGGCACACTTTTATTCAAGTTTTTGATTGATTCATGGTCCAATGCTAGGATTACGGGTGTGAGTGCTACACCCACCCTGGGATGGGTAGTTTGCATACAACATAAGGGAGGGAAGAGGCTTGTTCCTGGTCTCCTCCCTTTTTGCTCTTGCTGTCTTCTACTGTCCTCAACTGTTGCCCATGCCATGGGCCACCCTGCCTTGGAGCCAACCGAGTATGGACTGAAACCTCCACAAACTGTGAGCTAAATAAACCTTTTCCTCTTTAATTTGGGTGTTGTGTATTTTGTCTCAGCAATGAGAGAAAAGTAACTAAGACAGAATTTGGTACCTGGAGTAGGGCCATTGCTGTGACTATACTGGATCATGTGGTTTAAGAGCCTTTGGGAATGGCTTGTGTGAACAGTTTGGAAAGGTTCAGAGATATCGAAAGAGTAGAGCTGTAACACCTTAGGCTGTTCTGTAGATTCTGGTCGAGCTCAGAAGACCAGAAGGCTGATAGAAATTCGGCCTGTAAAGACCGGGTTCAAGAGGTTTCTGCTGGGAAGGACTGCATTGGCTGTTGGACTCCAGACAATGTGTGTTTTGCTTGGCAAAGTTTATCTGCATTTTGCTTATGTCCATAGACTTTGCCTGAGACTAAGATTAATGGTGGTGGACTGATTAATCCAGCAGAAGAAATTTCAAGTCAGGCAAATGTTGAGGTGGTGTCATGGCTATGGTTGGAGGCTTTTAGCCAGATTTATGTTGAGAATCAAGAGCAAAGAGCCCAGCAGGATGATTTAAAATGTGAGTGTGGCCAAAAAGAAAACTCCAGTAAAGCTGTGGACTGCAAAGGTAGAGCAGAGGAAATGTTGAGCGCTAAGAAGGAACAAGAGACTATAAAAGATGGCTAAGGGCTTCACAAGGAGCAGCAAGATCCCACCCTTTGCAGCCTCAAAACTGCAAAACTGCAAGACTCTGCTTTGAGGAGAAAGCCACAGAGTGCCATGTTTCAGAATGGTGGCAGTAGCTGCACCAGTTTCAGAATTGTGGTGGCATAGAGAATTTGTTCCTCAGAATCAGGTTCAGAGTGCTCACAATCCCTAGCAAAGAGAGAAGGAAGCCCGGCTCCTGCTCCAGCTGGCAGCAGACCTTGGCATCACTGTGTGGTGCTGATTTTAGGTGCATGCAGAAGGCAAGAGTTCTGAGGTTAAGAAGGCTTCCACTTAGATTTCAGAGGACCTTGGAGGCCAGGCAGTGTGCTCCTGAGAGCGCAATATGTGAAGCTGTGAGTGTGAAGCCAAAGGTGCAGTGGAGAACCCAGCAGTTTGGAAAAACCAGGAACATGGATCATCTAAGGAAAGCTCCAAGGATTGAGCAGAGTGGGTGTAAGAGAGAAGCCCTGGGAGCTAAGCCACCGGAAGTGTCATAGAGGTGGAGCCACATGGAGCTCACAGTTTCCCACAGATTGCTTAGGATATTCCACATGGAACTACAGGACTTAATGTTTGCCCTGCTGGATTTTGGACTTGCTTTGGTCCCAATGCTTGTATCCCCTTGTTTGTACCATTTAAAATGGTAATGTTTATCTTGGGCTATTGAATGTTGGAGGTGTTTAAATTTTCATTTGTACAAGGGCTCACAGCTACAAGTTTGTTTTAAATCTCAGAGGAGACTTGAGACGGACTTTTCAGCAATGCTGAAATTGTTAGGCCTTTGGCAACTTATAGAGATGGACTAATTACCTTTTGCATAAAGCGATGTGCATGAGTCTTTGTGGGGGCCAGGGGCAGAATATTATGGTTTGTGTTAAGATGCCCCCCAAAGCCTTATGCAGTCATGGGGTGGGCTTCTAGCATTTGTGATTGTTTCATGGTCCAATGCTGGGGTTTTGGGTGTGAGTGCTACACCCTCCCTGGGGCAGGGAGCCTGCATACAATATAAGGGAGGGAAAGAGGCTTGCTCTTGCTCTCCTCCTTTTGCTCTTGTTGCTTTTGCTGTTTTCCAACACCAGGAACTCTTACCCTCTTCCATGTGCCACCCTGCCTTGGAGCCAGCCAAGTATGGACTGAAACCTCCACAAATTGAACTAAATAAAGCTCTGTCTCTTTAATTTGGGTGCTGGGTATTTTGTCTCAGTAATGAGAGAAAAGTAAAACACTAAGACACGAAGGAAGACACTAAGACAACATATCCAACACGATTCTCTGAAATCTCACTGAAAAATAAATCTTTTAGAAAATGTTTTCTCTAAGAATGTTTTTCCACTAACACAGACACGGAAAAAGATCAGTGAAATAATTTTTTTTTTAGAGCCCTGGAAATTGTTCTTTTACATCTGACATTACCTACATCAGGGACTAAAAAAGATTTTAAGCCTTCTTTTACATTAGTACTTCCCTTTCCTCTGCAACAGGGGAAAGCCATCAAGTAAGGACTATATCAATCAAAGCACTGATTGCTACAGAGCCTCAGCCTCATAGGACATTCGTTTCTAGATTCTTTTTAAAAAAGAAAATTTAACAAATTTAAGCACTGAAAATACAAAGCACAAATGTATTCAATAAATATAAAAGGAAAATGAGAATCACACAGCAACCTGGAACAGAGGCAATGACACACAAATGCACAAAGGAAGGCAGAAAAGAGGAAGACGGGCACTGAGGACCTCAGAAATGGCCTATGGAAGTGGCTGGCCTGGGTCCCAGAAGCCCGCAGGTCCAGGCCAGCTCCATGATGGAAAGCTGGAGGCACTGAGGTGAATCGGACATTCTCCTGTATACGGGAAGAGAGGCTTGGCTGAACTTCACCATGGTTACATACATACTTTTCCTCATTTGGACCATGGACAATTATTGGCTTTAAAATGTACTTTAATGTTTTATTCATTATGGATGCTTCAAGCTCTCCCAGGGAAACTGAAGATTCTCTCTTCTTCCAAGAGGCATAGATTGGTGATTTGCAAATTGTCTTAACAAAGCCTCTCATTTGACCTAAATTGCTGTAAGAATCACTTCCTCTGAATACTATTTCTACAATAAAGTCACAATCTATGCAGACATTAAAATCCTCCCATAAAATTGGGATAGCAGCACCTATATCACAGTGCTGTGCTTTAGAACACTTTAATAATGTTTGGTAAGGGTTGTCCTTGGTCTGGACTTTATTCTTTGAATCTACTGCCAATCGGTTTCACCAAAGGAATGTCAGTATGTTGCAAATCAATGGCAGATCTCGATTCCCGGTACCAGAAAAAAACAAACAAACAAACAAAAAAAAAAACAAAAACAAATCAATCGCAGATCTGTCACTAACTCACCCTCACCCTCATCTGCAACAATTCACTCAGTCTCTCAAGTCTCCTGGCCTCTCCTTTGGAAATTATGACTGTACTACCTTTTCTCACTCGTGCTACACAGGAAAGACTGTGCTCAGGACAAGACAGTCAACACGGAGGAGGAGGACTCCTTTGCAAGGCAGCGACACTTACTTACAGGACTTCTCCACCCTCTACATGCATGGGGTTTTAAGAGATGGATGAAAGTCACACATTTGGTACGATGGTGGAAAAATGGAAGAGGATAACATAAACAGTGCTAAATAAACAGTTATCCGTCAGTATCTATGGGAAACTGGGTCTAGGACCTTTACAGATGCCAACGCTACAGACACTCGTTTTTTCTGCCAAAGGGCACAGCGTCCGCATACAACCCACGCAGTCCCTCCTCTGTGCTTCAGGTCACCTTTCACTGCCTTACCATACCCAAGGAAAGACTGTGCTCAGACTGCGCAACACGCATGCTATGCAAAAGCCTGTTCTACTGTATTGTTTGGAGAATGACGACAAGAAAAAATATCTGTACGTGTTCATCACAGATAAAATTTTTCCCCCAGGTATATTCCGTATGAGGTTGGTTGGACCCACAGATGGAGCCCAGGCTAACTGTACTCGATCTGTGAATTTAATTACAGAGGTCAGTGCAAAAGGGCTTTCAACACTGTCCAATCAACTTTCCACCCTAGAATGTACAACAGAAAGTATATGGGAACACGGAAAGACAGGCAGCAAATGCACTTTGAAAAAGTTTATCATGGACTCGGGAATTCACAACTTACAATTACTTGTATGCTATGTATTACACAGGATATATTATTATTTATTTTTATATTATACTTCCATAAAATGATTCTAGTAAAATGTTCTTTTCCCCAGTAACTACTGAATACTTGTAAAGGAAAATGAAGATAACAGAAATGTATATAAAATCCACTTTTAGCAAGTATTATGTTTCAAAAGGAATATAAATTTTAAAAAACCAAGTAATGTTCAAATGACACTAGAATTTGTTATTTAAAGAAGTAATGCTATGCAAGCTCTAAAATTTTTATTGCTCTAAAGATTTTACTTTTAAAGTAAAATTTACACCCCATTAAACTTTGTCAGCAATTTTGTAGGTTATGTATCTTTTTGCATATGCAATGAGCTTGATATAAAGCAGACACATCTCTGAAGACCAAAAAATGCAAAGTAAGGAGAAAAATCACAGCATTATCACTTTGTGTCAAAAGAGAAAGGGCGCAGTAATTAGTTAATTGCTGTCTTTCTCAAACTCCAGGGTCAACTTACCAGGGTCAAGTTTCTCTTCATTGTTAATTTCCATAACCACAAATTTCTCACAAACTGCAAAGGTTGGCAAAGTGGAAGAAATAAACTGGCCAAACCTTTAAATAAGGAAAAAAAAAAGGTTATGGATTTTATTTTTTTTTCCTCAAAACAGGTAACAGAACACAAAGAAATGGAAAACAAAACAGCATTTCTTATTTTTGTCTCTTAGATATTTACTTGGTTGTATCTAGTTTGCATCCTCCTGGGCCCTCTCCAATGACATATACAACACTGTAACAGAAATACGTTGTGTTTTTAAAACAGAGGGAAAATTTAGCTCTTCAGAAGTATAAATTTTTTTAATGCACTAACTCAAATGGTCTCAAAACCCAAACAGCATGACCGATCCAAGTTCAAATGTTCTAACATTATCTCTATGGATGCACTGCAGTGCAGTGATTAAGAATTTGGGTTTGGAAATACAGGTAGTTAAAACCCTAGCGCTAATATTTTTTTTTAACTATGTGACCTGGGTCAAACAGCTTAACTTCTCTGAGCCTTGGTTTCTTCATTTATAAAGGAGGGAGGAAAAAACTTTGATAGGTTTTGGTTATAATTTTCAGCAAAGCAATCAGTACAATACCAGGGTAAATTCTAAATAACCACTGGTGATAATGCTAATCATCCAAAATAACTCTTAATGACCAGTTTCAAATGTCACCAAGTTGAAAAGTGAGTTTTTGAGGTAAATTAATATAAAAATGCATGGTGGTACACTCTAGACTGGAGACTCACTAAGCGGGGTGATCTAGCACATGGGTGTGGTTCCACCCACGTGATCCAGGCGGTCACGTGAGAAGCATTGAGCAGGCCCAGTCTAAGAACTGCCTACTTGAACCATGCTTGGCTTAGGTAGTTTCTTGTCCATTTTTAAGATGGGGATTATGAAATGAACAAAAGTGTATTTCTGCAAACATTCCATAAATACGCCTTACTACTGCAGCAAAAGAATACATCATATATTGTTTGAATATGTAACAATAAAATATACCTAAGTGTTAGAGACCAAATAAAAAAGCAGTGACGTGTGTATGTGTGTGTGTGTGTGTGTGTGTGTGTGTGTGTGTACAGTTCAGAATCAGCAAGTTTGGGGAACAAGGCAGGGGACTGAGAACGCCTGCACTGAACGCTTCTGTGGGGCTAATATCCACATCTTTTCTGTGAGTCTCTAAGCTGGAGGACTGCTGTCTTTGTCCCCCAGAGGCAAGACACTGAAGCGCTGTTGCGCATAGCTTACAGACGTCTCCAGAGCTATAACAGGACAGGTGTTACAGGCACAGGGGCCCTCCCATTTATCTTAACTCACGGGCCCTTCCTACAGAGCAGGGTTCTGCCTACCTGAGCAGATCATTGCTGTTGGGGAAGCCTTGCAGCAAGAAGCTCAGCACGTTACTAATAGCAGCGATAGTCGGCTGGGACAAAGACATATCCCGGAGAGTCAGGAGCAGCTTCGGGATTAACTGGAATTCCCTCATGAGCTTGGCGTTCTTGGAAGCCTCACTGCAAGAGAAACAGGGTTGAATGCACCGTCCGGCCACCTTCCCTCCAACTGGACAACCTCCTCCTCAAGTACTACTGATACCTGGACTCGGTCAGCAGTTCAATGAAGTGTTCAAATAAGGACAGATGGAGTTCATATGGTGCATGGAGCCAGACCTGTAATAAAAATAAAGACAAGGGGTATATTTAAGGTTGAAAATTGCCCCAAATGCCAATCCAACCAAAAAAAAAGCTCATTTCATTTCTATAATTAACTGAATATAATTCTCTTTTGTTAATTTTTATTTTGTAAATCCCTTGTACATATGAGGGAAAAAAAATCTCTATAAACAGGCCAAAAATGAAAGATGGGATGATCATGCTTTAAATCTATATTTAATTGTAAATACGCTCTACAGGTTTGAGAAATAACAGAAAGCATGATGAAGAGAGGAATGGAAGGCAACCAGTCACAAAACAAACTCCTAGATGTGATGAGATATCTAGAGTGGGGAATGTACCGGATGACATTAATAGCAGATTAGACACTGCAGAAAAATCACTATGCAGTAGAAACTATGCACAATAAAGTATCAGGAAAACAACAGAACAAAGGGCCAGAGGGTGGACTAGATATTTGTGAAATAATATCAGCACTCTAAGATATGTGAGAATGCCGTCCAGAAAAGGGAAGGGGGCAGGAGAACTGACTGACGGACTAATGAATAAAATGTTCCAGCGAACGGCACCTTGCAGATCTACAAAGCCCAAGCAGAAGAACGTAAGACAATGGGGTGACTGACATTTTTTTTAAGTGTGAAAAAAAAAATAAGGGAGTCAACAAAAAGTGTATTCCCTTCAAAAAAAGGAAAAGGACCCTTCAAAAAGGAGGAAAGAAGGTTTTCAGGATTTATCACAAGCATGCCTGCCTTACAGTGTTAAAAGAATTTATACAGGAAGAAGAATTAAACGTGACAGAAGCAGGATGCCACAGATACATGTGCATAAATAAAGTATTTTTAAAAGTCTTTAAAAAGAGTCAAAGAAAAAACGGTAAAACTACCATGTAGGTAATGAGATATAAAAATCACTGTATGAAAATAATAGCAAAAAGGACAGGAAAGGAGAGACGGAGAAATCCAGTCACGCGGGGTAGGTCTTCAAAGAGAAGGGACATCCTCAGATGAGTGATGTACGTTCTAGACCAAGCACTGGAAATGTCTGTATGCTACTACCTGCTACTTACTTTTTTTTTTTTTGGTCTTTTTTGAGGCAGGGTCTGGCTATGCAGTTCAGGCTGGCCTTGAGCTCACTTTGTAGCCCAGGCTGGTTGTGAACTCACAATAATCCTCCTGCCTCAGCCTGCTGAGTGCTGGGATTACAGGCATGTGCCACCACGCCCAGTGTTACTTACATTTGTGAAATGGCTGTTTTAAACGGGATGAATTAGGTGTTTAGGGCCCACCTGAGTTTTGGGGTAATAAAAAATACTGTAAGCTATAAGTATGCAATGTGCTACGAAATGAAGCCAGAATGTATAAGCAACTAAATTTCTGATCTTTACGTATTAGATTTTAACCGGAAATTTAAAACTAAAGATAGCTCATGATTTGAATTTGTTAGTTCCAGAGGAGAACTGCTTACAGTTTGGATAGGCTGCAGCAGAACCAGAAAATGTAAATTATACAGAATGTGAAAGTTCCAGAACAATGCTAAGCTAGATTAGGCAGGCAAGGCTCCTTCATCCTCCCAAATCCTTCTGTACACCAGTATCTCTGCGCTGTCACAGATACTTGTCTAATTCTTTGCCCATCTCTTCTAGCATACCAGCTGCCTTGAGGCGTGAATTCTAAGGTTTTTTTTTTCTTTCTGTCCTGGGAAACTTTTTAAAAACATCTTTAGCAACTGATGTAGTGCTTGATTCAAAAAATAACAAGTACATACTAAAAGGAAAAGAGGTTTGAGTATTACAACTTTGAATAGCAAGCTGAAAAATTTATACTTTATTATATAGGTATGGGAAATCAGTGTAAGTTCTTGAAAATGTGAGATAATGATACCTTTAAAAAAAAAAAAACTCACAAAGGTAGATGGGCTAGCCTGAGGAGGGGCAGGAAGACGTGACAGTTACCCTACGAGCTAAGAGGAGAACTGCTTACAGTTTGGGTTAGGCTGCAGCAGAACCAGAAAATGTAAATTATACAGAATGTGAAAGCAGGATCTACATGGCTGAGTGTCACACTGTTTACAGGCAGGGAGGAAGAAGGAGGCTGAGTTTATCATTTCAGACCCAGGGAATGGTATTTTTTAGTAGAAACAGAGAAGTCAGAAGGAAGAACTAATTTGGGGAGGGATGCTCAGTTCAGTGAAAGTATTGCTGGAATATAAAAACAGAGCTGCTGAGCAAGAAGTCTGCAAGCTGCATGCCAAGGTTAGGTCTAAAGGAAAGCAAATCGCAGGAAAGACAAAGTGAGACTGGACATCTTTACTTAAAGTAAGAAAACATCGAAGCCGGAAAAGGTTATCAGAAATAGTGGGAAGGCCATGAGAACCAGTGACCCTGGCGAGCTGGGAAAAGACACGCAAGTTCCAAGAGGACCAGACACTGCTAGATGCTACTTAGGGCTGCAGGTGCTGGGTACTGTGGACAGGCCACGGAGTCGTACTTAGAAGGAAGCTTCCAGGATGCTTGGAAAATATAGTTTCAATCCGTAATTAGGCATACAGGAATTGTAAGGGAGAAGAGTGGCGGCCGAGGGTCACAGTTGGCATACTTTAGGTGCTGGCACTGTCTGGGGTGGAAGAGGCACAAAATGACTAAGGAGGGATGACCTCTGCACTCATAAGGCAGAGCGGCCCCGCAGGCTCCTGGGGCCAGCACGCAGCTTAGTGTGTAGTGACTGATATACAGAACACATGCGCGACTCGGGGTCCTTGGGGTAAGAGTGGAGAGCTCTCAGGGGCAATGAGACAGCAGAAAGGAAATGACGAGGCTTTGGCAAAAGGAACGGTACTTTATTATGCAGTTGCTATTAACAAAATTACAAACCTAAGTTCCTGTTCATTGCAGAAAAGTTTCTACCAGGACTGTCTGAATGAAAATGTTTGCCCCTTGTAAGGCAGGGAATCAGCTACTTGAGCAAAGGCAGCGCACTGTTTCATTTCGGTATCTGTATAGTAGAATATATTTGGAGGGAAACGGCCTATTACCCTACTTCGTATGTTTTACTACCTCATATTAATTTGATCACCACAAAACTGTAGAACTTGAAACACATCTTAGAGGTGAAAGAGTTTAAATCTGTCATGACGTAGAATAAGAAAACAATTCATCAACTGTGCATTGTGAGTCAGTGTTTGTACAGATACCTCAAAATCGCAGAGAAGGTCCTGGAAAGCGGTTGAATTTGGAATGATGGAGGTCTCGTGCCCACTATCGACAGTTCCCACCAGGGAAAAGGTCAGGTGGAGGATATGGCTGTTAAGGAGGGGGCGCTTCTTCTTAAGCAGCATGGCCAGCAGCTGTAAGAGAGCAACACCAAATGTCCGCGCGTAAACACCAACACCCCGGCGGCATCTCCCACGCACACCCATGCAGAGCGATGCCTACGCTAGTTTCGGAATTTGTACTATGTCAAACATTAGAGAGAATTTGAGAAACCAGTTCTTTCATTCTGCTGCAATATCCACATTGCAGCAGAATTTATTAACCCTTTAATCCCACACAAATATGTAACTAGTCATTGCCATCACACATGTGCGATTTTGTACTCTTTTTCTCTACACAAAAGGATTTTTCACTTTGCAATAAAGACTTCAGAAGTAGAAACTGAAAGACTTACTGGCATTATGTGGGGTATTTATAGTAGAATTAGCAATCCCCATACTCTTGGTACATATGGTTGGTTCCTTTTTGTGGTAAAAAGAAAAATGCTGCAACCATCATTTTGAAAGTATTGCAAAACAGCACTTATTAGAATGGTGTAATTAAATCTATACAGTTCAGTAAACGGCACCTTCACTACCAGCAGACTGCTAATGCTGGAGAAGGTATTTGTATTTCATCTATAACAGGAATTTGATGTTGCACTAAATACTTGTTGCTATTACTTTTCCTCTGTGACGCTGGGGGTTAAACCCAGAACCTTTCACATGCAGGGTGTATGTCCTATCACTGAGTTGCATCTGTCTGTCTGTCTGTCTGTCTATGTATCTACCTATCCAGGATAGAGTGCTGCTAAGTGTCTGTCTACCCATCTGTCTGTCTGTCTGTCTGTCTGGGACACAGTGCTGCTGACTTGCCTAGGCTGGCCTGGAATTTGCAGTCTTCCTGCCTCAGTGTCCCTAATGGCTGGGATTATAGGTGTGCACCACTGTGGCTGCTCAAATTACTTCTCACAAGTAATTTTCTGCTCAAATCTGGTGTAGACTGTGAGGGCTGCGTGTTTCTAATTCCACATGGGCTTTCAGGAGTAGTGACGGCACATAGTCCTTTGTAGGCAAATGGATGCACCTTGAGACCATAATGTTAAGTGAAGCAAATCAGACATACAGGCTTCAATATTACGTGGTTTCTTTTATATGAGAAACCCACAGTATAAGTAAAATGCAAAATAAAAGATAGGTAATAGGAAGCAGGGAGATCTTTTTCAGTTGGGAAAGGAAATAAGAGATGGGGGAGCAGGGAGGAAGGGTGAAAAGGGATTTAAGAAAGGAACTGAAACACCTGGAAACGGAGCTCTGCATAGGAGAATGGGACCCGGAGATGGAGGAAGCAGGGAAAGCGGGGAGATGCAGGGGAGGAAAGAACTAAAGATGCGCTGTGTATCGTACCAACTCCCCACAATACACATAATCGTTACATGCTGCAGAATGAATCATACAAATGAAACTAACAAAATAAAGCACACAGGGAGCTACGCGGGACTGTATGTAAAATCTGTTCCCTTCTGGATGAGACCTGAGCCTTTGCAGGTTTTGGTATCTGAGGGGTTGGGAGCCCACAACCCTGGGTGAGAGGCAACTGTCTCTTCAACTGCACGTCTCAAAGCTGTGTGGAACCAGGGTCGCCCAGGTCAAGACTGGCGGGGGAGGGAGAAAAAGGAGAAAGGAAAGGAAAGGAAACGACGCATCCTCCGGAGGGTACTCGTGACTTCTCAGGACGGTGCCTGGGGGGGTTCAGCACCCGTGGGCAGAGGGAAGGCAAGGCCGGGCAGGTGAGCGAGGGTACACACCTGGTAGCCCTTGATCCTCTCCATCTCCTTGCTGGCCAGCGGGTTGCTCTTGGCCACACACACCAGGGCCTTGACGGCGGCATAGAGCCCCTCCACGTCGGAGGCCATGGCCACCAGGCCCAGGATGGCCGCCGCGCCCCCGATGTACTGCAAAGTAGTGGCAACAGGCTTAGGGACAAACGTTCTTACTCCTGATTAAAAGACAGTGAGAAACAATTAAATTCCTCGTGTCAACAAGAACCGAAGCAAGCAGCTCAAGTAGTCTGTTTCTAACTAGGAACTTTAGTTTTTAACAATCTTCTACCTTACAATGAAAATTCCAAACCAAAATTCACAAGTGCATAGGAGAGGGTGTAAACGGGTCCTGTACACACGGGGAGCAGAGCAGCGGAGGAGGGGGCACAGGGAGGCCCCGCGTGTGTCTGCGCTGCTGTCTGCACTGGGTACCTGTGGGCGACCCACAGGCCTCAAGAGCAGAGGTGCGGGGGACGCGGCTCTGAGCTCGGTACGCAGGCGGCCTCCCAGGGCCCTGTTGGGGTGCACTGACGCAGCTCTAGGAGTCAGGGTGGGGTCAGAGAAGCCCCTGGTGGGAATGAGGCACCTCCTATCCCCAGCAGCATCTCTGGCTACCACCAAGGCTGCTCCAGGCTCAGAGACCTAGGGACAGGGCGGTTGTGACTCTGGGGAGCCCATGTCACAGAAGCACAGCCCCGACTGTAACTGCGCCCGTTCAAACGACAGCTACATCCCCAACACTGTTACAAAAGGCATCATTTGCACATCTCTTGCTTACTGATCAGGCTGAATTCACCACCACGGGCATGGTGGTGAATGCCTACAGTCCCAGCGACTCAGGAGGCCGAGGCGGGGACCATGTGAGCCAAGAGTCTGTCACACAGAGACACCACTTTAAGGGGGAGGAGGGAATACGTGTGTGTATGGGTGCACGCGCGCACACACATACACCTCTAACAGACATTAATATGCATTTTGTACTTCTATGTGCTTTGTAGTATTTATAACATTCTCTTATGGTATAGCACTAGGTTTTATGGGACATCGTTTTTTCCTTTTGGTACCAGGCATCGAACTCATGACCTCAGGCTTGCCAGGCAGGCGCTGTGCCGCTGAACTATATCCCTGGCCAGCACTAGATTTTAACAACTACTTTTCAAGGCAGTCAGATCAGTCCTATTGGTTCCTAGTAAGAAAAGTGGCCTGTACAGGGCTGACGTGCGACCCGACGTCCACAGCGACAGAGGAGGGGCTAACCCCTAAAATCTGCGGGCGCCTCCCGTGCTCTTCCCACTGCGCCCCACTACTGCTGCGAAGGGAAAAGGACGCAGAGCTGCGCTCGGTAAGCGCTTGCGCAGCAGAGTAAGGAAGACCACCACATGCTCTGGCGTGAAGGACGCTGGTTCAGCGGCAGCACACAGGACAAGCAGAGCTAAGGTGCATGCACGTGGCTGCACGTCAGCGTTTGCCGAGGGCGGCCTGACATCCCTGCTAACGGGATTCGGACCAACACAGCACCAACTCCTCGCTCAACGAAAAAGGCACCAGTACTATGTACTGCTTTGACTACCAAAAAACATAGCCACTGATACGAACTCTGGATGGTCTGACTGCATTTTGACCCAAGAGCCTACCTACCAACAACAACAAAAACAAAAAGAAAAAACCCTTGAAAAACCAAATAAACAGCAACACTTTTTAAACAGCACAAACAAGGCTCTGTAGATTGTCCACCCCTTATTAAGGCAGACGGAGGGTTTATGTTCAGAAGCTGTCATTTTGAGCCACTTCTAAATAACAGAAGAATTCATGAGGAAAACCACTGCTAAAATGAACCATGAAACAATCAATAATCATTTTAAATTTTAGCAGAAGTTTTGAATGTTCTCCCTCATGTCACCCAAAATTTATGGAAAATTACGTGGAAGCGTGCAGTCAGTGTCCCTTTGTGCTGAAAAGTGGGAAGATGTGACTGAGAGTTCATGGGAAATTACGGTTTTTAAAGCTGACTGGAAATCAAGATTGTCAAATTAACCTCTACATACTGAAAGAGTACCGGAGGTCCAGCTCTGCAAGCCGTGGATTTAAACACCAGCAAGTGAGGAAAGTGAGGAGCTCTGAAGGCCCCGGCAAAGACAACTGGACTCACCCAAGTATCCAATCAGAGTGGCCCCGATGGTCCGAGCTGGTCCGTTCAGGTGTCCTGCAGAATTATGAATCAACTTCACCGGAGTGGCGTTCTCGTGGGAGGAGATGCCTAACTGAAGAATAGCAAAGAGAAGTAATGTCATTACAGATGAACAGCCTGAACTTTTTTTTCCTGGAAAAGAAACAAACTATGCAACTGTTGATGGAGCTCATTTCGGCAGAGCATACACTAAAATATGACTGTTGACATAACCTTTCTTCCCCCATCACAATGTTTAAAAAAATGGGCATTTTATTTTAAAATGTGTAAACACTTCCAACACATGGAAACTCTTCAAAAGTAAGTGAAGGCTACCGAGAGAGACGGGGAAGGGCCTTGGCCCAGAGCACCTGCACTCTTAGTGACAAGGGTCTGACAGGGCCCGCAGGCTGTCCTCACCCAGGGGCTGTGGTATCTCCGGGCAGTGAACACCATAGCTTTGCTCCAGATCCAGGAAAACTTCCTTCTCACAAACTACCAGAGTCCACAGGTAAAGTATGCGTACAGGAAGCGTCAAATTCTTTGTGTACACACCGTACACACACATACAAACAGTTCACAGGTAAAGTACATATACAGAAAGGAAGCGTCAAATTCTTTGTGTACACACAGAACAGATGCACATGTATACGCACAGAGGCAGGAATTTATTTTTTATCCGCTCTTGGATCCTGCACAAAGTCACACTTGGCACATAGTAGGGGACCCATGAAAAGATGCTGAATGACAATTTTACAAATGGCAATTGTCGGGATAAAATTTGTTTTCTAGAAAAGTTCAACTTCTCAGTTGTCAATACAAACGTAAGAATTAATAGCAACTATGCGCTTAGGCATTCTCACTGTCAGCTAAATAACTGAATATGCTTTGACCTTGATTAGGAGCCTGATAAACCATAAACAAGCAATGCCCAAGGGCGATAAGAAGAAAAAGACTAAAATATGCTAACTGGTGTCCCAGAGCAAAAAAGGGAAAATGCGGCAGAAAGCATTATTTGAAGAAATAATAAATAATTACTGAAAACTTCTTCAACTTAGTGAAAGCTATAAATCAACAATTCAAGAGGTTCACTGAATTCCAATCAAGATAAAAGTTTTTCAAAAAGCCTACGTATGTCACATTTGACTCACTAAGCAGTAACTCTTTTTTTTCTGTTTGCTTTTGTTCCGTACCAGGAATCAAACTCAGGACTTTGTGTTTGCCAAGCAGGCGCGGTGCCGCTGAGCTAAATCCCCAGCCCTTGACTCACTAAAGGCCAAATGTGAAAAGCAAATTCTGAAAGTAGCCAGCGAAAGGTAAGTGGAAATACTACAGACTTGCATGAGAAACTAGAGGACAATGGAGTACAGAACAACACATTTAAAATGCTGCTTTAGAAAAACAAAACAAAACAAAGCAAAGGTCACCGAACAACAGCCTATCAAGGAATCTACTGTTCAAGGATCAAAACTGCTCCCTTCCTGTTACTGCTGTGTCAGGTTAGCAACAACTCAGCGTCTTAATACGCGTTTGTTATCTCGCAGCTGAGTTCTGAAGGGCAGAGATACAAACTGGAAGTCAAAGCGCCAAAATCAAGAGGCTGGCAGAGCTCAGCTCTATCAGCGGCTCTGGAAGAGAACCCATTTCCGGCCTTGCCCGGCTCCCACTGGCCACTGGCATTCTATGGCTTCATGGGCCCTGTCTTGTACTCTAATTCTGGCAATGCCAGCTGAGTCCTCTCCTCACGCACAACCACTCTGAAATAGTTTCTCTTCTGCCTTAGTCTTCTACTTTTAGGGACCCTTGTGACTCAACGGCACACATCTGGGTATCTAGAATAACTTTCTTATTCTAGGGTCACTTGATTATCAACTTCAGTGTTCTCTGTAACCCACACTCCCTTTTTCTACATAAAGTAGCTCAGGCACAGGTTCTGGGAATTAGGCTATGGATGTATGTGGGGCCTTAATATACTGAATATATTAAAATGCTAAATAAAAAATGTTCAAGTAAAACAAAGATCCAAGAAAGGCACTATTCTCCAAAACCACTCGTGCTTGGGTGACCAACCTGAGGCTCTAGTACCTTCCCGGTGGGGTCAGCGTAGCACACAGGGAAGTCGCTCTGCTTACCTGTTTAGCAATGGCCTTGCTGTCCAGCTTGTTGTACACCTTCCGGATCCGTGCGACAGTCAGGGAGGACACAGACAGAGCATAAAGACCAAAGGACACCTTCTCCTCTGGGACTAGTGACACCGGCGAGGGCACACCACCTTCTGATTTTGCGTCTTTACCTTCAAAAGAAGAATCATTCTTTTCAATATCATGAGTAATGCTCTATACCCTAACAAATCTTTCATTCTTTCTATCGTTCTTCAGTGGGTCGACTTCAAAATCTTTTAAAGTGAGTAAGGGAGCTAACTTTTAATTTCCAGCTCTTCATTTGATTTATATTCCAAGTTTTACTCTTTTTTATCTTTTGGCTTTTCGGACAGGGTCTCACTTTGTAGCCCACGTTAGCCTTGAACTTGTGGTGATCCTCCTGCCTCAGCCTCCTGAGTGCTAGGATTACAGGTGTGCACCACCACACCTGGCCCAAGTTTTACTCTTAAAAATATGCTTAACACACAGTGGAATGTAAAGGAGATGGAATTTGAACTGCTATTTAACAAATTGTAAAACACTCCCCTGAACTTCAGAGGAAAAAGGGAAGGGAAGGAATGGGCTGCTTTTGAGCGCTGTAGCACAGGACTCACCCCAGCGAGCACCCTCACTTAATACCCCGGTGTCCCTGGACAGCACGGCAGGATAGTGGAGAGCACGCACTTTTAGCTCGACAGGCTGCTTTTGAGAATGTGAGTGTTTATTGGGCCGACTCGTTCTTCCTTTCATGAAAGCAGCTACAGTTTATTTTTAGTTTTAGTTTTTTGAGAGAGATCTTACTATGTAGCACAGGCTGGCCTCAAACCTCAGAGCACTCCTCCTACCTCAGCCTCCCGAGAGCTGAGGTTACAGGTGTGCGCCACCACGCCCGGCTGAGAAATTACAGAAAGAGGAGAGGGTTGAGTTAATCTTAGAGAGGCTATCTTAACATTTTTGAGCCGGAATGAGAACCTGGTCATTAGGGATCAGGCAGAAGGCACAATCAGACAAGCTGAGTAGCAGCAGCGGAGGGGAGCACTTTAAATGGGAGCGAGTGGCCAATGGGATGCTGTTGGAGAAAGTGGGACGAGAAATACAGGCGCACCTGCGCACCAAGCGCGGCCACCACTTCAAGAACGAAGGCGAGTTACTCACACGGCATACACACCGCCTGAAAGCTCCCCACGTAGTTTGGTCCCAGCTCATAGATGGTGGTGACGCTGGAAGAGGGCAACACTTCCTCCAGAAAGTGGGCAGGCCCGAGGCGCCACACCAGTGATGCCACCTGGCGCTGGGCAGGGGGCGTCCCCACGTAGGCGTAGACCGTGCTCACCACTGGGGGGTTCGCGGAGCCAGAGCCCCCGGGCGTGCTGTGGACGTAATGAAGCTACCAGGAAGACAAGCAAGGCAGTAAGACGGGAGAAGTGTTTTTACCAGATCGATGGCTTCAGCACGTGGATTTTCATTATCCCCAAATGATACAACTGTACAAGAGACCAGAACAATCCCGGTGGGGACCACAGGGTAGGGCAAGATTTGGACCAGCAACGGTGCCTGGGAAGCAGCTGCTGAAAACCTGTTACTACGTTCTGAAGGTAAACTGAGGAGGGAAATGGCAGCACCACACAGAGACATCTCCACTGCCTGGCTGCTTCGAGACTGTAGGGCGGATATAACCCATAGACCTTTCCACAATGGAATTCAAGCAGTCTTAAAATTACTTAGTTACCTTCAGCGAGAGTCTGCTAATTAAAATTACTGATGAAAAGCAGTTTCTAGGGGCAAAGAATAAAAACTCGTAGAAACTATTAAAGAAAAAAGTCTATATACATGCCATCATTTATATAAGCACAAATTTTAATTTCAGTGCAAAATACTAACCACTGACAAATGGCATTCTCAGATGTACAGTTACACTTCTGATTACCCACAGTGCCTGAGTTAGTAACTCCTTTATAGTAAGTGCGTCTGCAGGTAGAGCAGAAGACATAAGGATACGAAGCTGCTTTTGCTGGTGTTGCTTCTGTTAAGTGTAGTCGCCATCCCTTAACGGGAGGGACATTCACATCACCCCAGCTTTAAGCCACATTTCTTTTCTTTTCTTTTTTTTTTTTTGGTCTTTTTGAGACAGTGTTGCTACGCAGTTCAGGCTGGCCATGAGCTAGCTCACTCTGTAGCCCAGGCTGGTTTCGAACTCACAATGATCCTCCTGCCTCAGCCTCCCGAGTGCTAGGATTACAGGCGTGTGCCACCACGCCCGGCCAAGCTGCATTTCTTGCTGTGCCTATTTCCCGCTGGGTTCTGTAGAAAGTCGTGGCAGGTTGAGATTCCTTTTCAAGAAATGTTCGGAATCATAAGATTCACTTCAATTTATCAGTTTTGGGAATATCTGCATAGACTTTATTGGTTGAACATTTGTAAGCCAAAAATACGAACTTCAAAATGCTCTGAAATTTGAAACTTTTTGAGTGTCATGTTGGCACACGGAGTTCTGGGCTTTGAAGTACCCTGGAGTTTTGGGTTAGTGCTGCTCAACCACGGCAATATTCATCCCTACACAGAAAGAGCAACTCACTGGTTCTCTGTTGGTTACTTTGGATCTCTTCAGAATCTCCAGCAATCTAGAGTCAGGTCTATGGGATCATTCACTCAGCAATCAACAGACTGAACACGGTGGTGGCAGGTTTCCCTAGTATGCTCGAGGTCTGGGATTCAATCCCCAGCACCACACACACACACACACACACACACACACACACACACACACACACACACACACACACACAGGTTTTCTGCTGGGCACAGGTCAGCATACAGCACGTGCTTAGTGTGTTCCAGACCCTGAGTTCAGTCCGCGCAACACAAAACAAACCAAAACAACTTAATGCCCATAATTATCAGGGATTAATCTGGGTGACCAAATACAAAGGAAAAAAACCTCTAGCTGTCAAGGGATACAGACTTCTGTACTAAATTACAGTGGTAACAGTGAAGTAACAAAACAGTGTATGCACAGTCCATTTAAGCCTCCTTCAACTTGTGTCTTTATTGTGAAAAACAACTTAGCACTCTGGCCCCAGTGCGGACAGTGCCAGTGAAGTCTTCATGACCCTGTGACCCTGCACACTACTGCTCTTTAACCAAGTGGCAGGAATTAGGCGGCCACATGACCCTAACATGTTCTTCAAATGGATACAGAAAGCCAACTTATAGTAATCTTAAGATTTTGTAAGAGGGGGCTGGGGATTTAGCTGAGCGGCAAAGCGCCTGCCTGGCAAGCGCAAGGTCGTGAGTTCGGTTCC